AATGGAACTGGATCAAAGGTAAGCACACAGAGATCTGTCCAAGTGCTCCAGGTTTAGGATTTCTTTGCCACTAGTATTCGATTGCATTAGCCCAGTACATACACCGCCATATGCGGAGATGAAGCGGTGAAGGCCTGGAGAGTTCAGAACAGCGTAAATTGTGTAGAAAACAAGTCCTCTATAATGCTATATCCCATGATCATATATTCCACTATGTCTTCGCCTCCTCCCGTGAGCCCATTGCGTCGCGCCACCTCCCGGAGGCACGCGCTTCCGCAGCACTTGAAAGGAGAATCTAACTATCGGTACTACCAAGTGTCTCGGTTTCGGAAGGAGAGAATGAAGACACAATGCTCGCAAACCCGTTTCCGTGCCAATATGGAGAGTCGGTGCCACTTTTTGTGCCGTCCGCTGATCTCACCCCGTAGAGCTGGACCAGAGACCTTTAGGTGCGCACACCAGGCAAGACTTCTGACTCTTTTGAATGATGTTAGATGTGAGTTCTTTAACGCGGAGAGGACCAGTGTCTCACAATACAAGCATTGGCACTTAGTCATGAGGTGGATGGATCCTTACAGCCGAGTTATTCATGTAGATATCGATAGGGTCAAAAGCGGATGGCGCAACGTCGTTGTTATTGTTACCTGCAGGCGGGTTGGGGAATTGACGAGGCTGTGGGCTTTCGAGGGGAGGCGGAACAAGTTGATCAAGCTCAATGTCTGCCACACGGACTGGTGCTCCTTCCAACACGGTGGGTAGAACAGATGTCGCTGTAACTAAAGTATAAGCATCTAATAGACCGTGGAGTAGGATCTACCTAGGACGACTTGTGCTTGGGGAAGGTGTCTGGAAGACTGACATAAATGGGAGGGAGACTGCCAAAATGCTTCTCGCATCACAGTGATGATCTGGACAGCAGCATATATACTCGCAGGGATAGCAAGTATAAACATCAACCACTGTACAATGCTGTACTGCTGCAAAGCACTGAGCGCGAGTGAAGCGCTGGAGTCGGTCGGCGTCGATGGTGTTTGTCTAGCCTCGACGGTGGCTAGAAGGGATTTAAATACCACTGCTGGGGCCATGGCAATGGTGATGGGTTGAGGGTGAGGCTAATGATTAGGGCGGGCAACAGGGCAACCAGGCGCCCAGGGAGTCTCAGGCAGTCACGTGTCCGGGGGTGGCGACTTGAGTGGGAAGTAAGGAAGAGAAAAGGGCAGATGAAGAAGGCAACGGGGCGACCAAACGGGTTTTTATGTCTTTCAGGCGACACCTGCGGGCAGCCAAGGCAGCTTCGCCGCCCTTGGGACGCTCACTCCGACAACGATAGGCAACCGGTTGCCCTGCACGTGTTGGATGCCCATTCGCTCTAACCAGGAGAAAAACCTGCTGCCACCCTTGTCCGCCTTGTTTGGACTTTCTGCCCCAAACAACCCGATCTGCCTCGTTCCCGCTCCGCCTGATGCCTTCCCCCACCACTTGATATGACGCTTTGGGCTTCGCAATTTGACCGGTTTGGAGCAAATTCATGACTACTTCAACAGACCAACCGTCCATCCTATCTTCATCAGCAGCAGGCCCTGACGATGCCGACCGTTCTGTCACCGAGATCTCCCGGCCAGCAACAGTGACAGAACTTGTGGGAGACGCCCGCTGCTTTCTATGCAGGCGACAAGGCAGTAGATGCCATGTCGAGCGAGGCTCCAGGTCTTGTCTGCAGTGCTCTGTGGCCGACGACTGTATCTTTGAGCGCCTCATCGTGAAGCGGGGTCATCTTCTCGACTTTGTGTGGTCGGATCTGATCGGGCAAACATCTACCATCAAGAAGCAACCGAGTTCTACTGTTTTGCCGGCCAAGGACTCTCTGGTCGAACCGAGTTTTACTGTTCAACCAGGCAAGGAGCGCCTAAGCACACCCGTTCTCCCTAATATCCATGAAATCCTACCTCGTCCACTTTCGTACAGCGGTACTGTTGTCCGCGCAACGCAGCCGTGGGCCGCACGGCAACCGCTGGACGGTGCTTTCGCTCATGCTCGTCGACGTGGCTCCTTTACCGACTCTGGAATCTCAACGAGCTCAAAGCCACCGCAATACCACGTCGAAACTGTGACTGGGGAGCAAACAGAGAACGTTGCGCGCGCGACATCGCTCGAGGCCGGGGCGACAGGTGCTATTCTAGAAATGCCCGTCAGGGCGACGGCAGAAAGCGCCGCCACCGCTAGGCGCTTTTCAAGCAGATCAAGAGACCTCGAATGCTCCGAATGTGACTACGTAGCGAAAACTCGCTCAGATCTAAAGTGCGTGCCCCCCACCAATTTTTATGGCACCCAGGGATCGTTGCTAATTTGGCACGCACCAGAAAACATTTGGCTCGACACAGACGAGAGCACAAATGCGTGTTCTCGGAATGCCCTCAATCTACCAGGGGTTTTGCTACTCGCAATGACCTTGACAGACATCTCAAATCCGTTCACAAGATTAATAACAGGAAAGCAAGGGTCTACAGGTGCTTCGCCAAAGATTGTAACAAGGCGGGGAAGGAATGGGCTAGACTAGACAATTTCAAGCAACACCTTCAGAAGGTACATGCAGGGGAGGAAATAAGCTCGTTACTCCGACTGTAAGTCGGTATTCAGGACCCTGAAATAACGCGGCTAATCTAGGACTAGGTCTAATGATTGGTACGAGGACCAGCTTGGCCAACAGGAGGAGCATGATGCTCAAGCAGTTGCCAACGAGGTGGAGTCTCCTACATCACCGCTCCCCGACCCACCAACAATTCGTATCGTCCCGATTGAAGGGGATTGGCGTGAACGAATTGAACGACTTTCAACGACTTTCTTCTCCGGGGCTACGAGGGCTGGCTAGAAGTCAGAATTAATATTCCTTGAGCCGCTGAGAATGTCAAATTACACCAACGAGTTGAATTGTCAGACGACAGCGTTCCCTGCAGTCTTCATGGCTTGATATGCATGCATGAAGAGGACTTCGGTCTTCGTCGGTGACAGAGGTACAAGGCTCGGCTACCAAACTGCCCAATTTCTGAGGGCCTTGAAGGACGACCAAGATCAGTCTCCTAAGTAAGGAACCTCAACACAGGAGGATACACAGCCTCGACGGGTATACTGGCAATGCTACTCCGTCCTGACCAAGGCATGCATCTGTCCCAGCTCGACTGGGCTTATGGAAACGCCAAGAGATATTTCCTCTTTGGGGCTTGCACTCCCAACAGTGACGTTTGGACATATTACGTCATCGACCATTTTCATGGACTGGACACTTTCATGCTTCATGCTTAGGACAACAAAGGAATCAATCAATCAATCAATCAATGAAAGACCAGTGAACCGACATCATATACCTTGGACCTCGCACTGAAGCGAGATTCATTTGAGCAGTCCATCGTGTCTGCCATCTCAACTACCGACAGCAATACACAACTCCAACTAAATCGATCACTCAAAAAGACGGCGTTAAGTATGTCCTCTCATCACAACCACCACCCCTCTCACCACTCTCACTCCTCCCATCAACACGGCCTAACCCATGATACTACTGTCCATTCTCCCCATCGCCACAACCACCCGAACAACCCAACCCACCATTCTTCGCTCCACTCACCCGAAACCCACAGCGGACCCGGTCCAACAACGCACGACAAAATGAACACCGATCCAAACACCACCACCGACCCTGCCTTCGCCACTACCCGCAATGCCAACGCAACAACAGACGCAAGCAAGACCGATACCTCCACGACCGCGACATACACCTCTTCCGACCCCTCGACCGCGCCGCACGCCCCTTCCACGCACAAGATACTAGGCGACGTCAAGGGTGCGGTGCACGGCGTCACGGGATCCATCCAAGCGGCCACGGGGACCATGTTCGGACAGAAGAAGCTGGCGGAGAAGGGATTCGACAAGATGAGCGACGAGGACGCGCGCTTGGCGGCCAAGACTGGGAAGCCGCCCGTGGGGACCGAGCAGAGGAGCTCTGTCGTCGAGTCCACCTCCACCAAGAGCCCCGGTAGCGCAGCCGAGCATGGGCGCGGTCTGCCTCATGAGCGAACTTGAATGTGGGCAAAGACGTCAAGGAGAAAGCACAGAGACAGAGACGCAGCAATGGAGAGACGTCTATCTACTAGTCTGGAAGGGAAAGGAAACGAAAGGAACGGAAGAACAGTTCAGAGGAGTTTCTTACTAGACTTTTCCCGGTGCAGGAGATTGAGTGAGCTGTGGGCGAGTGGGTGTATTAGCTGCACGAGAATGAACGGAACTTTCATCTTTCAGAGCGTCGAGAAAGAGACACACATGTTCAAAAAGTATGATGTACATTACGTTGCCATTTCAATCTTGCTTGCTTCCTTGCATGCTCATCAAGCGTCCTGCCTGTCCATTGAAGCGCTCGAGGCACCTCTACACCGTTCCCACGTTTCCCCTTCGTTTCGGTCTCCGCTTTGTTTCCTTTCTTCGCTTTGCTCGCGACCGCCCACCCGCCCGCCGACGCCGATCGTCAGTCAGTCAGTCGTCAAATCGTCAATCGAACTTGTTTTGGTTTGGTCTCGGTCAGTTCGAGGATCTCCCATTTTGTTTTTCTCAATCCCCTAGGAACCTCAGGGTCTCTTTCGCCTCATCTCGTCTCGTCAGACAGATCGTCATGTCCCATAGAAACAAATACGTGAAAAGTGAAAACAAATTAGAACAAGTTTTGCTTTTTGTTTGTGGGTAGGTAGTATGCAAATCATGCATGCCGGGGGCCAACACAAGACCACGTCAAGGCATGAATGGACGAGCATGAGCAACGCTATGCACAGAAAATCATTAAGAAGGTATTGGTGGCTTTTGGGTGTCCCTTTTCTCCCCTGGATATTATCAACGGATCCGACACGCAGCTGTGCGTTGGATGAGCGGGTAATATTTCGACGCTGTGCCTGTGTGGTTGCGCTCCGGGCTCGGTTATCCAACATAGGCATAGGCGTCTGGTCGCTCCTAGTGTTTCATTCCTCAAAAAAGAATCCATCCTCACCAGTCTTCTGTACACCACTCATCCTGTGCTCAAGTGTCCTGGTCCGTGCAAGGAAATTGTCGTCGACCCGATTATCCTCGGCATCCCGCCCCCCACCAAACTGATGCTCCATAGTGCTCTCGTCCACAAAGGTGAATCCTTGGAAGGCATTCTGCATGGTAGGCGACAACGGCGTTGATGCTGGTGCAGCGCCAGCGGCCAGAGCAGCCGCTCGGGCATTTAGAGACGACGACGTATTAAGAGCGTTGGTGAACTCAGGGTCAAAGTTGGAGGTATCGGCAATCGACGCCAATTTGGGCTTGAACGGAGGTACCAAATTCTTCTTGCCAAGTGCATCCCAGTCAATGTCGGCAAAAAAGGGATGGCGCATCAATTCTTCTGCATCTCCATGTGCACCTAGTCGGTGTTTAGGGTTGCGGTTCAGCAGACCCTTGACGAAGTTTCGACCCTCAGTGCTCAAGGCGTCTCTCGGGAACCGCACTTTGCCAAACGCAATGTTCTTGTACATTTGCTGAGTATCTTCGGCATAGAATGGACTCCAGCCACAGCACATTTCAAACACGAGGACGCCAAGAGACCAGAAGTCTACCATTTTGGTGTAACCTTGCTCGTCGAGTAACACCTCGGGGGCCAAATACTCAGTCGTTCCGCAGAAGGTGTTGGTAGTGTCGTCCTGTGCCAAGTTGGCCTTGGATAGACCAAAGTCACACAGTGCAATGTGTCCATTTGCGTCGAGAAGGATATTTTCTGGCTTGAGATCTCGGTAGACGATGTCGGATTGATGAAGGTGTTTGAGGGCAAGGATAAGCTCAGCGATATAAAATTTGGCACGGTCTTCTTTGAACCGACCTTCTTTTTGGAGATGCCAAAATAACTCTCCTCCAGACATAAAGTCCGTGACCAAATAAAGATCCGTAGGTGTTTGGAATGAGAATTTAAGGCCCACAATGAAAGGCGATTCTGTTGTTGCGGTTCGAACCAGGATGTTTCGTTCTCCGATAGTGTGCTGGATCTCTTTCTTCTGGATAATTACCTTTTTCGACAGAACCTTCATAGCGTAAATGCGCCCAGTGTCCTTTTTCCGGACTTGATAAACTTGTCCAAAGGTTCCCTTACCGATCAGCTTTAAAATCTGGAAGTCATTTGGTCCGACATGTTTCTTTTCGACTGGAGTGAAGTGCATTCGAATGTGAATCTCGCCTGTAATATCGTGGTCCTCTGGGCTACGGGGTTCCAGCTTGAAGAAGCCTTCTAACGTGGGATTCTGTTCTGTAAGTTTCAGACATAAACGAATATGGCCCAGAAAAGTTTCTGCATGGCGGTCGTAGACGGTAACATCCAATTCTGACTGGTCGCTGACGACGTCGCTTGAAGGCAGTCAGTTAAGGCACAGACCAAGTAACGTCATTGAATCGCTTACAAGATGGCTTCGTGATCCCACTGGGGATCACTGACCCTGCCATCTCCATTCGTGCTGCTCTGGCGACTTCTCATGGGAATGGCCATGGGCTTCCCCATGTCGCTGTCGGTCCTCCGGATTGATTGCAACTGACCAACCGGTCCTTTCCGGTCATCGACGTCGACATCCATCTTGTCGTGTCTGGGACCCTTGGAAACATACTCATTCCATTCGAACTGACAGACCACGTAGGGATCGAATGACGGCTTCAAGTCCCGACCTTCTGCAATCTTGATGGAGAGCTTGCCTCTTGGCGTGCTGTTAGGAATTTCATCTTTGGTTGGAAGTCGCTTCTCGATTTGGGAATTTCCTTCGCTGACGGTGGTACTCGCGCTCGACAGTGGCGACCTAGTATCGGCCCGTCGATGATCTTCTTGGGACAAGGCTCGAGGGGTATGAGGAGGGGTGCTCTTTTCACGCAGCCCAGCGGCCGCGTTTGAAGTTAGCTCATCTGACCCTTTCAAAATTTCAGACGGTGGTAGCTTAGCATGACTTGGACAAGGAGACTTGGGGCTTTGTGGTCTCGAGGAATGCGTGGACGATGCAGGGTTTGAGATGTGTGCGGCGGAAACGGTGCTTTTAGTAACGCCTGAGACGGGTAGAGACTGGTGGCGGCGGTCTTTGGCCCAGGATGCAGACTTGGGGAGTACGAAATTCCTCAAAGCCTGCGTGATGGAAGCTATACCGCCGTCTAGCATGGACCCGCCGTTCTCTGCCACTTCGCCATCTCTATGCACCACGGAAGCGGCGGACGAGAGTGGCGTAGGTGGGAGCCGAGAAGTGTCACCCTCTGATACGGGTGGTGCAGACTCCTCATGCAGCTCATCTGGTGGCGGTGTTGAAATGGAAGCTTGTTCTCGTTCCACCATCACCATCGAGCCCAAAGAGGCAGACGAATTCCGCCTGCTCTCACTCTCTTGTGCGGGCTCTTTCAGATCATTTTGTTCAGGTTCAGGTTCAGTTTCAAGTTCAGGGTTTGTGGCAGCTTCAGATGACCGTGACGGTGTATTCTGAGAAGGATCTCTACCCACCTGGCCAAAATAGCCGTGTATTATACCCGGCAACCGCTTGTCGTGGAGGTCTGGACGCGGCGTCTCCACACCAGAGGGCGTGGGTGAATTCGATCCGATCTGATCGTGGAAGTCATCTCGGTTTTCATGTCTTGCACTGCTGTTCGGGAGGTTAGCCAGAAGGTTCAGAGGATTCGCACGTTCAAACAAAGAGTTCTTCGTCGATGATGACGACGACGATGCTGCGGCTGCAGCATAGCTGGAACCCAACCCGAGCGGGCGGAACATGGCTTTGGCGTCTGGGTCTTGCTCTCCGTTGGACGCACAGCAGGTCTCTTCCCAAGGCTCATGAGGTCGAAGACTAGACACACACACGACTTGGGTCTTTAAGAGGCCAAGGTGACAAGGCCCCGTTTTCTTTGCAGCTCCTCAAAACCGAGGCTGGGGTAGAATGAACCCCGCCATGCAAACGGCCAGCCATACACAACGCATTCCCAATACGAAACTTGTTTGCTCAAAGGAAAAGATCGGGACGTACTTCTGGGCCATGGCCTGTCTCAGCAGGTCTGCAGCTGCAGCTGGGTTTGGGTTCACTCCAGTCTGCGCCATGTTGGCGGCCTCCCTCTCTAGTCTCCTCCTCTTCCAAAAACGAAATCGACTCTTGTTTGTGAAGTATCGGCCCAAATGTCGCCGCACTCACCCGTCTGGGAGAGGGGCTGGTTCCTGAGATTCCCGGACGCAGGCTCAAGGCCGAGTGACGGAAAATTTGCAGAATTTGGAGAAATTCGGAAAATCGGTCGGCAAGGATTGCAGGGCTTTCTCGGGGCTTGTTCGCAGGGTCCTTAACTCAGAGCAGCGGCCATCCGGACGTGCAGTGAAAGGTGAGACTCGAGTGAAGAATTCGGAGCTGAGGTGGCGATTTGGCGGTAGAGGAAGAAGATAACGACGGCAAGCTCGACAGGAAGGGGAGAACAGGCGGGTGATATAATCGAGTTGCAGGCCCAAGGTTCAAAAGTGTGACTTGGAGAAAAAGTCGGCGCGCCCAGGTCCTCTGGGGGGGCGCAGACCTCTAAGGTTTTCGGGGTGGAAGTGGAAGGGAAACCAGAGATGGAGTGAGCGTGGGATGCGGAAGGGTCCAAGTGGTATGATGGCAAAACTATGTGCAGAGCGAGGTAGTTTTGGGCAGTCCAGTGGATGAAGCTCAACGAGGTAGAGGATAGAGGATTTAAGAAATGACAGCTGGTGGTAGCAGGTGGCAGCAGCCAAAAGTAAAATAATAGAGGCCTGGAGGCTCCAAGGTTTGCTGAGTTTGCTGCTGGCCATCGCCAGTGCCGCCTAGTAGCCTAAGTATGGCCCATATGGCCTATGGGGGTGACCAACTCCCTAGGTCAAGGACAAGTTCCGGGGTCTGACGCTGGCACGCTGCGCTGAGTTACAGCAGGCTGGAGCCCAATCGCCCCTCACTTTTACGATCCATGGTACTGATTCGATTATCGGTGAGTCCTTTTTCGGGCCTGGGAATTTTGCATCGGGCGGGCTCAATCAGAAACCCACCCTTTCAGAAAACACCAATGTGCCACTCAGGGCCAGGCTGTGCTCGACCAAGGGAGCAGGCTAGCAAGGGGCCTACGACACAACATACATGGTACAAGTACACATCGACTCAGATGGCGAGTCCAAGGCTTCGCCCCCTGCATCGTCTATGCCTGGTTTTCTGCATAGGTATGTGCCCGTGGATGAGCGGTGGGTGAGTGGATGGATGGATGGAATGGGTGAATGGGTGAATGGAGACGATACGAGAGAAGGACAAGGCAGACGACGTCATCCATGCGCTCATTGGAATCCTGCTGGACTTCGGCCTGGCTTGGAAGTTACTCGTCTTTCCCTCTCAAGCATGTCTGGGAGCTCTGGACAAAACGTTTGGGCCACCCGAATCCCTTTCTGAAAATCGTTGAGCAATATGCTTCGTTGCGCAAGCCTCAGCGCCGGTGCGACTCATAGGCAATAATAGTAGCCGCCATTTGCATGTGCCATTCTGCGTTTCTCAGTCAGCTGCAAGTGTCCCCACGAAGCCTGTCAACCAGAAGCAATTCAGTGCCCCAGCTCCCAGCACATGCAACGTCTCGGAAGCCCCGCCCAGTCATATGCCCAGCCCTGTATCACCAAATGCGTCTGAATGGCCAGAAAAGACGATTGCTGGCTCGGCTATCCTGATAGACTATCGCATATCTCCATAGCTTTATAGCAATGTCTGAAAGAAAATTTTCCTGTCTTCGACCCGCTCGGACAGAAATCTTCGACGATAATGCGTTGAGCAGGAAGCGTCTGCCCAAATTCAGCCTAATCGAGACCAAGGAGACACTTGATCGCTGAACATGGCAATCTGTCAATTTCTTGGTGAAGGGGTTGGAACCAAAAAAGCGCATGCCGTTTGCTTTGCGGGAGAGGGCGATATCCGTCCAGTAATCGGCGTAAACGATCTTCTCCGCTGGAGCTAGACTTTCTATTCAGGGCATGGCTGGGACGGCCTGTGCAGATGAGCCAGCTGTTGTGGAACAGTAAGTGGAAGACATCGGCTAGATGTTGTGCAACTTGTGCAACTCGAGATGCGATCGATGCAGACTTGGTGGTAAGGCTGAAAGAGGCCAAAAGACCCGATGATCGCAGGGGCATACGGTTGGGGAGCCTTGGAATGTCGGTCTGACCTTTGCATCCCAGTGTTGATTTAGAGATATTAATTGTTCTGGAGACATCGTTGAGCCGATTCGCTCACTGTTGTACTGTACCAAATTGTGACATCCCACCAGATGCATTGTTTTGCGAATTGCAAATTCCTCGACGCGGTTCGTTGCGCGTTCTGCGCGTGGTTGGGCTGGCGCGAAGTGAAAAGGTGGAAATATGGTCGACCGTAATTGCACTAATCATCTGTAAATCCTGCCGTATAATGCCAAGACTTAGTTGTGGCTCGCGTGGCGCGTTTTTGTCGTTTGTTACAAGTCGAAGTCGCAAGTTGGAGACTGTTCAAGCCCAAAGATCTGTGCATTTTGATTTGGGATCTGTTCGACATAATGGCCCGGCGTCCGCGTCTTGCAGCGCAAGCCGCTCAAGCATCCATGCGTAAGCCTCTCGAGTGAAGATTCTATGATCATCACATCTGTTAACTTGAGAAAGGAACTCCAATCCCTAACATATCCGACAACGAAGACGAAGAGATGTTAGATGCCACTCCTGCAGAGGCCCCTACACCACAAGAAGACGATGATGATGCAGAAAATGAAGAGGAGGAAGACGGGTTAAATGATGCAGAAGAAGCTGCGACTCCGTCTCGAGAGTCAGAGCAACCGTCCCGTTCGGCGACTCCTCGCCGCGGTCGACCTCCACTGCTCCGTGGGCGCCGAGGAGGAAGGTTGGGTAGGCCCCCAAGACATCGCGTTGCTACGGCATCTGAGGATGGAGATAACGATGCCGCTTCTGAAACCGCCACTCCGAAACGAAGAGGTGGTTTCCGAGGTCACAGGGGTGGAAGATGGGCAAAGTACAAAGCCGGAGGGTCACGGCCACAGCAGGCACCTCTTGACGACGAAGGAAATCCAATGGAAATTGTCAACGACGAAGTTTTACTACCCGAGGACCCCGAAGGCGAGCAGAAGGTTGACAAGAATGGCCGTCTGCTGGGTGGAAGAGAATATCGGGTGCGGACGTTCACGATCCTGGGCAGAGATGACAGACTGTATATGCTGTCAACAGAACCAGCACGTTGCATTGGTTTTCGCGACTCATACCTTTTCTTCCAGAAACACAGGCATCTCTATAAGATCATCATTGACGATGATGAAAAGCGAGACCTTATCGATCGAGATTTGATCCCTCACTCCTACAAAGGTCGCGCGATCGGAGTGGTTACGGCTCGATCTGTGTTTCGAGAATTCGGGGCTCGGATTATCATCGGAGGGAGAAAGGTGATAGATGACTACGAGACCAAGAAAGCACGGGAACGAGGCGATGTTGAGGGAGAACTAGCCGTCCCAGAAGATCGCTTGCCGCTACCCGGAGAGCCTTACAATCGAAATCAATATGTGGCATGGCATGGTGCAAGTGCAGTTTACCACACCAACACGCCCAGTGTGCCCCTTCCCCTCGCGAAAGCGCAGGAGGCCAAGAGGCGAAAGATCATGGTAACGAGTGACAACTGGATGCTGGAACATGCTAGGGAAGCCAGGTAAGGACTCCTCTCTCTCGGGGAGCCTACTTCGAAATTAACTGATCGGAACAGTCGATTCAACGCGCAATTGACAGCGAACCGTCTGGAAAATCTCAACGGTGTGTACGACATACACACCAACGTCATGCAGTACCCAGCCCATATGCAACCAACACACGCACGATGGGAAATTGTTGACGACCAGGAGAACACTGAAGACCTCGAGAAGACAGGACGGCTACCTCGCCTTGACCCGGTGTATGGGCGAAACTTCCGAATCCACGATCTCTGTCTCGAATCGGCTCCAGAGTCCTGGTATGCGACGCCTGGGAGCATTGAAGAAGGAGGCGGCCTCTCCTCAATCCCGTCGATCATCCTGGAAGAGCTTCCTGCCGAATGCCTCTACGCGTTCGAAGAAGCCAAGTTACGGGAAGCCGAATGGCGGGGAAAGTGGCATACAGAACGGGAAGATGGGCTGAGAGCACGCATTCTCCCTTCGTTTGAATGGTTTCCAAAGTGAGTTGGCCCTCTGGAACAAAGTGTAATCATCATCCTCAGCGGATCTGGAGAATGCCTCGATGGTTTCGGCTTGCAGTCTCTCGCACAAGGATCGGTCAAGCTGTTGCACACGACACTAAAAACCAGCCTCGGTCGCTGAGACCTTTACACCCCCACACCAACAGGATTGGGGCTTATCATACGCCGAAGTTCGCAAGGTTGAGCTCGTACATATGAGACTCGACAGGGAAGAGAGGATGTTGAAGGAATGAAGACCAATGACTCTAGGTTGAATGGGTTGGATACCCAACCTCCCAATTGCCGGCGACGAGTGTCTGACAACGGCCATTGGACAGAGAGAGGACTCCAGGGCCAAAGGGCTCTGCAACTCCCGGTCTGCGCGTGCGGGAACTGACGCGTATGGAACGTTCCAAACTCAAAATCGGTGGAAGTCGGGGGAGTGAAGAGGGGGCGTGTTTAACCATGAGCTCCAGAGCTCCAGAATTTATCTTTATTGTGCAGATGAGGACCGATTTCCGGCGGTGTTTTTAAACAAGAAAACGGTCGAGATCATGATTGGACGTGTTCCAACCCCATCCCCGAGGGACCTGGTCGTGTTCCGAGCACTGGACCAATTACTCCCTACAAAGAACGCCCTTTTCGTCCAAGCATGAGACTGGCGGTTTGTGGCCGTCAAAAAATTTTGTGCCGCGGTAAACCGCCCTTTTCAAAGAGGCGGAAGCACGACGCCAGAAGAAATCTACCGTGTATTCCACGGGCCAAAGCTCGACCGCATTGGCTTTCCATTAGCGGCTACTATTGAAGATGATTCAGAGCTGGACGCTGCCGGTGGGCCGGAATGCGTTGGTGTTCCATTGATAGAGTGCGGCATCTTATTCAGCTGCACCTGGGGGGCACTGCACGGTGACCACGTGAGGGGCGGGCGCACGATGATGTCGTCGTACGTAAGAACCGCCCGCGTCCAAAATGGAAGCGTTGAAGGATACGCAGCACTAGTACCTCGTAGTTGTAGCGGCCTTGTTTCCCTTAGCGGAGCGGGCAGCGTCGGTCAGCCGTCCTTTGTGCTACCCAAATCAATGTTTTTTGATGACGCCGGCTGGCTTCTACATACAAAGGAATACGGTAGAGGAGTTTGCGTGTGGGTGATGAGAACAGGCATCAACATTTTGGGCCCAATGGAACTAGAAAATCCAAACGAATTCCAGTGTGAAGAGAGGGAGCCACAGCGGCAAACGATCGGTCATTGTTGGGGGGCAACCCAAGGATGCTGCTCAAATTCTCACACATCTCACACCTGACGCGGGGGGCTTTTTCTTATTGCAAGTCACACTTGGCCCTCGCATGCAGTTCGATTGGCACTCGGAGTTTGGAACAGAAGGAGCTCCTGGCAGCGAGTGGCGGGTAACCGAGCCAGTTGAGTCTGCACAAATGCGTCAGTACGGAGAACAGTGGCAATGGTGGGAAAGTTTCGAGAACAGGAGCCTTGGGATGGACGGAGGCTCGTACTCGCAGCGTTCGATGGTGGATGGTTGATGGTTGCGACCAACGATGATATCAGCCATAGCCAGGTGTCAAAGCCAGGTGTCAAAGCCAGGTGTCAAAGCCGGCGGAGTCACGGGCAGTGGTCTCTGGACGACATCCAGCATCATCAGGTTTGGGCTAAGTTGTCGATCACAAGGGCCATCCGCAAGTTGATACTCCGTGCTTGGTGACTCGCATTGCGCGGCTGAAGGCTGAGAAAAAAGAGGTGAAAATGGAGGGGGAGCAGGGGACTTCAACGGTGTCGTCAGTCAGTGCTGACAATCGGTGTGGTGGCTCCGTCACAACGGTTGCAATAGACACATTAGTTAGCGATCTTCGCAGGGGGGCGAGAGGCGCAGAAGAATGGAAAATGGAAAAATAGCCAAGGCGCTCTTCGGACGGACCGGAGAAAAAGCAGCACAGCAGCAGCGCAGCGGCGATGGAAAGGCGGCAGCAGTTGGCAATTGGTCGCCAGCGATGCAGAAGACAATGATCGAGGCCTGACCCCAACTTTTGTCTGGTCCACCCAGGGCCATTTGGGCCACTTGGGCCGCTAGTCCCTTTTGCCGCTTAGCAGGCCCTCCATTATTAATGGCTCGTTCGTTGTGGTGTTGGAAGGTGAGAGATATTGTGTTTTGTTGGTGCTCTGTGTCGGCGACGCGGTCGGGTAACTCTTAGCCAGTTCATCCTCGCCCATGGCAGAAAGGACTCGGTGGATGACTGCCTGACAAGCACAGTATGGGATATCAGTAACAGACACTGTAGCAGGAACTGACTGTGAATGTGTGATTGTCATATTAGCACTACTTGTGTTAACTTGTACGAGCAAGTCAGCCCACCTCCGACTCCGATTCTTCACTGGTTGCTGCAAGCATGTTCTGAGTCGTTGGGTCTTCTGACTGGGCCAAAATGCCCTCGTGCAGTATCGCGTGGCCAGTCAACGTGCCTGGGGGCCGCCTGTGGGTGCCTGTGGGTGCCTGTGGGTGGCACTCTTCCCTCTAGAGCCTCTGAACCGCCCCTCTGACGAATGATCCGACGCTCCCTTCCTGCTCTGTCCCATGTCTGTCCCTGCCCTTCCGGCTCCTCTTCGCTGCAGCCGCCTTTACCCAAGCCAGCTCAAATTCAACGAGCCTAAGCTCGCTTTGAGCATCGCCCATGCTCGGTTTCGCCTTTGCCTTTGGCTCACCCGCGCCCTGCTCGCTCTTCCCTCGTGCCTCCGCCTTTCACTTCGCTTTCCCTCCACTCACACCTCATCTTTTGCACGTCGCTGCGCTCCTCCAGGGTCCCGGGTGCCTCAACCACTCCTTTTCCCTTCCCTTGCCCTTGCCCTCTCCTCTCCTCTCCCGGCCTCTGCAGCTCAAATTTTCGACCTCATCATCTTTCCCAATTCATCTTCTGCTTTTTCTTCCTCGCACATACACACCCTCTCTCCCCTCCTATCCCTACCCCTATCCCTATCCTTCAAGACTCTCTCCTCCCTCCTCCCTCGAAAAAGCGACAGTCCATCAACCCCCAACGGCCCACGCTGTGAGTTGTTGTTCGTTGGTGCAGCCACCGTTGCTATTCTCGGCCTCAGACTGGATTTGCCCACCCAGCCCTTCGAATTGGTAATTTCGGACCCGGGCCCACGTCCTGCCTCAACTGCACCTCCTGGGTGACGACTCCTTGCGGTCAGCTTGATTGCCACAATTTCCCACGGCACCACTGTCGCCAGGCTACCGATATTTGGCTCTACTTCGCCATACCGACTACGTCTCGCAAGCCTCCGTCGTCCCAGGCACCCTTCAAACCATTGCGTTTGCGACTTGGTGGCCAGATTGGAGGTTTTTGTTTTGCTCACCCCAGGACCACCAGACGACGAGTCACGAGCCCCGTCAGAGGCCTCTTTTTCTAGCCTTGCCTGCGCTCCTGGCTTTCCCGTTGCTAGTGGCTGTGTGTTGCCAAATTCGGGGCGCACCCGTCCGTCCACGCTCAAATTCTCCATCACAACACCTCTCTCTGTGCCCTTGATCCTTTCCAAACAAAAGTCTCAACATCGAACTTGCTTCTGCGCGACAGCAGTGCATTGTTGATTCAGTTGGAGAGCCAGCGCGCATCGAGGTGACACTACTTGGTATGATCACGGCCCAATTTCGAAGGTTCTTTACCAGTCAAAGAAGCTTGATATTGAATCGAGCATTTCTCTGTTCCTCGCCTGTGGACACCTTTTTCTGACTCTGTCGCGTCTGCAGGCTGCCTTCCGGACGAAGACTTCACACACCACCGCCCTCCACCTTTCGACCCGCCAGATCAGCCATTTCGACGAGCTTTTCACTAAGTCTTGTCCCCCCAAATCCGAACGCCGCTCAACCTAGATTAATCTACATGACATTCCTGTCTGTCTACAAGTCCCCATAGCATTCAACCCATCCGTCAGAAAAGCGACAACGTCTGATCAGTCAGGCTCGATCATCGCTGTTCCACCTTTCGTTTACAATACCTTGTTTGACCAACGCGTTTGACAAGACAAGAACACGTCTCCATCCATGCTCTGCTTTTGAGTAGGATCAAAACAACAGCTTTTAAGCTCCGGCTTCAACGCCCTGGGGCGTGGCCGCGCAGTCAGCAGCAGCAGACGGTAAGGACTCCTCTTTCTCTGTAACATTTATCGGATCCTAACCATACCAGAGCCCACGGCTGTCTGCTCTGCTCAACCTTCTCGACCGAGCATGCCTTCTTACCACAGCTGGGGGGCAGCTGCCCAACACCCACGACTTCCCCCGACGCCTCCAGAGTACCAGACCGCCTACCTCACGCCCTTGAGTGCAGTCTCTGACCAAGGCTTCTATCCTTCGCAAGGCTATCACTCCCGCCGATCACTCTCGTCCCGGGACTACAACGATAGATATCAGCCTCCGCCGGCCTACACTACTCAGCCGCCCCTAGGTGGGCAAGTGCCGCGAATCGGGCATGCTCATCCGCCTCAAGAATACCCTTATCCTCAACCCTATCATATGCATGGTTCGTCGTACTGGACGAACGCGGTCGGGGCGCCAATTCTCCCTCCCATCCGTGTCACTGAGGCTATAGATCATTTCCCAGCACATTACGGAGCACAGCACACCGAATCGAAGCCGAAGGAGGACAAGCCTACGGGAGGCGTAGCGCAGCACCTAGATTACGACATGGACCTCATGTCCAGCTTCGTGGCCGAGATGTCCCAGAAACTGTGAGTACCGCAGATCCAGATTTGACGTACGCAACTCTGACCTATTGCCGCAGTGTAACACCAGAATCTGCACCAACATCTCAGTTCCGCAAATATGTGTCCCAGATCCTATCCTCTACTCGCCTGCCGAGCTCTACAATCATGCTCGGGCTATTTTACCTGGCCTCGCGCATGAGGCAAGTCAACGAACGCGGGCAGTCAACATCATCCTCTGGCACTGTCTATCGCATGCTCACTACCTGCCTCCTTCTCGGGAGCAAATTCCTTGACGACAACACCTTCCAGAACCGTTCTTGGGCCGAAGTCAGCAGCATTCCAGTCCACGAGCTGAACATGATGGAATTGCAGTGGCTGACGGACTTCAACTGGGAGATTCACGGCATGATGTACGACGAGGATGAAGGCTTTTTCATGTGGGTCGAGCACTGGCATGCCTACGAAGAAAAAGCACAGCTGGCCAAGGTCAAGGAGCTGCAAAAGCTTGCTCCAATCGAGACGAATCTTCACCGCCATCATGCTGTCCAGCATCAGCCACTTATGTCCCCTGAGGGCCCTATTCCACCTCAGTATCAACAAGGCTCGCAATACGATACCCGCTGGGTTCGGCCTTACATTTCGGAATATTCACCCCCGTCTGCCCCACACAGTGGTCCATCAACGCCAGACTACTATAATGCTTCTTGGTCTTTTACACCAACCGGTCCTCCCCCATATGGGCGCCAACAGTATCATTCCGAAAGTGGATCGGTGTACTCGGCCCAACGCAACCAGCTGCCCACGTATGCCCAGACGTTTGGCTATGGTTCGGGTCTGACCCCAACATGGGTGTCTCACGGGCCCAACTGCGGCTGCAGTCTCCATGCCAAGCACTCGGACTATTATTTCAATCACCCCGGATACGCCATGCAAACTGTGGTGGGTTAACTTGTTCAAACTTCAGCGTTCAGCGATCTAGGTCTGGCTCAAAAAGTTCTCGAATCATACCGGGGTGTTCGGTATTGTTTTTACCACCATTGACCTTTGCCTTCAAAGAACCACAATCGACTATGCGAGGATCAGGCCCATCACGGTTGTTGGAGCCTCGATCAAAAAAAGAAAAACGCTCCTCGCCGGCGAAAACATTTCTCTAGTCGAGTTTCCCAATCTAACGACCTTTTACGACCGGCACTTTCTTGTCTTTCGTTATTCAGCATCTAAAGCGAGCAACTCTCCAAAGAATAGATCGAGTTTTCTTCCTTTCACTATACATTTGACGATGGGGATGCCCGGGCGGCGCTTTCATGGCAGGAAAAAGTCAACAAAAGTTCCGACTCGGGAAGGGTTTTACTATGGGGGGGTTGGCGTCAGGATTAATCAGCACAAGGGGTATCACGCAGGGGCTCGTTTATTTCCATTCAAAGACTTTGTTTGCTTCACAGTTATTACACCCTGTTTACGAGACTTGAATCGACACAAAAGGATGCTAAAAGATCATGGCTTGCACGAGAGCTCGCATAGCGTGGCATCCCGGGGGATGGTCGACTGCCAAAGAGGTTTGCTGAATCGTCATTCTTGTAATTAGCTATGTGAAACGAGGTGGTCCCTCCAATGAACGAGGTTGAAATGTGCTACAAGGCTGTCCAACAGGGCCCGAAAAGGCTTTTCTTCAAGGTCAGAGTCTGCTGCACGAAAACACAAACACGAGGCACCCTGTACGGAGTACGGAGGTGGTGATGTTGGGCAAAACAGGAATCACAGGACATATCGGTCGACATTGTCATGGACCTGCTGTCGTCTTTTTTTATTCATACGGCCGAGATTTGATACTCGGGAGGCATATACCCCTGATAGACCGCAATGGGTTCTTTTCCATTCGCTTGCAAAGCCTGCAAAACATACAATACAAAGTAATTTGCCAGTAAGATGTATTTTTTCTGGTATGGTGCAAGATGGAATCTGGTGGCTGAACAGGGGTCTGTAAGTGTATTTCTCCGTAGTACATAAGATGGACTGAAAAGGACCAAGGCTGTGGCCAGGCTGCGAAGCGTGACGCGGTAGAGAGCGATGCCAAGCCTGGAGCCGCGGTTTTGCCGCAGCGCCTCTCCTACCTGACAACTGACTGCGAGCTTCCATCTCGTCTCCGAAGTAATGTAATCAATTCAAACGCCCGTAATACCTCAAACAGACCATTTGACTCCTATCATCCCAAATTATTCCCCTTGTCCCAAATCTCTTGTGTCTCCATTTAACAGCACTCATTCCCGCCTCGATCCAGAAGATCTCGTCAAAAGTCCACCATCATGTCGACATTAGAGGATATCGATGACATGGAGCGCGATGAGAAGGAGCAGAAGAAGGATGGCGATGACAAGGACAAGAAACCTACTTCCAACGGCGAAGCCAAAGATGCGGAGATGGAGGATGCAGACTCAAAAAAGGATGAGGAAGAACAATACATTGACGACGAGATTCTTCAGTCAAGCACAAGAGACATCATCAACCGGCGGCGACTACTTGAAAACGAAATGAAGATCCTCAAGAGTGAGTACCAGCGGTTAAAGCACGAGGAGACCACAATGAAGGAGAAGATTAAGGACAACTTGGAAAAAATCGAGCAAAATCGGTGAGTTTGAGTGTGCTGTCTGTGGCAACGAGGCCACAAAAAAAAATGCGATGGCTAACACAAGGAGTGCCTAGCCAATTACCATACCTTGTGGGCAATGTTGTCGAACTCCTTGATCTTGACGTCGAAGCTGAAGCAGCCGAAGAAGGCGCAAACATCGATCTCGACGCCACGCGAGTGGGCAAATCAGCCGTGATCAAGACAAGTACTCGACAGACTATCTTCCTCCCCCTGATCGGTCTGGTGGACCATGACAAGCTGAAGCCCGGTGATCTCATTGGTGTCAACAAAGATTCATACCTTGTTTTGGATACCCTGCCGGCTGAATATGATTCCAGAGTGAAAGCGATGGAGGTCGATGAAAAGCCGACAGAGAAGTACACCGATGTGGGTGGTCTCGATAAACAGATCGAAGAGCTTGTGGAAGCGGTGGTCTGGCCGATGAAAGAAGCGGAGCGTTTCAAAAAGATTGGCATCAAGGCGCCGAAGGGTGCTCTGATGTATGGACCTCCCGGGACGGGCAAGACTCTTCTCGCGCGTGCCTGCGCTGCCCAAACAAATGCCACCTTCCTCAAGCTCGCCGGTCCCCAACTCGTGCAGATGTTCATTGGTGACGGCGCCAAGCTGGTCCGAGACTGCTTCGCCCTCGCAAAGGAGAAGGCCCCATCGATCATCTTCATTGACGAGCTCGATGCTGTTGGCACGAAGCGTTTCGACTCGGAAAAGAGCGGCGATCGCGAAGTCCAGCGGACGATGTTGGAACTGCTCAACCAGCTTGACGGGTTTGCTTCAGACGAAAGAATCAAGGTCCTTGCGGCCACCAACCGAGTCGATGTTCTTGACCCTGCCTTACTTCGATCTGGCCGATTGGATCGGAAGATTGAGTTCCCCTTGCCAAATGAAGAATCCCGCGCACAGATTCTGCGTATCCATTCTCGAAAGATGACTATCGACGAAGGCAACATCAACTTTGATGAATTGGCTCGTTCAACAGATGAATTTGGCGGTGCGCAGCTGAAAGCAGTCTGTGTCGAAGCGGGTAAGTTTGTTGCTCGTCGTCGGTCGCTAGTCAATTTGCTAACCACTCTTATCAGGCATGATTGCGCTTCGCAAGGGACAATCAAAAGTAAATCATGAGGCATATGTAGAAGCTATTGCGGAAGTGCAAGCAAAGAAGAAAGACACGTGCGTTCCCACTCTCCCTATCTGTCGGTTGCAGGAATACTAACACTGGGTTTTACAGGGTCAATTTCTACGCATAGTTCAACCACGCACTTTTCAAGTCAGCCTTTAGGGAAAATTCATGGCAGGACATGGCATGTACAATACTCAAGCAAGGGACAATGCTTCCAGATAGATGACTGCCATTCTCTGGCAGTTCTATAATCCATTGGCCACGGCTATGCATTGCGCTCTTCCAGATTATTTTCCCACAGTCCAGCCTGTTCCTCTCTATTCAGCTCTCTGGCCGTATATAATCCGCCAGGATCTTCTAGAGGAAGTATAACCCAATATGACAGTGGGATCAGGAGCTCCTCGAGATTGAGTTGATGCAACGACGCCCATTGACCAGATATACTGTAGTTCCGTGTATTGGTTTGGTCCTCATTGGCCAGTCATGAGACGCCTTCCCAGTTTCCTGCACCGAGTTCATCGTCTCGGTCCGACTTTTGTACCTGTCCGCCACACAACTGTTCATTGCTTTCTCACTGACAGATTCTTTTACTTACGTGTCTGCGGTCTATTCAGAGCTGCACAAATTAGCGATCAAAGCTTGCGGCGAGCACCCATCGTGAAGGGTTCAGTATTTGTGGTGGCATGGACAATCCATGGTACAACATATACGCCCGAGGGCTCCGCGTGCAGGTGAAACTGTGGTTCGTATTTTGCTGAAGACGTCGGCCAGACCAGCAGCCGTATTTCCGTCTCTTCTTCGGTCCATCGAGTTGTGTTGATGCCTGGGCCGGTAGAAGATGGAAGGACAGACAACAAACACCCAACATACCCGCCATGAACTGCCATATTCTGCTGGGGCGGCGTCCCGACCCCAGCTGCTGTCAATTGCATATCTCGAGCAAATGCAGGGCGGTGTGCCAGCGATGCACAACGAACACTGTAAGTCTGTCTGGCCGGTAATCATGTGTTGTGCTCCTCAATATCTCAGGTATACCCACATACAGATCGTCGGGCAGGATGATCCCTCAATGCTGCGGAAATGGAGGCTCTCACGAGCAGCACGCCTGATACGTCTGCGTTCGACGCTCCGTTCGAGACCACTTCTCGCCGCTCTGGTCAGGACACTACACGTGCCGGATCCTAATATACCCATTTACTTGGTCAATGGCACTCCAAATCCTGAATACGATACATACCTCTGCACGCTGGCGTCCGTCGTCATGGAATGCCCAAATCTGGAAGCTCTGACGGGTTTCGTCGCATTCTACAATCACACATTCGACAGACTGACGCACGCGTTGTCCACACGGTTGAAACTACGACAGCATGTCTGGGTCATCGCCGAAAACGAAGATGTCAGTATACGAAGTCAGATCCAACTACCGCCGGGGCTTCTGGACGGACATCAGACCTACCAGTTCGAGCTTTATCATCAGCGGTGGAAACGCCTCGAAACTCTACTGCTGTGCTCACCAGGCGGTGTTGGAGTGATTGAGCACGAGTTGTTCATTCGCGTCCTTCATTCCCTACCTGCTTTACGGAGCTTGTGCATTTCCTCCTTTGACGAGGATGATTTTCACGACGTGACGCTCCTTTCGCTACCACCGTGGGTCAGAACGCTGCGGCTGGAGGAATGCCTGGGGATCACGGACGCAGGGTTGATGCAGTGGGCAGCGAGCCCCAATGCAGCGCAGATTGAACGGCTGAGTCTGCTCCATCAGAATATTACGAGCTTACTCACACTGACAAAAATCTTTGCCAGCTTGGGTCGGTTACGGAAGTTTATGATCCTGCAGACCGATGTCGTGCCTTGCTTGCCCAAGGAGGCGGGATTGGTCCTATTCCAACCTGTTCTCGCCTCGAAATCTTTAAGGTTCCTCCATTGGGACATTCTGTGCCAGTCGCCGGAAGCTTCCAACTGCACCAATTATTTTCATGACGCCGGGCGGCAAATGCCAAACATGCATCTTGCACTCTCGATCTCCTCCAATGGGTTCCCTTCATTGAGGCATTTGCGTGCCCCTCGAGATATCTCTCCGCCTGGCGTTCTACAGTCTGTTTGCCAGCTCATGGAAGAGGATAACGTTCTTCCAGGCGATAGCCTTCTGTATCAACCGCAGGACTTGGCCAGATCGAATTGCTTACTGGCAGCTCGTATGCGTGCTCAGAGCATTGCTCACCAGACCGCTGCGGAGGGAATGAATTCAGTTCTTCCACATGCCCTTCGACATTCAGTGGCGACAGGTTGGAGCCCCGAGCTAGATCCAGCACAAAAGTCCAATGGCGAAATTGCAATGCCTGCCTTCAATTTTTGGGAGCCAGTTGCCTCTTATGCCCCCAGCCAAAGTAGGGACATGTCCCCTACAGATCTGCCCACAGTGCACGAACCGGTTTCACCAATTTCTCCCAATACTTACCCCTTCACGCCATTGGCTCCGGATGACAGCATCATCTCCCCAATCACTGCGGAACGAGAAGAGAGGGATTGGCTTGGCGGAGACCCAGACAAGGAAGTGACAGTAGGGCCACAGCGAACGAATGCACCCCTCGAGCAAATGGCACACCGGGAGTCTATCTGTTGGGCTATGCCAGGTCCGAATCGAAGGGGAGGGAGCATGTGCGTCTGCGGAGAATGGGGAGGTCAAAATGTTGAAGAACGAAGATGTGGCATCTCACCGCCGCCCCGTAGTCCTCTCCGGCCTGCACCTGGTGTTATCAGTCTTGCGTCCTCTGTTCGTGGCAATATTCACGTTCGCAATTTCCCCGAACCTCAAGTGATGGATCGAAAATGGACTCAGATTTCAAGTGGCGCAACAAGAGCCAGTCCACCCGCACGTCCCATCTTCTCTCTGGAGCCAGACATTGCAGGACGGGATGAGAACGGAGGCTTAGTCGGATGGGGCGAACTCTTGAAGATCCGTGAAAAAGCCAAAGTACGCACGAACGATGCGAACGCTGCGAGATCCGGTAGACAAGATGCCAAGCCAGATGAAGGCGATGGCTACGGTCAAGGACATACAGGCGACAAGTGTACAGGCTACTGGAACCGATGTATCCATTCTGAAGATCAACCCGGTGAACTCGTGAAAGTCCTGTCTGCGCCGTCCACAATGGGCGGCAGCTCTAGAATGAAAGGCCGGCCGAGGTCGAAATCCAAGTCATCCTCGAGATTGAGCTTGTTTCTGGATCTCCGGGGCTCGAAGGAGAAGATTCGAAGCGAGGCGTCGTCCAGGCATGTGGCGCGTCCGAGAGGCGACAAAGGCGGATGTGTGTCTGCCTCGGATTTCTTTTAGCCATGTAATGTGGTGTAATGAATTAGCTGTGCCTGGTCTGCTCAAGCTTGTCCTTTCGACCGTGTCTCTGGGCGACAGGCCATCAGGAAAATATCGTGACGACACACCTGTAGTAATCTGCGTGACAGAACACTCGGATTCCCTGAACCTCCTCGCCTTGCCCAGCAGAAGGCAAGATATTGGGACAAGAGTGCAGCTGTGTTGACCATGTGCTGGCTGCTGACCATGTACTAACCTTTGCCATGGGCTAATCATATGCTGATGATGGTATAGTCCGCTTATACTCCGTGCGCTCGAGTAGGGCAAACAGTCACCAAAACAGTCTATGCATACATCCAGGCATGGAAAGGCGACGTCGAATGGGGGCGTATTTTTTTTTATTTTTATGGTGATTTGATTGGATTCTTTTTCTTTAAGGGTTGTGTTCTATGTACTGTCCCTCCCACTCCCACTGGCACGGCTACATACTCCCAACATGGTCTCCCTTGCCGACATCCAGCTCAACAACAACTCCCTGCTCACCCCTGGCAGCGGGCCCGCGTGCGCCCTGGTCGGGTGCACAAGCGGAATCGGGCTGGCGACGCTGCAGGCGGTACTGCGATCCACGTCGTCGCCCACCATCTTCCTCGTGGGGCGGGGCGGGTCGGCGCGCTTCGAGGCCCTCGTCGCGGAGGTGCAGGGCCTGAACGCATCGGCGCACCTCGTCCCCGTCGTCGCCGAGGACCTGACGCTCGTGGCCTGTGCGCAGCGTGCCGCCGCCGAAATCGCATCCAAAGCGTCCCGCCTGGATTTGCTGATCATGTCCCCCGGGTACCTGTCCTTGAGTGCCGCGTCCGACGTCTCCCCTGAGGGCCTCGACCGCGTCACGAGTATTCGCTACCACGCCCGCATGCGCATCCTACTCACGCTGCTGCCGCTGCTGCGCGCGGCGCCGTCGCCGCGCGTGCTCAGCGTCTTAGCAGGCGGGAAGGAAGGCGCGTTGAACCTGGTCGATCTCGGCATGACGCTTCCCGGTTCATATGGCCCGTTCTACGCCGCCGGGGCCGCAGCCGCCATGACGACGCTGGTCTTCGAACACCTCTCCAAACAGCCCGGGAATGAGAGGATCGTCTTCCTGCACGTCTGGCCCGGCGTCGTCTACGGCACGGGCCTTGGCCTCCAAAACTCCAGCGCCCCTGGCAGTATCAGTACCGTCGTCTCGTTCCTGTGGGACTGGGTCTTCAAGCCCGTATTTAGGGTCGTAGGCTACAGTCCCGCCGAGACGGGCGAGAGGGTCCTCTTCGCCGCGACGAACGGGCGGTTCCGCCGCGTCCAGGGGGACCCCGAGCGCGCGCGGGGCACCTTGATCCAGCAGGGCAGCGACGGCCTCTTGGGCAGCGGCGTGTACCTCGTGAACGCCGATTCGAGCGTCGTTGAGGGCGGTGGCAACAGGGAGCTGAAGAGGTTGAGGAACGAGATGGACGGCGCGAGGAAGGTATGGGAGTACACGATCGCCGAGTTTGAGAGGATTGAGAGAATGTGAAAACAAATCCTCCGTACTATGATGTAAAGGATGAAAACGATATCGGGTACGTACAGAGAAGGGGGAAGAGGGAGCAATGTGTTGTCAAAGGAAAAGGGCTAGCTGGACACGTTCCAAAAATCATGACGTCGATCAACAGGTCTAATCGTCGCGAGAGTGCTCTCACTCGGTAGGGCATGGAATGTTTGATAAGGGGGTGTCTGACGCTTTTTGGCTTTAGGAAACTTCGCTCGAGCAAGAGTCTTTATGGATAGGGATGGGTTGGTAAGGAGCTGAAGACTCCCCGACTGCCCATCCACGCCCCGGTGTGCTCGAGGCGCCCAGCTGTTCCCATGCCACCATCTAGGCCAAGAGCGATGCTATCTGTCTATCCTGAACACCAATATCAGTTTGTACGCAGTACTCTGCCCAACCTTGTCGGTGACGCCCAAGTGGCAAGAGGGGATGAATGAGTAACCTGCTCAGTCGCCCGCTTTGGACTTCTGCGGAAACCATGGTCATCTTAATTGAAACACTCGGACATCCACCCCGCAGGGGACATCCCCCAGGCCATGCATGCATCTTTAATTCGGGTCAAAGACATCAGATCCCCAAGTTACGGGGCCACTCAGAGCCGTGAGCTGGGCGCTGACAGCTGGACGCTGGGCCGGCTGTCGAAATTTCTTGGACAAAAAGCTAGGTCTGATGTTTCCATGCTTGCCTGCCTGCTTGATCTCAAACAGATATTGCTTGGTCACATCCAACTGTTTCCGTCCATGCTGCCAGGTCGGATCTGTCATCGTTCGGAAGTCAGTGGGTTCGTCACTGAGCTGATATGCTTCTGCTGTTTACCGGATTTACCGGATCGCTCGTGCCAGCTATTCAAGCACAAAGTCACGCATATTTGTCCGGTAGATGTCAAGGGTTATATCGTTTGTTTCGATGTAGAAAAGCAAATAGAATCAGCCAAGGATGAGCTTTTAATCGAGTGTCGCTTCCTGAACGAGATGTACCTCTCGCCAGTCTCGCTCGATAGTTCCTCTGTCCAAATCGGCTCGCCAAACCCTCAATTGCCAACGTGGAGATCCGTTCTGTGACTTTTCCGGTAAGTGGAACCGTATCGGAAAGACAAAGTGTATTCTATAGCCGCGAGTCTTCTTCTGGAACGCCTCTCTGACCGGGCCGTAGCCGTCTCTGGACTCTAGGACATGCCATACCTTTAGCATCACATTCGCGTCTGAAAGTTGGTCGGAACCTGCGTGCTGGGGAATATTGATTGTCCAGGTTTTTGGGTTCGGCGAGAAGGTGGCTGTTCGCAAGTTGGGAAATTTGTCCAAGTGTAGCACCCATGTCGACTCAAGCTCGGAGACATTCAGCCGCACGTGGCGCACCTCTTCCAGGCCGTGCAAGGCCTTCATCCTGAGCACAAACGAGTGCAGGGCTTGCTGGCAATGAAGTTCCCACATGGCCATCTGGATAAATACACGCTGTGCCTCACTCCTCACCTGCCCCGGCGGCGCAGACTTCAGCAGCCACTGGTGGTCTGCACGATAGGGGCCCGTCGCATCGGAGAAGCAATAACAGCCCGACTTCGCCGTCACGGCGACCCGGTTGCCGCTGAAGGCGTGTGCAAAGACGTGCCAGCGGATTTCGGCGGGCAGCTCTGTTAGGCGTGGGATCACATCCTGGAGTCGCTTGTCGCGACTTTCGGTAGGGAAAAAGTATGGGCGGGCGTTGAGAGTGTGGAAGTATGAAGTCTCGGCTACTGCTGACTCGGACATGGCGATGGAATACTGATTGTCAAGGGGCTGGGTCTGCACAGTATGTCCACCTTTTCGCATCATCAGCCTAGAGCAGATGCTTGACTGTAGAGGGCCTGATTACTAGCAGCTGAACCCCAGCCCAATGCTGAGGGTGCTCCGTTGTCAGCAGCTGGTGATTCGTGCTGCGTAAGGTGGCTGGAGGAGGTACGGTAGACTGACGAGATGGTTTACTGCTCTTGGTGATAAGGACAGCAAAAGATGGCAGAGATGGTATCCGGTGGTATGTATGTAGAGAGTACGTAGAGATTATGGTGCACCGTATCGATTACTACGGTGACGCAAATGGAGGCAACGAATAATCATCGCATGCTGATATCTGCTCTACATACCGAATACAGCACACCCATTATCTGGCAAGTGTCACTCCCTGCAGCAAACCGTAGGAGAGGAAATTTAGTGAGAGCTAATCTCAAAGGAACAATCCAAATCTCCATAGCAATAAGAAGTGCTGATAGGCTTGAAAATGTACAATGCTTTTCTATTTCGCATGGCTGGAAGCCCACCCACCCAGACGAGCAAGAATATGCTGATGAATAGACGCTTCTATGGAGTGGCGCCGGCGAAAGATGATTGTGTTTCATGGTCGGCGAGGTGGTAGTACAGATGACGAGGTACGATTTCGCAAGGTGACAAACCCGAAACTGGCCAAATGCATCAATTCGTGGACAATCGACTCTCTGATCTATGATGGTACCCCTCAGATGGCAGCTTGTGGCATATCCGACGGAGAGTCAGAATGCCCGTTGCAATAATAAATGTCGGAGTTGGTAAATGGCAATGGAGCTTTTCGCCCTCCCGTTCACAGCAAACAGTCCTCATCACCATGGTCTTCATGCACCACGTGCTTTATGCACCTGTTCGTATGGAATATTGGTCCTGCCTTGACCGACTCCTTGAAGATGCCTTGGCTGTGTGCGGATGTCTCGTATGTCGGAAAATGTCGTGGTAATCGTCATCATCATGGTCTAATGTATTTGGAAGACTGTCGACGCGAAGTGGATGTCCTCCGGTGGCAGCGGAGGATAGGTGATTCAAAACAGCGAGATCGTTACTGGATGTCTTGAGAGTGGCCAAGCGTTGCTTTGGCTTCATAGATCGAGACTTTATCGGTAAGGATGGCACTGGAGGTAACTCTCGATTCGGGGGCGGCTTTGTGGGTGGATCAGAAGGAGGCCGAGGGAAGTATCTCACACCCTCGTCTGACGACGCACTTGTGCTGTAGTTCAGGTACGTGAATGCACCAGTCTCAATCGACTCACCAAAAGACAGTCTTGGATCCACTTGACTGTCATTATTGTGCCAGTTATTCCACTGTTTTTGCTTGGGTGTGTCCAGCTCATCAGACCAAGGCACCTGTTTACGGGGGACAGCTGTCACTGCGCGGCGACCGCTCCGGTGCAGGGATTGATCGCGAGAGCGGGGACTATCTGCGACAACCGTGTCGGAGACGCCGTCGAAATTGAAAGACAATAGTGAGCTGACGGAAGTTGTTCCAGGCGTCGTGGTTGCGCTTGGTGGAGTGTGACTGAAGGGCAATTGAACTGTTGGAGCGCCTGGAAGAAAAGCCTGCTCCTGCCGCTGTCTTTGTTCTCTGACGATGGGTCGTGGACTTCGAGAGCTTTGACGCAGGTGATGCTCTGAATTGTAGGCCTCTAATCCTTTCTCGGAATGTTTCTTCTCCCGAATCGGAATGGTTTTGCTTGTTTCTTTGCTCTCTGATTTCTGTTGAGCTGCACAGTGGAGTCGATCGACACCGGCAAAGCGACGGATGAGATCGCCCAGCTTGTGCTCCAATTGCCCGCTACTCAGACGCGCGGAGGGATCTCGCTCGAGGCACTGAAGAATCAGTTGCACAACAGGGCCCAGGGCATGAAATACCTGGCCACCGTCCTTTTTCGCTTTCTTTTCAGCTTCATTCTGGAGAGCCTGAGCCCACAAGAAGACCTGGCCAAGGTTTGCGTGGAAACTCGCATCGGCTAAGCCCCCGCCACGGCCAGCCATTCGATTTTTGGCGGATCGATGCCGTGAGAACGAGCCGTAGCTGCGTTTGCAGAGCAAATTCAGGATATCCATGATCACCGCCCCAAGTGAAAACACATCTGATGCGAACATGTCCTGTTCCACAGACTGCCAGGTCTGGACGACTGCGCTCCGACCCTCCGGGGCCGAGACGAAGATGGGGTGGTTGAGCGAAGGACCACTCTTGCCATTTGAGCTAGTAGATGATAGGATTGAGGGTGCCCTTCCCGGGACAACCGGGTCAACGCCAAGGCGTGCTGTATCTTGAGTTGACACGGATCTGTTGTCGGTTGGTGACACCATGTCCCGACCGCGACTGATGGGTTGGGGCGGAGCGTCGGGACTCATGGCTGCGCTCAAGCGTAACCTGGCATAGCCTCCTCTCGAAGTGGGATGAAATGTGTAAGTTGCTCCAGACGAAGCGGACCTGCTTCTCGCAGTATTCCTGCCGTCTGAAGACTGCAATCTTGCACTTCCACCCACCTTCCGCCCAGATCGTCCGCCAGAGGGGAGCGAGACGGCGGCAGACCCAGTGCTCTGAACGGTCACCGCTCGCTTCCATCGCTCGGGTGGACCGTACTGGTAGGCTTCGATGTCGTCATGGCGAGGTCTGTGACGAAGCAACCCATCTCCGTCCAGGAGACCTAGCGAGATGGAGAAGGAGTCATCAACTTGGATGTTGGATGGGCGAATGCCGCCATGAAACTCGCCGTTCTCGTGTAGCCAGGCTAAAGCGCCGGCAAGGCAGTGTGGCCAATTGATCAGGATTCGTCGTCGCTCGGGCTTTGGTAGAGCACCGAAACTTTTGGGAGTGTCAGTGAGAAATGTCTTGAGACTCCATTCGGGCGCTGGGGCCGAGAGGACATTGAAGGCGCCTTGGTGGAGGTATGAACCGAAGACCGACACGATATGTTCGTGACACAGTCTTCGGCTTGCCGCGATTTCATTCAATATGTCCTCCTCCGTGAGCGGAGCTTCCAGAACGATGCGGCGGCGAATGAAAATCCTTTGATTGTCGGACGGGAGTCGAACCCTGTCGGTGCCTTCGTGACCGAGCGAAAGAACCACCGATTTCAAACTGAGAGGGACGACTGGGACTGTTTCTTCATCGGCATAACGGATATGCTCCCCTGCGCCGACGATACGTGTAAGGAAGCGGAACTGGTTCTTGTAGAAACGTTTGTCCAAAGACCTATCCGGTTCATAGGATAGTCGGAGATCGGGGACGGCTTGCTCGATGATAGGCAGATCTTCATCATCGTACGAATCATCGATGATGCCAAAGATCTGATCGGGCACTCCGGTGGCGACGAGGATGAGAAAGAAGCGCTTTGCTCTTGTCAAGATCCAGTCCAAGTAGGTGTCGTCTGTCAGATCTCCTCCAAAATATAAAGGGCGCTGAAGATACTCTTGTTCATCTGCACGGAGGTGAGAATGGACATATGCGGAAGTGACCGTCTCGTCCACACGCTCATCCGTCCACAACGACATGATTCAGATGATTCGCCCTCGCCCGCGCCCTTGGGAGCAGGATGATAACAAGAAGGTCAACGTCAAGGCGAAGTTTTGAGTCGGTAGCTAGCAAGTAAGCCATAGTCTTATCGGAGAGCATCCGGCCAGGACAACAGGGACTTCTGAACAAACACGTGGAAAGTGGGCAGCAGACATAGTTAGTGACATATAGCAGGAGCCAAAAGGGACGCCAGGAGCAAAAAGTAGCTGCGATGCTTACTCTACAGGAGATGAAACCGGGGAAAAGGTCGAAGGATGGGGAATCCTGCTGTCTTATTTGGCTCAAATTGGGAATGTCTGTCAGGCAGGTCGCGTGGATGGAGTGGAGTGGAGTGGGAACGGTCTCGCATGGCAAAGGGCAGCCTGAGAGGATAGCTAGAGTGAGAGATAGAGGATGGAATATCGAGTGGGGGTCAACCTACTACCAGGTAGGGGAGGCGCGAGAGAAGTAATACCAGCTCGCTAGATAACATGGGAGCTCCAGGAGTAAGACGGAGGGGACAAGGCACAACACACCTTATCTCACCAACCAGGGGTAAGGAGTGACAGCCATCTCTTAGGCCCTTGCTGGCTCTAGAAGACAGTGACCTCTGCAAAGACAAGATAGCATTTTCACACGTCCTCCTTTTTCTTTCCGAGACCTCTCTGCACCCCCGAGGAAGAAGTGGGAAAAGGAGCTGGTGGGAGCGTGGTCTGGACTGAGTAATGTGCCAGTTCGGATGGCGATAATCGAGGGGACTGGGTGTTGGGGGTGATATTGGGCATGGCGGTGACGAACTCCCCGGTGACTCTCTTGTACCTTGCATTGATTGTTCCTTTTTGTTTTTGACTTTTTTTTTTTTTTTTTGGCAGCACAGTGATGTCGTTGCTCGTATGTGGTTGATCGTTTCGCGGCGGTGGCGGCTGCGGCGGCAACGGGGCGACGGTGGGTGGGACTAGGGGAGGTAGAGAGAGGGAGGCAGAGGAAGAGAGAGCGAAGATCGGATGCACGGTGAATGAATGACTGTTGACAACTGCCAGGGGACACCTCCGACTGGTCGCTCACCAGCCTTATCAACCACCACAAAGTACTATCACTAGTCGCCGAGTCCCTCAAGTCAAATAAATGACAAGCCTCTGGTTCCGAGTCGCGTGGGTCTTTCATCTTTGGCAGAAGCAACCAACCTCGGCTCCCCCTTCGATAACAGCTCTTTACCATCCAACAAGATACTCCGTTCAACGGCCAGGCGACTTCCGCACATTGACAAGGCCTGCTTCGGTCCTTTGTGTGGGGCGACTTCTCCTGGTTCGGGGGAACGAACAGCACGGATCACGGCAACACGGATCTGACTAGGCGCCTCAAGAGTCAGAAGTGAGAGCGAAAGGCTGGGTTTGGACTCTAAAACAGGGGACTGCCAACAGGGGACTGCCAGTTCAAACGCCCCAAGAAAGACTCCAAGGACCCGATGCACGGCTCCCAAGTATAAGAACCAGCATGATGACCACTCCTGAGAACACGTTGGCGCTGTGTCGTAGGGCCTTCCATCGACCTACTTGAACCCTACACGGTACGAGGTACACCGTTCAAGGATCCCTATGGAGAGACCACTCCCCACCGATATAATCCCGCAGGACCTGAAACAGGGCGGGACATCTTTACCAAATCGGCGCAAACAACCACCAAGGGGTCATCATCATTTTCGACCACACACACCGACCTCGTACAGAGTGATAGTATTCTGTCGAGCTTGTCCCTTTTTATCTATATGACTGAAGGCGGCCATCCATCACCAAGACGTGTCAGAGTCAACATCACAATCAGCCGCTCGGCGCAGCTCCAGGAGAAAAAAGTGCCGCCGAGACAATTTCTCACCAGAAGCCACTGGATGCTATTACCGTCCCCTATCCCTTTGTTTACCACGAATAGTCATTGCTTTTGCTCACGACCCGTCTAGTTGCCGAGTAATAACGATGATCTAGGCCCGTGGCTTTTCGCATCATTTCTTTAGTCGCCAGTATATCTCCAGCATTGTTCCTGCCGTGGTAAAGTCCCAATATCCGGAGCTAAATCTTGCCGACGAAGAACTCAGAAAAGGCACTACCCTTACTCATCTCGCACTATGAAATCAACACAGGCGTGTTCATTTAATGTATACTTCCAAGGCACGCATACACTTACTGACATGACAACAAGGTGGCAATGTAGCGTCCATTTCAGTTCTTACGGGAAAATGGATCGCTACGGACTCGTGGCACGCACACTTTCAACTTGGAGCGCAGAACTATTCGCAACGTGAGCTTGTGAGGGATGGACCCTTACCTCGCGCCTTCTCGGGTGAAGAGGATTGGATCGTTCGGTGCCTGGAAAGATGGTGATGGGTATACCGCGGACTCAAAATGTCTTGGGACCGAAGATCGGAGGATGTCGTCTGAGGTCTCAAGGTCGGTTCATGACGAAGCGGCTGTGTGAGCTGCCTCGTGGTTGCTCATCTCAAGAGAATCTCAAAAGCCTCAGTTCGTCCACATGTTCCTCAGGAAGCAGGATGGTCGCTGTAGAAAAGGATGAATGGCCTTTGGTTTTCCGAGTCGAGATTCCTGGCTTTGAAGGAGTGTTTGGTTGCTCGGCATGAAATGGTTTGCGACGGCATCGACAATACTGTCACATCTCCTCGGTATCCCATGGACTGCAGGCACAGGGTATCCACCGCGAGAGGAACGGCTCCTCCCAGATGATCGAAGGGCCGGCTCTGACCGATGCTCAGACCGTTGCCACAGCGGTGCAGAGAGCACAGACACAAGGGTGTGGTCATGTGTTGTGAAGCAACGGCCTTGAGATGAAACGGCCGCATAGCAATCGTCCAGATACTCTGGGGCCCTACTACCGCCGGCAGAAATGCTACGAAAGTACGCGTTCCACATTACCCTCACTACACATGGAGGCGGGAGGGATGATTCGAGGAGTGGTTCTGAGGAATGTCCGAGCTGGAGGCTTTGACGGCGCCAGATCATTGCCAAGTCTGCAGAATTGCGCGAAACCGGGGAGATTGGGCACCCCTGATCGACAACCAGAGAACACATTTCAGGCCTGAAGAACTTCTTCGGAATCGTCTTGAGTTGGGTGCACAAGTAGGTAGGGCTGATTCATAGTCCAGCCGAAGGGTCATTGGTAAATGCCACGCGGGTGCCCGGCTGGTAGGGACATAGGTATACTTAGTCCGTACAGTGTTGCGACATAAAAAACTCATCTTTTCAAGGTGCCAAGACCAAACACCTGATATCAACACAACGACGGGGCAAGGTCTTGGGATGTGTACCGAGTACGAGGGTTACTAGCGCCACCAGCGCCGACCCAAAGCAAGTGTCTCGCAAACTGGAGGGCCAAACTGGAGGGCCAAATCTCGCGGATGGCATGATGAGATGAGCCGGATGAGACACAGTGGTGACGGTGCGGTTCACAGCCACAGGTTCCTTCGTCCTGGTGCCTTCTTAATAATAGCACCTTCCGGTAAGGGGGGGAACGTCTGTCAACACCGGTGACGAAGTACTCGTAAGCCACGGAGTTATAACGGCTCGAAGCCCGACATGCAAGGCCAAAATATGCTGGACAAAAGGCACAATCGTCAGGATGGGATTCTCTGGGCACGGGCCAGCAACACGAAGCAAGTGGCCGCCCAGTTCGATTTGATGCTCGTGCTTCGTAAAGCGAGCTAAGTGCCTGATTGGGATCGTCCAACGGAGAGCTGTTCCTCCCTGCCAGCGAGCTTCAAAGAAGACCTCAAGGCGCTCAACCCTATTTCCTGGGTGAAGAAAAATCCTACACACCTCATGCGCGACGGCCCAAGATGATCCACAGGCGTTCGCTAAGGCGCTCAGTCCCCTTGGAGCCCTGGTCTCTTCGCTGGACAAAAGAATTCAAGTGCAAGGCTAAACCACAGAGTTTCCCGTTCTGCTTCGGAAGCCCCTGTCACGGAAATGTGGCTCGCACGATCCACGAGGGTCTAGAACACGCCAACTGTCATCCTCGACCACCCCGATCCTAGGGATTGGCACTCCACTGCAATGTTCTGCATAGCCAGATGCCTGTGCCTAATCCTCTCCCTGCTCGCTGTTGGGCCTGTTCGAGTGCCCACGTAACTTTTGGAGCTCCAAAAATGGCGCGAAGGCTACGGTGCTGTACCTGCAAGTGCTCCAGCCCGTCTCCTTGACCGCGCCTCACCCGCTCAAAGGCCATCAAGAAAAAGACCCTCACATCTGGTCGTACATGAGTCTGGTGGCCCGACACAGCCGAGTGCTTTCCTCGACATCTTTACTTCCTTGCTCGATCTCACCAAGTGTCCATTTGCCAAAAAGGCTGTTCTCCAAGCATTTCGCCGTGTGAGACTGCCTCTTTACTCTCGTCGTTACTCGCTTTTACTTCCTGTCCTTCGTTAACACTCTTCTCAGCTCTCTGGTTGGGCTTCTGGCACCCAATCTGCCTGAGAATTTCCAAATCCGTCCTTGCAGTTTGGCCCTAATTGTCTCTACCTTCGACATTCTTCCGCGAGCAGATCTTCATGGGCTTGCCATATCGTTCCCGCCAATGACCTCCCAGCCCCTGCCGCTGGATAATGGCTTGCCCACTGTATCCAAACGGCATCCGGTAGTCGTGCAAATTCAAGAGCTTTCCCTATGCCTGTCAAGGAGAGACAGATGCGACGAACTCGCTCATGGCGTTGTAGGGATTTTTGGAAAGTCTGAAGACGGTCTCAGGGATGGTTCAAGATCCATGTTGGACGGACTAGGGCTGAAGAGACCCTACAGTGATAGTGGACAAGAACAGAAACAAACCTCACGCCCCAAGCCACGGAGGAGATCGTCGTCACTAGGATCGCTGGAAGGTATCAACATGGGGCTTGAAGACTGCTTCGGTCGGAGAGAGCAACCAGCGAGGATCTATAAAACTAGAAGTTCCGATGCCGCCGGCCCGTTTATCGCAAGAGTGGAAAAACAGAGGCATGAAGGAATCCATCAGGATATGGTCAGAAATCGCCCGGCGTTCTCAGATATGACTGCCGCTCCCGCCAAACTTCCGGGACCGTTGCCCACCCACGGCTGGTTCCATCCTTCACAGTTCCTCGGACAGGTCCTCAACGGGCCTTGTGGGATTGTACCGCCCCTCACTCCTCCAGAAGACATTGACTCTTTCAAATGGGAGACTCCGGCACAGACAGACGCTAGTGGAGGTGTTCAGACTGCATCAAACGTTGACCAAGGTAGTTCACAAAGCCAGAGACAAAGTCAACATCGCACTAGCTCCACATCCCGTCCATCAGAGATACGACTACCAGAACCATCAAATATGGCACGAGACGAATCAAGCAGATCAAACTGGCTCGAACGCGTCAGCCAGCATCTCGGTAAGATCCTACTCGGCCCAAACAATCACTATCTACTGACTGTGAATGCGTAGTTTCTTCGTTTGGCGACTCAACCAGCCAACACCAGATTCAAATGGTTGTTCAAGCGTTACCGTCTCAACCAAGGTCGACGGACACGATGCCAATCTACAACAGAGTCGTGGAAGACGTCCAAAACCATTTCACATCCCCACCATATATCACAATCACGCATGCGTACTCTCAAGCAATCAGCATTGACGAAGTTCCAGCCTCACCTCCAGCGACACCAAACACCAACCATCCGAGTGACGACTACTTCCAGGATCACACTGTCTTCATCCATGCCGCCGCTGTTCCGGCTTACCACTCCCAGACGACGGCGCACAGCACGGTTGGTCCACGTCCATCGAGTATTATCGCGGCTCCCAGCAGTATACAGATCTCGATTCTAGAGCGGTATATTCCGCCTACGACGTCCCGGGAAATAGAGGACTTCTTCACGCTGAGCAGGCGGTCGTATTTGGCAGACAGACTGCTTGAATTGTCGTCGAATGATGGCTCTTTGCTCCTGGTCTATCCGACCAAGCAGGGGGGACAAACATTCGCAAACCGATACGTCGGACCGGTCATCGAACCTTTTCTGCGACAGTTTATTCTTTTGAACAACCTTTACACCGATATTGCGATCCAATTAGGCAGAATGGCAGCGGTCTCTAGTATGAAGAGCTTCGAGGAGATGCAAACCCTCCTAGCGGCGATGTGCGAGGCACTCGGTCAGCGAGCGCCTTCCCGAGGGCTACCGAGTCGATACCAGATAGTCCACGCTGAAACGGCCGAGGTGGTACTAGACCGCGCCCTGTGGAGAGAGTGGTACATTGAACAAGAGCAGCCCCGCCTACGACAGAACTTGGTGGACTATCACAAGGGGGGTGGTCGTATGCCAGCTAGAAGTGGACGGATTGAAGTGACGCCTGGTATGCTCGCAAGAGAAGTCGTCGATGGGATCCGACAAAGTCGGGAAAACGCGGGCAATGTTGGTGTGGAGGTTGCCGTGTTTGTCGTTCGACGCACGACCGTTGTGTAATGTTGTTTGCTGGACAGGAAACTGCATTGTTTACGGCACGGCTGGCGGCTGGGGTATACAACAAGGCAGTGCAATTGATCAAGCAAGGCGTTGCGGGCTGACAATAAAATGAGGCTTTCGGGCGCGGGCGCTTTTTGGGAGCCACAGGACAATGAATGAGCAATGAGATACCCAGCGGACTGTGCAATTCTAATGAAGACTGTCGATGCACATGAACAAAGACATGCTCATTGGCAACAGTGCACTCAGTACAGAGTACTTGTTCAGCCGGACATGGTTCACTCAGGGCGACGTGATTCTCGCTGACCGCCACCATTGTCCTTGACCGAGACTGACGTCTACGGCGTTTTCCTCCACCAAGGTCAAGAGCAGTCACTATCAAAATTAGCAACGCTATGCTACTGTATGTTCGGATGACGGGCGTGTGCCGTCAAGCGAAATTGTTCGTGTTTCAGAAATCTTATCGCACAGTCCAAGACCAAGATAAGTCGTACAAGGGGTTCCCGATAGAAATAGCTTCGAGAAAAGGAGACGCTCAAAGCCAAGGTAGGAATGGGGGCATCTTGGGCATCCTAGGCATCTCGGTGTTTCATGCCTACTCACTGGGTACTAGTCAAGAGCCAGGAACGAGGGTTTGAGAGGGGGATGGGGGGCAGCCAACCAACCAAGCTTTTACTCGTAGGCATGCCGGACAAACCCTCCGGGGGTGCTAGGGCGGCCTTGCACCTATAAGGACATGTACCTAGGTAACAGTGGCTGCAGGCGCTGGCTCCTCGCTACAGTTCCCTATCTCGACCACTTGTGAAAGCTCGGTAGAGACGTGGGCGAGCAGATAAAGGGCTGGCGGACAATCTTGCATCCTTGCCATTCATCCTCCACCCACCCACACCTCTCAGCCTCCAGCCACCTCGCCACCTTGAAGCCCGCGTTATCGATTCGGCGACATGGGTTAGTATGTACCAGGATATCGATGCACGAATGCACGAAACTTGTCCATCTCCCTCCACGCTATAACCCAATCGTTATCGCGTCTTCCAACTTTCCTGTGCCCTGAGCTTGCCATTGATTAGGTTCGGGGCAGCTTGCAGCGGGAGGTGACCTTGGATTTTAGAGCCCGTCGCAGGTGTTTGCAGGATCAATCGCATTTTCGTGGCCAACTGGATGCGGGATGCGCAACTGGTGGCGGTGGTAGCGGCTGAATTGGACCATGTTGAAGCTCTCCTCGAATTTCACCACTGCAATATTGAACCTCTTCCCTTCATTGTCTCCTTCGCTACTTGTTCGTCCTTGCCATTGTCGCTGCTGGCGTCACCGATGATGTTTGATGGCTGTCGCTCTTGACTGACCTGTTGTCTCCTCCCTCGTTTGGTCCTTGGTCGCTGTCGCGCCTGCTCTGTGAAGAGCACTGCGCCTGCCCATCGCTATTTGCTCGAGCGTTGCTGCTGCGCCTGCGGCTCGTCTCTCTTTGTCTTCACCCTAACTTCATTCACAGGCGGCAGAGTCACTCAAATCCATTGCCTTGGGAACGAGGTCTTTCTCTTCTTTCGCACATATTTATTTGTCACTGCTGATGGTTGTTTTATGTCCGACCTCTGACGCAGCCTGCCACTTGACCACAACTGCTGTCACTTGTGAGCGATTGAAACTCGAAGATTTTCAATTCCCAGAAGTGTTTTGACATCGATATTGCACTTAATATCACCTCTCTTCAACCAAGACTCGGGAACGCTGAACGAGACCATGAGTGCTCAACCAGCCTTGATCCTCCTGGTCCTTGCGGCCATCTGCACCACCATAAATGCCATTCCCACTATCTCAGCCGTCGGTTCCAAGTTCTTCACGAGCGACGGCAACCAATTCTTCATCAAAGGTATGTCCGAACCCTCCTGAGAGCTCCTCCCTATGTGGGCTGACCGGACTGGTCTGCGCAGGTGTGGCCTACCAGCTCGTCGAAGATGACCCTCTCGTGAACACCACCCAATGCAAACTGGATGCCGCGCTCATGCAGCAGTTGGGCGCCAACACAATTCGTGTGTACCACGTGGACGCCACTGCAGATCATTCAGGTTGCATGAACGCTTTCGCTGATGTTGGGATCTATCTGTTTGTGGATATGGACAGCTTCAAAACATACATCCGATACGTACGGGCGGTGACAATGACCCATGGCAAGAGACGAGGGCAGCTGACACTTGGCCAGGAATCTGACTCGTCGTGGACCGCGAACAAATCGGCGTCGTATCGAGCTGTTATGGACAACTTCCAACAATACGACAACACCGCCGGCTTTTTCGTGGGCAACGAGGTGCTCAATGTTTGTATGTGGCAGATCACTTGCACTTGGGGCCAAGGAAACCTACTAATGACCCAACAGTGGCTGATTCTGGAGCTGCCCCTTATCTTCTCTCTGCCGCCGTCGACCTCAAGAGCTACCGAGACGCCAAAGGCTACCGCAAGATTCCCATCGGCTATTCGGCGACAGACACTGCCGTGCTTCGACCTATGCTTCAGGACTACTTGGTGTGCCGTCCTAACGTGACCGAACGCCTCGATTTCTATGCATTGAACAGCTACGAATGGTGCGGGTCGACTCCTGATTTTCAAACTTCTGGATACATTGGGTTGCAAGCGCTTGCCGAGAATTATCCGGTCCCCATCTTCTTTTCAGAGGATGGTTGCAATACCGTGCCACCACGAACATTCGACGATCAAGCTGCAATCTTTGGTCCGCAGATGGTTGACACCTGGTCTGGGGCCATTATCTACGAGTGGATTCAGGAAATGAACGCTTACGGACTCGTCTCATATGGTCCGCCGGTCGGACCAGACGTCAACGTGGGGTCGACCATCGTGCAAGGGTAGATGATGGCTGACAAACTACGAGTTACATGCGCGGGAGCACTGACCGAGTTACAGATTCACCCGTCAAGGAGTCCCGACTCCGGTGTCGCCGGACTTCAGTAACCTCCAACAACAATGGATGACGCTGAATCCCACCGGCGTGAGTTCAGCTCAGTACGCGGCGACGGTCAAGACCACTCCACCGACTTGCCCAAGTTCTACCGCCGGAGGATGGACAGTGGACCCTAGCGCGCCTCTCCCCACGATCGGAGTTGGAGCCGTTTCAGCAGGTATGCCAAGCGGCGTGCCGAAGGGCAGCATTACAGTGGCCTCTTCTGCCGCCGGGACCCCTTCTCCTTCTACTTTGCTTTCTGTTCTCACTTCTTCCACGTTGCTGTCCGCGTCGACTTCGCAGACCAGTAGTACTTACAGCTCGACAGTCACCCCGTCGATCAGCTCGAAGGCCAGCAGCACTACATCCGGGGGCGCCAGCTCGGCGACCTCAGAAGGAGCTGCTGGCAGAACCGTTTCCGGACCTCCATCGTCCAAGGATGCTGGGATTATCGGCATGGCACTTGCGTTGGTGACCGTGGGCGCCGGTGTGATGGTATGGCTGTGAAGGCAGGAAGGGGTGTATCAAACCAGGACGCGGCTAACTGTACGAGTCACGAAAAAAACATAATTGGTGGGTTTTCGATTGGTAAAGACAATCAAGAATTGCGTGAAAGTTGAAGGTAGACGATACGCAAGTATGCTTACGTGACTGCAATAAGGAAACAGAAATAGATTTAATGGTAATCCAAGGGTGAGGCCCTGAGATGGAGTCCAGCGTCAACCGCCTTTCGTTTCTGTTGTTTTCGATCGGCAGCGGAAGTTCACATCATGGTCCGACGCTGGAAGCTGATTGATGGCCTTCTCGATCTTCTGCATAACCGAGTCGCCTCGCGGTATCATTCGTCAACACCGCCGCCTGGCGCCCGAAATAGCGTACCCAACAGTAGGAAAAGCATATCCCATATAGGCAGCTCTGTGCTGGCCTGCGGTGCACTCACCGTTTTCTCAGAGCTCTCCGGCTATGACGGCACGTTTCCCACGCGTTGTCAGCCAACTGGAAGGACGTGAGATATGGCCAGACAGAAGCAAGGACGATAATGGTGATGAGATCCCGGGGGGAGGGTGTAAAGAGTAAGCTATTGTGGTTCCCTCATGCACATAATTATTATTATTTTTTTTCTCCTACCCACGTAGATATCTGCCCGAAAAGTTCGGCCGAAGTACACGAGTCATGCAGGAGCGACAGGTGGATTCGGCGAGTGGCAGATGTCAGATGCGAGGCCAATGGAGGCGCACGCTTGAAGCTGACACGAGTCGTGAAATCGAAAAGACAAGAAAAATGATTAAGTCCGGAAAATCATCCGGGACCCACTGGCGAACTCGCTAAGTCTACGTTCACTGACCTCAGCACGTATTTTTCGTCTCGCTTTCCAGCTTGAATGCCATCACACCGAAAAAAAGGGTCTGCGTGTTGATGGTGGATTTGCCCCTCGTGTCTCCCCCAGTCTCTGTTTCCCGCCCTCCCAGCCCAACAGAACCAACTACACGGCGCCAGCCGTGCAATGATGTGATTCGGACGGAGCAGCCATCCCTCCATCGCCATGCCATCCCTTTCTTTTGCTCCCAACCCGCTCCAGGCTTATAAATCCATTCTTCTCCACGTGCCTGGCGGCTTTGTTGAAGTCCGCAATGTCCGGCGTTTGGCTTGTCGTCGGATTGGCACTCGTCATCATTGGTACAGTAGTAACCTTGCGGTGTAGGGCGAAAGGCCTATTGTCGCCGTGTATCTCCATTCGTTCGCTTCTTTCTGTTTCCTCCTTCAATATCTTCACCCCCTAGCCCTTCCAAGAAATTGACCATACGCCGCCTTCTCCTCGTCTCTTCGGTTCAAGCTTCATTTTCTAGGACACTACCGGGAAAACTGGCCGACCTGCCGGACACTTATAAATCTCTTAATTTGAGAGCTGCCCGACCCGCAACGGGGACGAGAGTGCTCTGGATATTGACCTCCCACTAGACAACCTCATATCTCCAAGGACTCAGGACGACAGTGAGGCAACATGTTCAACCAGCACAGCGGAGAGATGTTTCGACGGCGGTACGGCCAGGAACGTGAGTTCTTCTTCAACAACACCCTCTATTCACCCCAAAACTGACCAGCCTAGCACCTCTCACGAACTTGCACAATGTCGCTTTGCCCGGACAACTCTCGCAGGATACAAGTGCAGTGCCATCCCTTCATGGATCTGGAGAGCCGTCAAGAAGCCAGAGCCAGGAGCGAGACGGAACCTGGGGTGAGCGAGATGTCGGAGGGCCTGTCAACCGTCAGGAGGCCATGGCAGAGTTCGAGGAAATTAGGCGGGAGATCTCCAAAATCAGCCTGCAACGTACCGCAACTCGCGAATCTGGTGCCGAAAAGGTCAGAACCTGGCTCTCCCGAGGTCGGTCGCGGCCTTCGGTGGCTCGGACCACGACAACAGCTTCAAGAGCCAGCAGTGTGGCCACCGATACAACTTGGGATAAAGAGACTGGTCCCGAGCCGGTCGAGGAGGATGACCTGGATCTAGGCGCTTTCCTCAAGGACGGTCACTTCGAAAAACGGACCGAGGCAGGCGAGTCGGCCAAGAAGGTCGGGGTGCTGTTCAGGAATCTTACCGTCAAGGGAGTGGGTGCTCAAGCCACCTTCACAAAAACTCTGCCAGAGGCCATCATTGGCACATTTGGACCCGATCTATATCACCTCGTGACCGGATTCATCCCTACACTTGAGTTTGGCAAATCGCCTCCGACAAGGGATCTGATCCACGATTTTACGGGCAGTGTCCGCGATGGCGAGATGATGCTCGTGCTTGGTCGTCCCGGATCGGGCTGTTCGACCTTTCTCAAGGTTATTGCCAACCAACGGGAGAGCTTTGCTGGCGTGGAAGGCCTTGTCACTTACGGTGGTATCTCCGCCGAAGAACAAAAGAGGAGCTACCGAGGCGAAATCAACTACAATCCAGAAGACGACCAACATCTCCCCAGCCTGACTGTGTGGCAGACTCTCAAATTTGCATTGATGAACAAGACCAAGAAACATGATGCTAGCACCATCCCAATCATTATCGATGCGCTTCTGAAGATGTTTGGTATCTCCCACACGAGAGACACGTTGGTGGGAAACGAGTATGTGCGAGGTGTTTCCGGGGGTGAGCGAAAACGAGTCGGTATCGCCGAAACCTTGGCAACAAAGTCAACTGTGGTCTGTTGGGACAATTCGACGCGCGGTCTGGATGCCTCAACCGCTTTGGACTACGCAAAATCGCTCCGCGTCATGACTGACATTTCAAATCGAACGACCATCGTCACTCTCTACCAGGCAGGTGAGGGGATTTATGAACTTATGGATAAGGTCTTGGTCATTGAAGCGGGCCGTATGATCTACCAGGGCCCGGCGAACCAAGCACGACAGTATTTCATTGATTTGGGGTTCCATGCACCCGACCGGCAAACCACGGCCGACTTCCTAACCTCAGTAGGAGACCCGAACGAGCGCCAGTTCCGAGAGGGCATGGAAGCTTCAACACCTAAAACTGCACAAGAGCTAGAGGCTGCATACCGCAAATCGGACATTTATAAACGAGTGCTTGCGGAGGTCGAACGCTATGAGATTGAGATGGAGGCTTCTGACCGTTCAGATGCCAGGCAGTTCCAAGCAGCCGTCCAGGAACAGAAGAGCAACAGTAAGCTCATCTCAACACGTTCCAGCTATACTGTCTCGTTTTGGCGTCAAGTCATGGCGTGCACACTTCGTGAGTTCTGGCTTTTTTGGGGCGACAAGTCGACTCTGTACACTAAGGCCTTTATCATCATTTCGAACGCTCTCATCGTCGGTTCTCTGTTCTATGGCGAAAGCCTCGATACCAGCGGCGCCTTTTCTCGAGGTGGCGCTCTCTTCTTCTCTATTCTGTTCCTTGGCTGGCTCCAGATGACTGAGCTAGTAAGGGCGGTCAGTGGCCGAGTGGTGATTTCACGGCATCGCGACTATGCATTCTATCGACCCAGTGCGGTGGTCATCGCCAGAGTCGTCCTAGATCTGCCGGTTCTCGCCGTCCAGGCTGTCGTCTTCATCATTGTTCTCTACTTCATGGCCAATCTCGACGTCGACGCTGGCAAATTTTTCATCAACCTTCTTTTCGTGTATCTCAGCACGATCTGCATAACCGCGCTTTATCGCATGTTTGCGGCGTTAAGCCCGACCATCGACGACGCGGTCAGATTTTCTGGTATCGCACTCAATCTCTTGGTCATCTTTGTCGGTTATACAATTCCGAAGACTACATTGACGGGCGACGTGATTTGGTTCGGTTGGCTGTTCTACATTAATCCGGTGTCATACTCATACGAAGCAGTGTTAACGAACGAGTTCCATGGTCGATTGATGGACTGCTCTCCTTCAAACTTGATACCGCGCGGCCCCTACGCCCAACCGGGCTACCAAGGGTGTTCGCTTCCTGGAGCGACTATGGGCAGCACCAAAGTCAGCGGTGACGCCTATTTCCAAACTTCGTTCGGCTACTCGCGGTCACACCTCTGGCGAAACTTCGGTGTGGTCATCGCCTTCACGGTTCTCTACATACTCATCACAGCTTTCGCTTCTGAGATCTTTTCATTTGCTGGAGGCGGAGGTGGTGCGTTGGTCTTCAAGAAGACTCGCAAGGCGAAGAAGATGGTCGGCGAGAAGACGAAACATACAGATGAAGAAAAGGTCGTGACGCCCGCGGAGCCCAGCTCAAGTGGTACCTCAGAAATTCTGAAGGAGGAGAAGGACGCGATCGTGGGCGGCATCGCCAAAAGTAAGAGTGTCTTCACGTGGGAGAATGTCGAGTATGAAGTCCCATACCAAGGTGGGAAGAGAAAATTGCTCAACGGAGTTAATGGATATGTCAAACCTGGAATTATGATCGCCCTCATGGGTGCTTCCGGAGCTGGCAAGACGACACTGCTCAACACCCTCTCGCAGCGACAAACGACGGGCACTGTTTCTGGGGACATGCTTGTTGACGGACGCCCTCTTGGAATAGAATTCCAGCGCGGGACTGGTTTCTGCGAACAAATGGACTTGCACGACGAAGCCGCCACTATTCGAGAAGCTCTTGAGTTCTCGGCGATATTGAGACAAGATCGGAACGTGCCGAAGCAGGAGAAGCTTGACTATGTCAACAACATCATTGATTTGCTGGAGCTCCACGACATTGAGGATGCCATCATTGGTTCGCTGGGTGTGGAACAGCGTAAGAGACTGACTATCGGTGTCGAGTTGGCTGCAAAGCCCGAGTTGCTTCTTTTCCTGGACGAGCCGACCAGTGGTCTGGATTCTCAATCCGCCTTCTCGATCGTACGTTTCTTGAAGAAGCTCTCTCAAGCCGGCCAGGCAATTATCTGCACGATTCACCAGCCCTCGTCGATGCTGATCCAGCAATTCGACATGGTCTTGGCACTCAATCCCGGAGGCAACCCCTTCTACTTTGGTCCCATTGGAGAGAACGGCTCGGCTGTGATTGAATACTTTGCGAAACGAGGCACTCAGTGTCCACCCAACAAGAATGTGGCTGAGTTTATTCTCGAGACTGCTGCGAAAGGAGGGAAGAGAAGAGCGGACGGAAAGCGGGTCAACTGGAACAGAGAATGGCTCGAATCCGAGGAAAACGCGTCCATGCTCAAGGAGATCCAACGCCTGAAGGAAGAACGATCCAAGGAGCAGCCAGCAAAGGGAGTAAAGGAACAGCGCGCCTTTGCCGCCTCTGTACCTCTACAGACGTACGAGCTCACGAAGCGCACATTCCGTTCATACTGGCGCGACCCATCGTATCTGTATGCGAAGCTCTTCGTCAGCGTGATCATTGGCATCTTCAACGGCTTCACATTTTACAACCTCACCGACTCGGTGGCATCGCTGCAAGAACGGTTCTTCACTTCCTTCCTCATTATCGTCATCCCACCCACGGTCGTAAACGGCGTGGTCCCCAAATTCTACCAAAGCCGCGCATTGTGGGAGGCCAGGGAATACCCATCGCGGATCTACGGGTGGTTCGCATTCTGTACGGCACAGGTTGTCGCCGAGATTCCCACGGCCATCGTTAGCTCCGTCATTTACTGGCTGTTGTGGTACTATCCGACCGGGCTCCCACGCGATAGTGAGACGGCGGGGTACATGTTCCTGATGACCATGTTGTTCTACTTCTTCATGTCATCCTGGGGCCAGTGGATATGTGCGTTTGCGCCGTCCTTTACGGTGATTTCGAACACCCTCCCTTTTTTCTTCGTTATGGTCTCTATCTTCAACGGTATCGTGAGGCCCTACAGCCAGTTACCGGTGTTCTGGCGGTATTGGATGTACTATGTCAACCCGTCCACGTGGTGGCTGCGCGGCGTGCTCGCAGCAACGCTGAAAGACCTGACGGTCCGCTGCGCACAGGGCGAGTCGACACTGTACAATGCCCCGCCGGGTCAGACCTGCCAGTCCTACACTCAGCCGTTCATCAACTCCTCCGGGATGGGCTATGTGAGTACTCTGGCCAACGGGACCTGTGCGTACTGCCCGTATGCGAGCGGAAGGGAATACCTCTCCACATTGAACACCAAGCCGGACGAGCAGTGGCGCGACTTTGGCATCTTCTTGGTCTTTGTGTGCTCGAATTGGCTGTTGGTCTATTTCTTCATCTGGAGCGTGCGGGTCAAAAAGTGGAGTTTCGGTATGCGCTATGTCTTCGGGATGGCTGAGAGGCTGACTGACGGGGCCAAAGGGTTGGTGACGAGGAAGAGATAAAGGAAAGGGAGAAGAGAGCAGACATGTGACGCCCTCGATCGATGTACCCAGTACTTGTTAGGATATACCAAGTAGTCCGTTCTTTGTCTTTTCGTTTTTGGGCAGCGACTAGAGACATACTTAGTAAATGTCAGGAGCTACGAGCTTAGCCTAGCGAAGCTACCAGAACGTGCCCGTCAGCTCTTCCGGGCTCAACTCAAAGGGCGCAGTGCTGAGCCACGAGAAATCGATCGTGTCGTCGAATATCAGATCCGGCAGTGCGGCGCCGCACTCGACATTTCCATCTCTGTCTCCGTCTACTTGTCTTTGAGCTTGAGCTTGAGCTGGTACCGGGATTTGTGCTGTTGCATTTGCCAGGTCGGCATCGAGCTGAAAGGCGAACAAATTGCCACAACTGCCGACGCCGACGTCGCCGGGAGCGGCGCTTAGCTGTCGGCAATGCTGCTGCATCTGCAGTTGCTGTTGTCGATATTTATCCTGATGCTGGTCCCGAGCCTCCACCGCTGACGCCGTCGAGGACGAGGACGAACAACCTACCCCTAGCCCTACCATCACGTTTGACTCTTGCACTTGCCCCTGCTGCTGCTCCTGTGCCATGGCCGCAGCACGACCGCCGGCGCCGGCGCCGGCGGTCGTGGATGGAAGCCAATGCCTGGGCGCAAAGTTCCGCGCAGCCAACTCCAAAAGCCTGACGCATTTCACAGCCGTGCGGCGCATGGTCTGGTAATGTCCTAAAATGGTCAGGCATTTGGTCCAGGATGCCTTGAGCCCTGGGTCCAGATCGGGCCGCCGGTGGCGGTGGATGAGGAGCGTCATGCCGCAGTTGTACAGGTCTGTCGCATACACGACCATAGGTATGACGGTTAGAAAATGCTGAGCGGGGGTCGTGTGGATGATTTGGAATAGGGTTACGGTTTGGGAAAGAAAGAAAAGAGCGCAGCTTGGATGCATATATGTAATCACTTACAAAAGATCGTGTACCACGACTCCGGCATCGTGTCGTTGCGCGTGTGGTACGCCAGGTCGAGCAGGTCGATCAGCTCGATGGTCGCGTTGATGCACATTTCCGACGTCTTGTCCAGCAGCGTGCGCCGCAACGCCGCGTCGACGGTTCTTCTTCTCACCTCCTCCTCTAGCGGCGGTCTCTGCTCCTCCATTATTGCATCTGTGGTGGTGCCATTGGTGCTGCTGTAGTTGGTATGTGTGCCTGATTTGTGCAGCAGGAACGGTCGGCTTGCCAGGATGTACGCGTAGAGGTTTCTATAAGTTGCTCACTATGGATCAGCCCAAGCCGAGCACACGTACAGAGTATTATATGAGAAACGCCCGACACCAAATGTGAGAGAGAAAAGAAAGGCTTACTGCCCGCGCAGGACAACGGCCTGTCTGCTGATGTCCCTGAATTTCTCGGGCGTCGCGCGAAGGACTGCGAGTTCCGGCAGACGTAGAGAGTCCGGAAGCTTAGATTCCCACGACACGAGGGCGGCTTCGACGGCGACAAAGTCGTCCATCTCCATGCGGTGCCTGTGGTGGGAGTGGTAGGGAGTAGTAGTAGTAGTAGTAGTAGTTGATCCTTGCTTATTAGACGTTCGAGGCGGCCAAGGGGTTGCGCTACCGCTGCCGTCCCAGCTAGTGATGGCAGTGTCTGTTTCTGTCTCGTCGTAGAACTTGGTCACGATGTCCGAAAGGTGCTCCTGAAGCTGGACCGAGTGAGACAGAAAAGTTACAGCGTTCCGATCGCTCTCGGTCAGGCTTTCGCGCTGGATCGCCAGTTCAGAAGGGATTAGCCACTGGGCTGTCCTCGACGTAGTCATCGGCGGGCGGCCGTAGATCGTGGCTGATCTTCTGCATCTCGCTATCAGTTCATCTCTTGAATGTAGGAGACTTCTCCTTTCGCCTCACCGGTCCATCAATACACAGCCGGCCCAGGTCCGCCAGCGAAGACAGCATGTTTCCACGCCACGCTTCTGCTGCCACGTCGGTGACTTGCGGTGGCAGTGCAGACCGAGCGCCTGTGCCATCCTGACAGCTATCGAGGTGAGATTCCAACACGCCCCCGTCAGTTCGCTGGAACTCTGTAGGTAGACGGCAGAGTACAGCAGGGCCTGGATGAAGATCAGGCGCGGACGGTTGAATATGTCAAAGTCGAGCTGCAGGAGCCTCTTCCAGCGCTTCCAGAACAAGGCCCCTCTCTGAATCTGACGCTCGCGGGTGTCGGACACCTCGCAGTAGCTGCAGACGGCGAATATCGCGTTCAGGAGGATGTGGAACCGCCTCGATTCGGGGATGTCGTCGATTGCGGGCCCCAGTTTGGTATAATATTGAGACGTGGTGAGATAGGAATGGGCAGGTTGCATGTTGGACGCCCAGAGATCTTCGTACGCGGCTTGGAATGTGCTCTGGTCGAGAAAGGGGTACAGAGGATAGACTCGACTCCAAAATATGGCCATCAGGCCGTCCGCTTCCTTTTTGGGTGGGAGAACGTAGTCGTCAAATGCCGCCACGCGCCGTCTCGTCCTGCTCTTGTTAGTTCAAAAAAAAAAAAAAGACATTTTTTGTTAGTACGATTCTGCGGCATACTGGTCTGAAGGATAGCTCTCGTCCAAGAACTGGTCCGCCTCCAGGAAACTCCGGTTTGACTCCCGGAGGATCCGTTGGGCCTGGTGAACGAAGTTGTATGTGCTGGACTGGCCAAAGTAGAGCGACTCCTCGTCCTCAGGAAGGGAGTACACCAACCCATCGTTTACGACAATTCCCATGCCGTCGACTTGGAAATTGTGGTGTCCCTGACTTGTGTCAATTTTTCTCTATGAGTGGGTTATATACCCAGTCCTCCCCTGGGCACTTTACCTGGTCCTTTGCATGATCCGACAGAGGCTCCATATGCTTTGGCCCATGATGGCCATCTCCGGTCATTGTGAACGGGCCAGAGTCTAGTGTTGTTGATTCCAGCCCCCGACCGAGTCCATTTGAATCTGTCCAGTGCGAGGCATTTCTCGGCGACAGCGACGACGGGGTTTGCGGTCGAACTGACGGACATTCAGATGCGGGCAAAGGGACATCATTCAACAATATTGCCGCACCGCTTCGCTCTTGCTCAAGTTCGGCAATGCGTTTTTCCAAGAGCTCGATCTTCCTTTAAAGGTATTATAGTCAGCCCAGAGTCCAACATATCCGGGGAGATGGTGGCCCTCACCTCGATGTCCGCCCCCTGCGCGGTTCCAAGACGCATACCGCTGAAGGACCTTTTCTTGCGCATGTCCCACAGACTGGCCGGATCCCGTCGCACCGTCGTTTCCCAATGCGGCAGCTCTCGCAGGACTTCTGCCCCTTTTTCCTGACAGGAGGGGCCTGGGACGGACAATAACGGGGCCCTTCCAGATTTGACATTATCTTGGTTGCAGTCTTCTAAACCCGTGGACCTTGATGATGAGGACAAGTCGATATCTCAAATATCCAGGGGAGGGTCCACGTGAGGCCGCCACTTCTTATGTTTTCAAGTCCCCCGGCGGGTGGGGGATCCCTTGCCTGCTTGGCCATTTGTTCCCCAGACTGTCCTCGATCCGGGACGCATGTACTCCACATTCAGCCCATGCATCATGGAGAACGTCGACTCCCGACGAGTGCCATTGCTACAAGGAAACTCCACCCACCGAGCGGGGCGGGAAGCGGTTGTAGAGCAGCAACCAATGGTTGAACCAGGCTTTGCGGCAATAGGAAGGCCGCATCTCGCGAATGGAAATTCCGCCTCGTATCTCGGCTCCGTCTGGCGTCGCATCGGACAGTGCATGGACGCGAGCCGGCGACTTTCGCTGAGCGAGAAGGATAAATCTTGGTAATACCTCTCATGATGACTTGAGAATCGCTGGTCAAGTCCACATCTAACATTCAGATACTTAGGAAGCGGTCCCGAACTCTCGCTAAATATGGGCGCAAGGGGGTACAAGGGAGGCTTGAGAATACTCAGCTCTTTCTCATTCGGTACATCTCCTACTCGTCCGCATGGTTGATGACCCATATGGAGTGCAATGTAGGCTTCCCGTCCATGGCTTTCCCACGCCTCGCCTGCGAAACGCTTCTCGCCGTATTGCTGCCACGCCAGAGGGATCAAGTTGCGCCTCTTCGCGTCGAAAAGTCGCCCAATGAACGTGGTCGTGTGAGCTTCGAGGGCAGTAGGGCGAAGTTGGTTGTCCAAGATGTACACAGATGGGTCCACAAGATAGATCCGCAGTCCGCTCGGAACTGGTCGAGAGCAGAGAAGGATGTCTGGGACTGCTCTTCAGCCTGCGAAATGATAGCAGGGTCCATTCCACCCGCGAGTCTCTTCGCGCTGGGGGAAGTCATGTTAGCCAGCATGTACAATGGATGCTAAGGTACACACAAGTCCAACTTATATTCGAGCGCCTTGCGGTATGCGTCTGAGATGCCCGGCTGCTCGAGGAGCACATTGATAGCGACGATGGGGCCTTTGACTCGAGCCTCCGACGGTTTGAAGCTCAAGCTCATGTAGGAGACTTCATACCATTGGTCCAGAAGCCGCAAAATCCGGTCTTTGAGATCCTCGGGTGGCAGGTTTGGATATATTTAACACAGGTAGTGAGCGATGTCCATGGACTCCGTCAGATTGCTCGGCAAGGCTGAGTATACAAGAGCCGGCACCTGGCCCTTGCGATTGATGCTCGGTTATTCTTCCGTCATGTGGCCGCCCTTGCAGATGTCGACAAACTCTTCGCTGAACTGGTGCCGCTCTGACTTCGAGGACGCCATTGCTAGAGTCATTTGCGCCATGATGGAGCAAGTAGAAAACGGGGTGTAGTAAAGACGACACTGGGCTGGGGCATCTGAACCAATCGTGACAGCAGTTTTGGTTTCTGCTACTAGAGAATAGGTCAAGGTCTGTTGCCGCTTGAAGGTGAATATCATCCGGGCCTTGGGAAATTGATAGATATAGAGAAAGAAGAGGCCACTGGATCCAGACTCTTGTTCCATTTGCAAGCTGTAATGGACTGTCAAAGGCCGCAACTAAGCGTCTCCGCAAAGACGTCCAAACTGCAGGTGCGGTAAATCGGAAGATCTCTATAACCTTGAGTTGAAATATACAGCGCCGAAGCATAGAGCAAGGACCTCGAGGGTTTGACTCTCCGTATGGGAGTATCCAGGGATCCATGTCCGCAAGCGTTTGGGACTCGGGCCATATGAAGGTCGCAGCGAACACGATCTTCAGTGAAATTGGGTGTTGCCGATATCTCTCAGTTGGCCAAATTCATTGCTTTGCGAGGCATTGAAACAGCGGGCGAGATTTGAAGGGCTTTTCTAACCATCTTCTTCTCTGACTCGGCTACATACGAAATGTCATTCATGAGATATGACCTCATTCCCTCCTAGAAGTGCTTGTTACATGTCAATACTCCATAGAAGGTCTCACGCCTCGCCAGTCTGAGTTCATCTTACGTCTCTTTTGCATACTGCAAGACCCCAAACTTTTCGGCGGATTGTACAACGAGCTCGCGATGCGCTTTACTGCGTGGGTTTGCTCTGGCTGGAAAAGGCTCGCCAAGGGTATGGATGCCTATATTCGAAGTATCAACCGGTCCAGTCTGTTGAGGATGTTGTTCAATGTTAGCAATCGGTGACTTCCCTGGAGGTGGGTTGATGATGGAACAGTCCTAGACTCACCGCTTCGTAGTCATAGCAGTAAACCAAGCGTGCAATATTGATGAACAGGGACTTTTGGGCAAGTCTGTAGCCCACGCAAACCCGGCGACCTCCACCAAATTGCCATACACCATGAAGGATGTTGGATTCATGTCCGTCCAGCCATCGTTCTGGTCGGAACACTTCAGGCTGCTCGCATTCTTCACACAGTGCTATATGATTGAGAACAAAGTTGGTGCCCTTTGGAAAATGGTAGCCCTCCAGCTCCACGTCCTCCGTCAACATGTGCTCCGGGGTCCAAGTAAAGATAGGCTTCCATCTGAGAAGTTCTTTGGAGAGCGCGCAAATGTACGGCATGTCCTTTTCATCGGCAAGCATCGGAAGCCGCTCGGCGTTGGCGCCACATACTTTGTCGACTTCAGCCCGAGCTTTCTGAAAAGCCTCTGGATTACACAAGGCCGCCAAAGTAAAGATATTGAGCGACATCCGAGTTGTATCGGCGCCGGCCTCAATCAGTTGGAGGGCCAAAAACATGCCATCCGTCTCGGAACCTGTGAATTTTGCTTCCTTCCCAACAAGAATATCCTGAGCAAACGATCTTGGTGCTGTCCCCGACTTGATAGCCGTGATGACAGGGGCCCAGTATTGGCTATATGCATCGAAAGTGAATTTCCCAATAGCCGCGTACTTTCGATGCCACCAATGCAGGAAACGTGGAAGCTTCGCCAGCTCGGGAAAGCAGTCAATGATGTTGTGTGGTGGGATGTTGGAGGTAAACGCCTTTTGGGCGTTGAATACACCTTCATAGGATTCATGTCTTGACCCCACTCGTTCGCCCAGTGTTATGCGGTGGATGACACTGTTAGCATATCGGGAATGGTGTCGGTACCATTCGTCAGGCCTGAACAGATACTCTGCCAACAACTGAACGCTTTCCAGCTCCTGGTATTCCTCGTACTTGGCCACGGCTGTGCCAGTCAATAACTGATGCATCACCCGGCGTTTGTCCGACCACTCTTCGGTGGGCTGGAGAATGGTCCTTTTCCCAACGCTGATTAGGTCGCCCACCACTGGATATGGTGGCCGTCCGTTGGTGATGAGGCCTTTGCGGTTGTAGATGATATTTGCCACACGAGACGTGTTGAGAGTCACCCACAGCTTGGATCCGCAATGGACTGTGGCCATTTCACCGTATTTGGCCAGATCCCTCGCCTGGTGGGCAAGTGTCAGCCTTGCACATCTCTTCATAGAGTGAAATTTCACCTACCGCGAATTTCCCTTTCGCAAGGTATCGTAGATTACCAATAATGGGAAGGCCACGTGGGCCTGGAGGAAGTTTCCATGGTTTGCCCCCGGGGGAGAGTCGCTTATCCACCGGTCGAAAGAACTCATAAATCCCCCAAATCACAGCGCAGGCGACAACAAGAAGAAAAACGGTCAGTCGCAGAGCATCTTTGAGGTCGGTGAGATGTTCCAGACACTGAGCCAATAACTCAGTCATTTTTCTCTTTGTCTCTTGGTTTGAGAATGACTGGGAGCAGACAGTATGGCACTGGTGTCAACACAGCACTCAAAAACCAAGTAGTATATACGGCATTTCCATTTTCTGACGTTAAGACCAGCTATACTTGGATGAAGTCATGTCCAGAACTTACCATGTCTCGATTGCGGCCGCACTATCCCGCACAAACTGCGGTATGAACAGCTTTTGAAAAATGACACTGGGACGGTCTTTTCAGCATGCGGCATTGCTATTCTCCACCATCGCGGGCTCTCATAAGACCGCTCTGACGTTCTTCTTTTGCGGAGGGCCTTGAGCCTTATCCACAAGCGATCGCATATACATCAGAGCCATCCTCCCCTGAATGCTTCTTTCTGACGCCCCATCACCGGGCAAAAATCGACGATGAACACCAGCATCACACCCTCCAACTTTACAATTGATGTGCACACACATGCCATCCCTTCATACTACCGCGACTCTCTGGTCGGGGCTGGGTACAACGCAACCGATGCTGAGCATGTCTATGTCGACGGTTTCCTGGTCCCAGAGTTCTCAATAGAGACGTATCTGACGAACCGCAAGAAATTCGGCTACGATTTCTCGATCTTGAGCATTACCTGCCCGGGAGTGTCGTTCTTGCATGGCAACTTGGCTGCGAAAATGCTCTCACGGAAGTTGAATCAACAGCTCTTTGAATGGGTGAAAGCGAACCCCGAGGACTTGGGGGCTTTTGCTGTCGTTCCGCTTCCCAATGTTGATGCAGCAATCGACGAAGTAAAGGCAAGCCAGTACCAAATTCCGAGCAGACGTTGCTTCTTCCTCTTCCGTGCATTAACAATCCCACCATAGTACTGCCTCGATGAACTGAAGTTTGAGGGCGTCGGTCTCTTCACAAATTATGAAGGCGTATACCTGGGCGACCCATCGTTTGATCCTCTGTTTCAAGAATTGGACCAACGTAGTGTGACAGTCTTTGTACACCCCACTGCGCCAATCCCTGAAGTAAAGCTGGGCGCGAACATCTCATCGCCAGTCATAGAGTACCCCATGGACACGACGCGGGCTATCACAAATTGTCTTTTTCGAAAATTTGTCCAAAGGTTCCCTAACGTCAAGATGATTTGGTCTCATGGTGGAGGAGTGCTCCCTTTCCTGGCTGACCGGCTTGCGCTACAAACCACATTTCCGTGGCAGGGAGGACGGAAATATGAAGATTCATACCGTGACCTGCAGTCTTTCTATTTTGATACTGCTGTAACTTGGAGCAAACCTCAGCTTGCTGCCCTCAAGGCTTTCGTTAGTGCTGATCGCCTGCTGACGGGGACTGATTGTAAGCCGCTCATTTTGGTAGGAGAAGATCAAAGCTGACTGCATCGGCAGACCCTTATCTGCCGGAAAGCTATATACCAGTGGCACAGGCAGGAATCAAAGCATTCTCGGGCAACGAGGGCTTTTCTGAGGAAGAACATCAGAAGATCAGGTTTCGAAATGCGCTCGAAATTTTTCCCTCTATCAAGGCCAAGTTCCCTGAGCTCGCTTGAGCTGGTCTGCTTCAAATAGCATAGAAGAGAAGAAATACAATACGCCGTCAAGCTAGGAAATTTCTTGTGATCAAGGCTCGCTGAGGAGGAAATCTCGACGAGCATAATGCGTGAAAGGTCGACGAAGCGTGAGAAATGCCTACTATAGAAACGTGTACTTCTTCTCTGCAATCAGGCGTAATTGCTGTATATGATGCTTGGATCTTCGGGTCGTCGTCTTTCCTGACACGTATGGCTTAATCTAGGGTTTGGGATCCTCACCGCGACTGCGTTTAAGACGACATCCGTCAATCGAAGGTTGCAAATCCACCCTCAGCATTGCTAGCGAAGGTAGAGAAAGCAGGGCAGCTGCTGACTGGGCTGTGGATTGAGAGTCTGTTGAGTGGCATTAGGAAAGGCACAACGGGAGGGTCGAAGTCGAGAAGCCAAAAGTGGTCGCGGCGACGCGGTGCCGCAACCATAACACGCTAAGTCTAATTTGGTTAGAACCATATTTGCGGACACAGAATCCCGCAATACCTCGTCCAAGTCCAACACGACCTGCACGACTTGACGATGGGAGTCAATCACTGTCGACCACACCTGTCGACATGTCCGCAGACGTCGACCGCCTGGAGTTTTGGCTATCCGAGAATCAGCGGGCTGACACGCGGACCGACACGGCAGTGGCAAGATGGTGGGATTCAAATCACCGCTCTGCACGAAATGCTCAGTACAGTGCTCTTGCGCTTTGCCTAAGTCTGCATCATATCTATCTCGACGAATCCTTCCTATGCAGCGATAGCTGTTAGATTCCTGCAGTTGATCTGAATGCGAGACCTGACAAGACCTGACACGACTCCCCGTCATGTCTGCCAACCCGATCCTTGTCTCTGACAATATCGAGAATCAGCCAGTGATCAATCTTCTGCCAGACAGAGTGCAGAACACAACCGAGACCCTCAATGGCACCGATTCTCACACCACCAACGGTACCGATGGCCTCAATTCCCATGTACCGCAAGAGTTTCCAGATACGGCGATAGAGAACTTCAGACCATTGCGAGTCGTAGTCATCGGCGCCGGTTACAGTGGGATCTACATGGGTATCAGAATCCCAGAGTGGCTTCGCAATGTCGACCTGACAATCTATGAGAAAAACCCTGCTGTCGGCGGCACCTGGTATGAAAACAGGTATCCTGGTTGCGCCTGTGACATTCCCGCACACTCCTACGTGTATACATTCGAACCAAATCCCCACTGGAGCACCTTCTATGCTGGCGGGCCCGAGATCCAGGACTATCTAGACAGAACAAGCGAGAAATACGGGGCAAAGAGATTCATCAAGTGCGGACACAGGGTTTTCAACTGCCAGTGGAACAAACAAACCAATAAATGGTGCGTATTCTCAAACTATGGCTTGAATCGAGCAGCGATTGCTGATGCAATTGTTAGGGAATTGCAAGTCGAGGTGACTTCCACGGGGCAAAAGTTCGACGACCAAGCCGACGTGGTCATCTGCGCGCGAGGAGCATTCAACGAGTATGCGTGGCCTGAGATTGAGGGGCTTCGGTCTTTCGAGGGCAAGACTGTCCATTCAGCAGCTTGGGATACAAAGTGAATGACATTGCTGGGCACTTGCTGCTTGCTGGCCTGGCAAAGCTAACCGGGGTGTAGCTACGACTACTCGAACAAGCGCATCGGTGTGATTGGTAATGGCAGCAGCGCAATCCAGATCGTACCGACACTTCTAAAGCTGGAGAATGTACGAGTCAGCAACTTTGCGAAGGGGAAGACATGGGTTTCACCCTCCTTTGGAGATAATGCGACGACCAAGCTAGGGCTCAAGCAACTCGACTGTAATTATCCCTATACCAAATTCTCTTGACCCACCTGCTGATGAAAACCAGTCAAGGCCGAGGACCAAGAAGCATTCATCAAAGACCCCGAATGGTTTGAAAGATTTCGGCATATCATCGAGAGCGAAGCAAACGCGGTACATGGAATCACGCAGAAAGGGTCGCCGCTCGCTCTTGGTGCACAAAAGGCATGCGAGCAGCTCATGCGCGACCGCCTCGCAGGGAGGCCAGACATAGCTGAAGCACTCATACCCAGCTTCGCCCCTGGCTGTCGTCGTCTGACACCAGGACCTGGGTATCTAGAGGCGTTGACCAACGACAATGTCGAGTTCATTAAGACGCCAATCGTAGAGATCAACCCACAGGGCATAAAACTCTTGGACGGCCGGCAAGTCGATCTTGACGTCCTCGTTTGCGCAACGGGATTCTACGCCATGGCCGCTCCACCATTCCCAGTCGTCGGCACATATACCGACCTCGCATCTCGATTCAAACCATATCCAGATGCCTACATGTCGACGGCTGTCGATGGATTCCCAAACTTCTTCCTTATGCTCGGGCCCAATTCTGGCGTCGGCAGTGGCAGCCTAACGAAAATGATCGAGGCAACCGGCGATTATATCGCCAGATGCATACGGAAGCTCCAGAAAGACAACATAAGCGCGATGACCGTCAAAGCTGAGCGACTACAAGACTGGTCCGCCTTTATCGACGCGTATTTCCCGAAGACGGTGTTCATGGACGACTGCAAGAGCTGGTACCGCAGCGACCAGGGCACCGGAAACCGAGTCATCGGACTCTGGCCCGGGAGCACGCTCCATGCCATCGAAGCCCTCCGAAGTCCACGGTGGGAAGATTACGAGTACGTGTATGACGGCGACAGGGAAGGCAAGCTTGTCAATCGTCTCAATTGGCTCGGAAATGGCTGGAGCATCCTCCAAACTGACGAAAGTGGCGATCCGGGCTATTATGTCCAGCGCGAGTATATCGATTACCCCAGCCATCCACGGCCGGAAGAGACGCCAAAGTGGAAGAAGCTGCCGTTTACATATTAAATAAGATTTCCATCTCTCACGAGACGGTAGACGCTGCTCATACGCTTCTGATGGTCACCGCGATCCTTTGCCAGGTTATTCGTCGATTCGTAGAGCCGAACTGGTAAGAGGTGTGAAATACACAATGATTTCCACGACCCAGACAGGCAGTCTGAGAGAGAAATCAAGTGGAAAAGACTGTCACTATCATTAGTATTGGTATTTTACTATTGGTATGTGCCTCGCTCGCTCTCTTTAAAAAGAATGAAGAATTGTTCGCCTTCAACAAAATCCGTTCCCACTTCCCTTCCCTTTGGCTGTCTACCTATTTAGGGACATCCTATTGTAGGTAGATATATTAGCCGCTCAAGTGCCTCAGTCCTCCTCCTCCACGCCCACGAGCTGGCAACTGACAGACCACAACCTCTTGGCGGCTTGGACGTCGTAGCACCACTCCGCATGGCCGGGGGCCTGTAAGACCTCAGCCTGGTCCCTGTTCACGGGATTGCTGACGGCGCAGTCGTCGAGGAATTTCCCACCTTTGCCCTCCAGCTCGGTGTCCACGGCAGCCAGCACCGACGTCGCGGCGCCCTGCTGCAAGGATTTCATGCCCCGTCGGATCTCTGGTAAGGCCAAGAGGGCCGAGAAGTCGGCGTGCACTTGCAGGCCGGTGTCAATGCCGCCCGGGTGCAGCGACCACGCGTGCAACGGGCCGCCGCGGCCACCCTCGCGCGAAGAAGAAACGGCGCCAGAGCCATAGCGCCGCTCGATCTCGTTGGCCATGTAGATGTTTGCCGTCTTGGACTGGCCGTACGCGCCAAAGGGCGTATACGCGCCCTCCCGAGAGAGCGACAGGTCGTCGAACACGATGGGCGATTGCCGGTGGCCGTTGGACGAGACGACGACGACGCGCGAGTGGAACGCCGGACTGGAGCCGGCCAGCAGCGCGGGCTTGAGCAGCTCAAACAGCAGGAAATGCCCCAGGTGGTTCGTCTGGAACTGCAGCTCGTGGCCGTCGCGCGTGAGTTGCCGGTCTGGCACGGCCATGATCCCCGCGTTGGTGATGAGGATGTTCAACTGCTTCTCCCTGGCGAGGAATTCCGCCGCGCAGTGCCGCACGCTCGCAAAGTCCGCCGTGTCGAGCTGTAGCAGCTCGACCCTTCCTGCCCGCCCTGGCTCCAGCAACATGTCCGCGAGCGCCGCGCGGCCCTTTTCGAGGTTCCGCACCGTCGCGTAGATCTTGGCTCCCGTGGCTTTGAGCGCGCGCACGGTCTCGACCCCGATACCACTCGAACAGCCCGTCACCAGCACGACTTTGTCCGTCAGGGCATTTTCGAGCCTGTTGTCCGCGATGATCTGGAGCGCGGTCGGGCGAGAGTCGCCTGGCCCGGCCAGGTTAGATGGGAGGTGAGCTTCGGCGTAGCGAGTCGTCATGTTTTTCAGTGAGACGGAGAGCTGATTTTCTTTTCTCCTGTCAAAATATCTGGGCGGAAGAAAGGCTTGGCGTTGGTGTTGGTGTTGGAACTGGATCCTTGGACATCTCATCAAAGGTCTACCATCACGGCTCTCTTATATAATCATTTTGCTCCTCGCTTCATGCCGCGCCTTGATCATTTCATCCCCTTCCATGATTTAGCTCACCCTGCAAGACAGAGGAGATAACTTGGTGCTCCGCCGACGCATCTTGCCCTGTTGACTCTTACCTTAACACCGGTTCCCCTTACGTCGTTGTGGCTTGTTGGAGGTGTTCTTGATTGCGAGAAGCGGACCAATAAGGCTGGGTGCGGACCTAGTGGCTGGCTTGGATGGTTGTGTCCCAAGAGGGAAATTAAACTGAAACAGAATAGTCGCGTTGGTAGTCCATACTCTCGAGCCGAATTAAGAGGAGGAGCCCAGCGGCTACCGTTCGTGCGGTGCGTTGAATTGGATGACGAGATGATGCGATGCACGGTGCTTACGCTCGCTTCGGAGAGGGGCACCAGGGGGCGCGTGGGGAATGACATGACTTAGCTTGTAACTCCCTGTTTTGAAGCCTTGCCATGGCTGCCAATGCCGGACGTGGACGGCACGGACGAAGATTCGGTACTGGTAGCCATTTGAGGTCGCAGTATATATAACAAAACCAGGTTGTGAGTGTGACAAAACACTGCAGTGGGCAACTGAGTAGCAGAACAGAGGACACTTTACTATACAGAAGATATACTGTGCAGGGATTTGGTGTCACCGCGGTGCTCATTGTATCAAGTCTAGAGCCAACTTGGCCAACCATCTGTTACTCCCAGCTAGAAATCTTCTCATTCGACCAGAATTGCCCGTTCCCTTTGATGTTTCCAATGGCCAACAACACCGGCGTCTGCGCTCCTTGGTCTGGTGTCTTTACTCCTCCGCCTTTGGTCATGTCGGTCTTGACGTAGCCCGGGCAACAGCTGTTGATCAAGACTTTGCGGCCCTTTTGCGCACTCTGCTCGGCGATGGTCTTCGTCATCCCTATCACGCCAGCCTTTGAGACAGCATAGGCAGCGCTTGGCCAATCCCTTTGGTGTGTTCCTTTCGACACCGCCGTTGAGAACTCTTCCATCAGTTGGCTGATCTCTTCCGGTGACTTTGCGTGCAAGAATCGAGATCTGATGGAGCTCGAGTACCTGGAACCAAGTTGGCCCGCCAAACTAGCGACGTTGACCAGTCTCCCGCCATCCTTGATATGCGGCAGCAGCTGCTGCGTGACCTCCAAGGTCCCGAAGTAATTGCAATGCAGAGTCTTCTTGGCCACATTTTCGTTAAACCCGTCCATTGCAATTGCAGCATTGTTGATCAAGAAATCTATGCCATCAGGATGTTCTTGTTTAATCTTGGCTGCAAACTCTTCGATGCTCTGCTTGCTGTCGATATCGAGTGGAAGATATTTCACATCTGTGAGGCCTCCATGAAGTCTCAACGCCTTTGCACGTTTGAGCTGCGGATCCAGCTTGATTGACTCAAGCGCTGCCTGTCCTCGCTCTTCGTTTCGTGCAGTAAGGTAGATGAGTAAAGGGCCGCTATTGAGCGGGGATCGAGGATACTGGAGGGCGAGTTGGCGAACAATGGCGAGTCCGATGCCTTTGTTGGACCCTGTGCAGACACCAACACGCGCATAGGCTGTCATTTTGGCTGTTGTGAGATAGAAGAGGCACAGAGAGGATCAATTATCTAGATGAAGCTCCCGCATGAGTAATGGACATTAATTGAAGTGCTCACCTTTGTTCGGGGTTAGGGGATAGTGGACGGAGTGCGTGTCATGATTCTGCCTGCGTCTTCCATGCGTCCATACTTGTACAGGGAATATGATGCATCGTAGGGGCCTGAGATACATTGTCGCGGGGCCGCATACATGTTTGCCGACCTTGACATGACGGTAATGGAGGATTCTAGAGGCAAAGCTGACAGCAGCAGAAAAATGGGCGTTGACCGAGAGGGACGGCGAGACACGACGGGCAGAAGGAGAGAATGCTTTGGATTGCCGCGGTGGCCATTGGTGGGTGATTCTCGCAGCCGAAGGCGCCTTTCAGTACCCAGTTACCCAGTTTCAGGATGAGCCGAGGCCAACCGCCTTCCAACCGCCTTGAGCCACTGATCTAAGTGACGTCTTTCGCGCCGAAATGCTCAATCGCCGAAGCATTTCCAAACCTCAAGTTTTCATGTGAAAAGACCCATCCTGCTCTCCTTCCAGCCTCTTTTCCAGGCTCAGCGCACTTCCAATGGCCTTGAAACCCCTTCCGAGGCCTCTGTTGAGGCTCGCCGCTCCAGTCCAGCAATGTCGTTTCTACTCCAGACCCTCAACTTCCATATTCCAAGCTTGCCCCGCATCGCGTCCAGCTGGTCGCACCCTGTCACGAGCTACAAGACCAGTCTTCGTTGCGGGCCAAAGACGCTCCATTTCTGCCAGCTTGCAGCGACGCTATTCCGGTGTCGAGGAAAACGGTTTCGACCCAGCTACCGTCGAGCGTGAGTCCGACCAGGTCGACGTCTGCATCGTGGGCGCCGGTCCAGCGGGATTGAGTGCTGCCATCCGGTTAAAGCAGCTAGCCAATGAGGCCGGGAACGAAGAATTTCGCGTGGTAGTCTTGGAAAAAGCTGGAGAAGTGGGCGCACATATTGTATCGGGCAACGTGTTGGAACCGAGAGCTATCAATGAGTTGATCCCGGATTGGTTGAGCGAGGACAACGAGAATCGATTTACGGGGGCCACGGCTGCTGGGTTGGATAAGATGCGATTCCTCACAAAATCAGGTGCAATTCCTATACCGGCGCCGCCGCAGATGCACAACAAGGGCAACTATATCATTTCTCTGAGTCAGTTTACCAAGTGGTTGGGCGAGAGAGCTGAAGAGGTGGGCGTCGAAATATATGCGGGCTTTGCGGGCGCCGAGATCCTATACAATAATGAAGGCGCAGTCAAGGGCGTTGCTACGAACGACCAGGGCGTGGGGAGGAACGGAAAAGCAAAAGCCAGTTTTGAGCGTGGTATGGAGTTCCATGCCAGAGTGACGCTCCTGGCGGAAGGGTGCCATGGCAGCCTGACCAAACAAGTGTCCAAGAAGTTTGATCTGAGGAGGGACTGCCAACCGCAAACCTATGGACTTGGATTGAAAGAGGTGTGGGAAGTCCAGCCAGACAAGTTTAAGAAGGGTGAAATCTCGCATACCATGGGCTATCCACTGTCCAAGAACACGTACGGTGGCGGATGGATGTACCACTTCGGGGACAACTTGGTAAGCCTGGGATTGGTTGTTGGCCTCGATTATGCCAACCCCTGGATATCCCCCTACGGCGAGTTTCAGCGTCTGAAGCTTCATCCGTTCTACAAGTCAGTTCTGGATGGCGGCAAGTGCATCGCGTACGGCGCACGCGCTCTCAATGAAGGCGGCTTCCAATCAATACCGAAATGTGCATTTCCCGGAGGCGCCCTAATCGGCGACACTGCCGGCTTCCTCAATGTGCCCAAGATCAAGGGCACGCACACGGCGATGAAATCTGGCATGTTGGCTGCCGAAGCCGCGTATCAAGCTCTCGCGCACAACAAAGAAACAAGCACCATCTTCCTGTATAACTACGAGGATGCCCTGCGGGAGAGCTGGATCTGGCCTGAACTCAAAGCTGTGCGGAACATGCGACCATCCTTCCACAACCCCCTTGGCATCTATGGTGGCATCATGTATTCTGGCCTCGAGGCCTATGTCTTCCGTGGCATGATGCCCTGGACTTTGAAGCACAAGCAGCCAGACTGGGCGGCCACGAAACCCGCAGACCAATTTCCCAAGATCGAGTATCCGAAGCCTGACGGCGAAATCACCTTTGATATCTTAACCAGCGTGTCACGAACAGGCACGAACCACGAGGAGGATCAACCTGTACATCTGCAGGTGAAGGACTGGGATGCTCATGCGCAGAAAGAGTGGCCGAAGTACAAAGGCGTCGAGAACCGGTTTTGTCCGGCCGGCGTCTATGAGTATGTGGAGGATGACACCAAGGATATTGGAGTGCGGTTTCAGATCAATGCGCAGAAGTAAGTTTCCCGTCACGCTAACGGTGAGAGTTTGTTGTTCTGAATGCTTACCCTTATGCCAACAGCTGCATCCATTGCAAAACATGCGATATCAAAGTCCCAGATCAAGACATCAATTGGCAAACCCCGCAAGGTGGTGAAGGACCAAGCTATAGCATCACGTGAGAGGTAGTATGGGAGGAAATTGTGACCATGCAGCACCGACTTGACAGGGTTCAACTGGTGTGGGGAGGGCAATCTTCCATCGCATCCCAGGAATCTCCGTCCAAGCTGGTTTGATCTCTGGGTGCGATCCGTGTACGATATGCTTGAGTTCTGGATATGTCACATGCCATTTGGGTTTCAGACGCTGTTTGCGAAAAGCACCGCAGTCCTGATCTTGTCGCACATAACACGAACCTGATTTCGGAGAAGCATCACACAATACAATATCGACATCCAACCAACCAATCAACCAGCCAGCCAGCCAGCCAGGGTCATCACAACAGGGGAAATGCAATGGGTACGTTTTCACTGCTACAGGGAGACAAGACAACTTGAGGGGTGGACCCCAGGACCAACCTCAATCCCGCCATGGTGGCCCGTTGCATATATACCTGAACACAAGTACTTACAACTTCATTTCAAAGTATTCAATAAACAGGTACTTGTACCAACTCTGGTGATCATGATTGTGACATACTAGTATCACTCTATCTATGGTACAGTCGGAAGGAAGTATCAAGTCCGTCTTGAACGTGGTGTGCAGTATGCCCTTGGTACTCGCATATTTCGCCGGGGAGAGATAACAGTGACGCTCCTTGCTGAAGCACCCCGGTGCCATGGCAATAGAACGGGATTGTCCGAGCACACGGAGCAAAGCATACCATACCAAGGCATGCATAGTCCAATCGCGGCGTGAGGCCCCAACAGGCCAGCCGGCAGAGTTGGGCGGAAGAGCGCAGGCCGGACAAACAAACAGGCCCGTTTTTCCAATGCCTCGCGCTCGGGGCGTAGGTTGGCCTTGGACTGGATCAATGAGCCTTCTGGAATCCCCCCAGGCTTTTCTTCAGCTATAGCTCACAAGTAGCGACAACCGCGTGTGAGATTCGAAGCACAGTTGGCATATGTCGCACATCCGTCGAAGCATCTCGCGGGAGATTCAATGCCCATGGAGCGGGACATCGTTGTTGGAGCAGGATTCCCGCTCATCGCCGAATCGACTTCATGGAAATCCACCCGGGTTGAATCTGCCACTCATGCTCGTCATCTCTTCTGGACAGTGCGTCGCAGCCACGGCGAGGGCGAATGAGGGCCTTTGGCGGTCTCCGGATAGTATCGACTCGGACCCGTCCTGCTTGTTGCAGCGCGAGATCGCAGTCGACATCGACGTCCGATCTCATCACCACAGTCAACCACTGCCTCGGGTCTATTTGCACAATGTTGACGGTACTGAAGAGGAGACCAGCGGCGCGCGAGTAAGTTATCAGGGGATCCCGACAGTGTTCTGATCTTGGTTGACGAGTGCGAGGAACTCGCCATCCCACCGGGCCACTCGAATGGTGAGTGGTGCAAGGATGCATCCGTGTCTGAGAATAGTACACGCGACTAAAATTCGGCGGTGCATATGCATTTGTGTTGGGTACTGACATGGCAGAAACCATCTTTTGCGTGCGGATTATGCCTTTTGGTTCTCGCTTCGCACCAGATCTTACCCAGGGGGTGGTTAGCACGCCAGAGGAGACTTACCAGGACTTTGAGAAAAATACTTGTACATACAAGTACAAGTAGAGCGTTGGTTGTACGGTCAACGAGGTCACGCCAAACATCAAGCAAACACGATATCATGTCAATTGACGCATCACCTTTCTTTGGTGATGCCGTGGTAGTGACAAGGTGGTTAGCGAGCGTCGGTAGCCTTGATCACGAGGCTCGGATTACCCAGTACAAGGCTGGACGTACACGATCGAAAAGGGCAGGATCTCCGAGAGCGATGGGTGGCCAAGCTCGGAAGGTGGATGAATGTGGATCCATCGTATCCTCACGCAGATTCATTGGCTGGAACGACACCGGTTTGGGGGACTTTTTGGGCGGCTTTCTGGACACGGTTTCCCGAGGGTGATTGGACAGCCGGTTGTCGTCATCCCTGCACCAAGTGGCCTGCCAAGCCAGCATGTGAAACAAATTGACCGACCGATGGCACCGACTTGGCCCCGATCGCCCAAACCGCGTCAGGTTCGTGACTCATCGCTCATTCCCTTTTGCCTCCCCTTCCAACTTTGTTTGCAACAAAAATTTCCCTCCTTTTCTTATCACCATGCTCGGTACTGGGTACCGAACTGGCTTTGGGTTGCCTGCCATCGTCGTGCACAGTGACCTCGTATACGAGGCGGGTGTGTTTGACACCTGACTGCCCGCTTCCCAACAGCTCGACTCGGTATCTTGCAGGCAAATGGAAAAAAAAAAAATACTGCGAAGATGGGCGGCAAACCCGACCTCTTCCCAGCCATGCCAAACTCCCTCACTGCACATCTCCCGCACAAACACCTTGAAGGACCACCACCAACCACGTGAGCAGGACCCACGTTCCGGAGCTCACTTCCCAATCTTGCCATGCCCATCCGAAAGTGAAAATTCTGTTTCACATAACAAGTACAGTACAGCTCATCATCTTTTCATGACCCTCTGATGATGGCACGACTCCAGGCAGAATGTTTTGCTCTGGCAAGGACAAAGTAGGTGTTGATGCAGCATGCATACTTTTAGTTTAGGGGGGTACGGCAGGGCGGATTAGGCAGGAATGCCCTGGCGCGGGCTTGGAGTGGTATGCAGCAAGCCAGAGGGAAGAAAAAGGGGCAGATAAGGTGCAGCGTGCAGGGCGAAAAAGGTTGCAGGGGTGGCTGCACAGGCCGGCACAGGCCTGCTAACCCTAACATGGGCTGATTCCCGGTGGATGAGGGCGCAGTGTGGGCAGCTTCGAGGACACTTGGGCGTTCAGATGACGCGTGCTAAGCCGCCTTGGGCATAGCGCCCCTCCCAGGGCGGGGTTCCCAGTCTGCGCTCTGTGGCGACTGCCTGGCACTATAAATGCCGCCTTCGCCCTCTTTCCGCGCGCAGTACAGCCGACCTCTTTTTTCCCGTCCTGACATTTTTCGTTCTTGGCACTCCCTCCTGCCAAACCACTCCCATCCACCCCCCTCTATCTTCCATTTTCCATCATCCATCTTCGCACGGCATCCAACGCGCAATTCCTCTTGCCAGCCTGCGATTAATCCTCCCTCTCTCTGGCATCGATTGGCTCTCCCACACAAATCGTGCCGCCATAAACTCTCTTGGGCGCATCCCGCAAACCAGATCCCCCCACAGATCTCACCTGCGACCCGCGCCTGCCATTCTCTTCACAAAGGGCAAACAAAGGAAACAAAAAGAAAAAGAAGAAAAACCCAAGCAAGCCACAATAGACTGTCTGCACTTTCCGCTCTTAAGTAATTCGCAATCGCAAATCTACGCACTCTTGCTTCCTCTTGCTCCCTGTTCTCCCAACCTCGTCGTCGCCCTCCAGACCAGACGAACAAGTTTCTCCACATCTGATCTGAGACCAAGACTCAATCAGTCGACCGACTTCTCAGTTGGAAAGTAGGGCAGTTGTGTTGTAGGGGAGACATTGAGTTGTTCATCTCCCACATCTCGGTACGAACCACCACCGCATCCATCTTCTCTACCTTGTCCTCCTCCAGGTCAATTCTACGATCTACAGAATCCATCGTCATCGTCGTCGTCGTCGTCGTCGTCGAGTTGAGACGCCGCTGCTGCCTACTGCGGGCTCAAGTGAATTAAATTGCGAAATTCACTTCCGCCTCCAAAGTCGAGCCTCGCAGCACTGACCGACCGACCGACCGACCGACCGACCGACGCGATCGATCGCCTCTGCCACACCCTCGCCACCTTCTAAGTCACTCATCAATTCCTCATCCTAACCTGACCTTTTTTGTATTTCTCCAGACTGCTTTCATCCTTCTTCGATCTCTGCCATCGATAAGGATACCAGCTGCGACCGCTTTATTGCGCCGCATCGACAACCTCACGTTCTTGCAATCATGGAGTCTCTTACCACTCATCCGTCCACCGCGCAGCAGGCCAAAGCCTTCACCTCTCCCGCGTCTCTGTCGTTTCCCGGTGGTGCTGGGGATCTGACACCGCCCTCCTCTGAGAAAGACGGACAAAACCTAAACGGTGGCTCATACGCAGATGGGAAGACCAATGGTCAGCAGGGAGGAAACACCATTCAGGCTCCGCAGACTCCCGGCGCAACTCCTGGTGCTGGAGTGAGTGGTATTGTACCCACCTTGCAGTGAGTATTGTCCCTTTGTTGTCCTTCTCTCAAGGTCAGCAGAGGTTAACATTCTCTCAAGAAATATCGTCGCTACGGTCAATCTAGACTGTCGTCTCGATCTCAAGACCATTGCACTCCATGCTCGCAATGCTGAGTACAATCCCAAGGTAAGTGCCCGCTCACTCGTGCTCGGTAGTCTCAGCACCCACTAATTGATCCAGCGTTTCGCTGCTGTCATTATGCGTATCCGTGACCCCAAAACCACTGCCTTGATCTTCGCCTCAGGCAAGATGGTTGTCACTGGCGCAAAGTCGGAAGACGATTCGAAACTTGCCAGCCGCAAGTACGCTCGTATCATCCAAAAATTGGGCTTCAATGCCAAGTTCACCGACTTCAAGATCCAGAACATTGTCGGCTCATGCGACATCAAGTTCCCCATTCGACTAGAAGGTCTTGCGTCAAAGCATCACCCTTTTAGCTCGTATGAGCCCGAACTGTTCCCGGGTCTCATCTATCGCATGATCAAGCCGAAGATCGTCTTGTTGATCTTTGTCAGTGGCAAGATTGTGCTCACAGGAGCCAAGGTCCGTGAGGAGATCTATCAGGCCTTCGAGCAGATCTACCCGACGCTGTCAGGTAAGCATTGAACGAAACGGTCGCTCCACGTGTACCCTACTAACTTGGGCCTACTAGACTTCCGCAAAGTCTAGATCTGCTTACGCGGGGCGGGGTTTTCCCGTTAGCCTTGTATCAACAGTCAATCTTTATATCGGCTCCTCCCTGGCACTGGTCACACTGTCGCAGGGAAGCCGACATGCTTCCGTCTTGCGTTTTGCAAGCCAAGCATGACGCCAAAACCTACTTACCAGATCTTGCCCTTGTTTCTCGCCTGTGTCACGACTATCTATGAGCATTGCATGGCGTTTTTGAGCGAAGTCCCTTCATATTGTTTCCTGGGGCAAAGGCACTAAAAAGGGCGCGGGTGCAGTCGGCCTGCTTACACCGTATTAGAAATTGGGTCTTCATCGACAAGGGGACATCAGCTTGGGGGACGGTATTCGGCGCTGGTCGATTTCGCATACCGTCTTTGTGTGGAAAATATCTTCTCAGCTTCCTCTCTGCGTTCCTGGTCGTGTGGCTGTGAGAGAGAGAACACATCACTTACCAGTTGCTATCCGGCGCACAGAGATCCTTATCGGATATGGGAGGCTTAACTTTACATTTCAAAGCTCGGGGTTATCCATCCATGACTGGAATTTTTTTACGTCATGGGAAGAAAAAACAGATGGGCGAAGGAGACTCCGTCCATTTTGTCAGATTGTTCGAGACAGAAATTGCAGCAGAAAATGCTGAGTGGTGGACTCCAAATGGAGTGAACGGATAGGAGGGTTGACACGATACCTGGATCGTAGTCAGTGCTGCCCACGACTGCATGATGATAGCTCAATATGAATTCTCATCCCTCCATCTACTTGGGCTTGTTGCGAGCAGCTAGCTCTTTTTTTTTGGTGTATTGTCGTAAAATTCGTCACTTCTAGGCCGTGGAGAACCTGAGGCTCAGGGATCGTGCTGCTGGTGAGGAGCTTGTGTGAATGAAGCATGTTCTCTGTTCGCTGTGCAAGAACTTTGTGGGTTTGCTTGTATTGTTTTTTGTTCCTGTACCGTCCCGAGGGGATGAAGGGGGGTTATTTGTTGGCGTGCAACGAAGGACTGACCAGTTCTAGTGCTAGATTTTTGGTTCTGGTTCTTTGTTGCGTGGGTGGTGTATGGGCGGATGGGCTGATCGGTGAATGGGTGTGGCGTCCGGATGTACTCCATAGGGATGTGAGGAGTGAGTAAGTGGTAAGTAAGAAAGAGAGAAACAGAGAGAAAGAGGGATCTGGATCTCCATATCATATCAGGCCAGGTCAGGTCAGAGATTGATGGCTTGCTTTACTTACCTTCAGCCCAGCCAACCCATCAAGGCACCATGGCATCAACCCATCACCACGGCCACCCCCTCCTCGTCTTCGTGAGAGGATTGGATTCCAGGTCGCTGCCTCCCTTTCCCCAGCAGCGACGGTTGCGTTCATAGCGTGGATCCCTCTTCGAAGCAAGACGATAGATGGTGAGTCATGGTGATGGTGAAGAGACGGAGACAGACGAGGAGACGAAGAAGGGAATGATCGAGAAGAAAGATAAATTGAAATAAAATAAGAAATATAATATAATTAAAAAAAAATTTCATTCAGAGGACAGGAATGTCGCGGTTGTTGGTGTGAGGACCTTGAGCTGCGGCCAGAACTGGAACTGGAACCAGCTTCGAAAGGGATGAAAAGGGAGATGGGGAAGACCAGAGATTGGCACGTCCGCGTGTAGCACCCTCGCGCCTTCCCGTGGCCGGTACCGTTTCAGCGCCGCGGCTTGTTGTCTGTCCGTGCTGTGAGTGAGACAACTTTATTGTGTGATTATGTGTGTGGTTCGCGGGGGTTTGGAATGAAATGGATGGAATGAATGGGCAGCCGAGAGCAGCAAGTCTCACAAGGCTTTGCTTTCACACTGCCGTCCGAGCGACTCTGGTGCATTCCGGTTGATCTGTACTCGGCACTCGGCCTTTTTCCATTCATTCATTCATTCATTCATTCATTCATTCCTTCTCATATCCACACGACGCAGATCAAGGACATCGTCCTTGCCCTACCTCGATTTCTGCCTTTGCATCTCCTCCCCCAGCACCATCCCCTTTGGTCCCGCACGGCTTCCATCTTCACACCCCGTAAACTCCCCTCCGCCGTCTCCGCCGCGTTGAATCGTGTCTCTCAAATCCTCCTCACTCCTCCATCTCCAGATCTGCGCCAGCTCCGGCTCCAGCGTTCCTTGGATCGCGGAGACAATTTTGTCGCCTATCACCGGGAAGAACTTGAACCCGTGACCTGACCCTCCTGTGGCAAGGAAAAGACGTTTGAAATCCGGGTGAAAGGTGATGAGGAAGTCGCCGCTGGGCCTGTTTCCAAATTCAATGCGTTGAGAGACTGCTTTTGGGGGTGTGTTGCATGATGGGATGATGGGGGTGGAGAGTCTTGAGGAAATAGACTTACGTATCACAGTACCAACATATCCGCGAGCGAGTGAACGGTCTGTTGGCCATCTGAGGCAGAAGCTCGCAAAGGGCTTCCCGCAGGGCTTCTTCAGCTTCCAGCGGAATGGGGATGCCAACCTTGGGCACGCTGACTTCCACATATCCAGGATCAATGTCGCTTGGGGCATCAGGTTTGATGACCCCCTTTGATATCTTCACCGGGTTTCGATATCCGTAACCATGTCTCGCAATCTTTAGTTCTTTCCCTCTCGGTGGTATGATGAATGTCCCTCGACTCATATTCATGACGGTCGGCCTGTTTCCCATTGCCGCCTGCTCTTCGGGCGAGATCTCCAGAAACGCCACCGTCTGCCCGGTGGCAAGACACCGCCCCTGAAGGTCGATGAGGCTAGGACTCCACGCGCCAGCAGCCAAGATGGTCAACTCTGCCAGAATCTGCTCTCCGCCGGCCAATTCCACGCCCTGACACTCGCTTCCGGAAAAGACGAGCCTCGCAACCTGCGCACCTGGGCGGATGGCAACGCGACCATCACTCTCGCTCTGGATCCTTCTCAAAGCATGCGCAACACATGCTTCGGCATCAGCCCACCCCGAGTTAAAGTTCGCGTACCCATGGTCGCCACTTACACCGTCGTAGCCCGTTGCTTTCCGGATCTCGTCCTGTCCGTGTAATTCTCTGATCTTGCTCGAGTCCACATCTCTACCGCTCTCCTGTGCCAGTCTTCTCACATTGGCCAAAGACTCCCTCAAGTAGGCATCTTTGTCTTCATCAGCCGTCAGCACGAACCCGGGCTCATGGTATCTGCCTTCGCCTCCCCAGGCTTCCTTCCTCGTGTCGCGCCAGAGTTCTTGCGCTTGGAGGGCCAGCTGGGCATAGTGCTTGTCGGCGTAGTCGGCGCGGACAATGCGGTTGGCGTCGACGGAGGAGCCAGAGGGGTTGGGCAGCGAGGGAGAGGCATCGATGATAGTTATGCGGCTGGCATTGTATGTGGGGTTGGAGAGGAGCGACAGCGCCGTAGAGAGGCCAAAGACGCCGGCTCCAACGATCAATATCTGCTGCGCCACTGGAGTGTCAGACATTGTGGACTGGACTTTTGTATCTCCCCTGCGCTTTTGAGCGACGAGAGTTCATAAACTTACCGAACGCAGCACAGCGAGATATGAGCCCCCCTTCTAGCTGGTCACCCAACAAGACGTTGTTCTCCGCAGATGAAGGGCGGGCTCACTGATGGGCGCGCCCTTCAATGTCCGAGGTCGGATCAATCTCGGCTAAAAGGCTGTACAACAGCATTTTGGATTTTAGGCACAGCCATTCGACACGGGCAGCATCGTTTTCCGATCTGAAAGTCCAACAGATGTACAGTTGATCCTTGTGCCTGAACTTGGCTATGGCGGAAACTACAAGGTTGTATGTGGAATCCTCGAGGATTCCGCACCTCGCATTCTCCATTTCTGCGAAGCGCGTAGCTCCTCGCTCAACATCAAGATGTCTCCATCAGCGGCAGCCTCTTTCGCGTTCAGTCCGTTGGTGCGCGTTGTCGGCACCTGTAAAAGCTGTGAGACCTGTCTATAGCTCCTCTTATTACCTCCCATCACGCAGATACGCCTCCACAAAGCAAACCATTCCAAACCCCAACATCCCTCGACCCGTGCAGCCCCAATCGCAACATAGACCCAGACCGACCCTCCTCGATCGCGCGTCCGCCCAAGATGCCCTTGACGCGCTCGCCGCCAAACACAGGAGACAGCGTATCCACATGTCCTCCAACACCTACTTCTGGATCACTTCGCTTTTCGGCTTCCTCCTCTCCACGTACGTCGCCTACACGTACATGTCCTACGCGCGCTCTGTGAAGGAGTATGAGAATCTCGATCTTCCGCAAAACGCCGATGTCTCTTCAAGATGGCTGGATCTTTCGAGGAACTTCGATGACGAAGTCGAATTATCCGAAAAGCTAATGTTTTTGCGGAGCAAAAGGGAAAAGTTATGCAGAGAGGCAAGGGGCAACGTGCTAGAAGTGAGCGCTGGCACTGGGAGGAATATGGAGCTATACCCCTTGGATCCTCTGGTGACACCAGAAGACAAGAGAGTGGAAAGATTGGTGTTTAATGATTTGAGTGAGATTATGCTGGACCAGGCACAGAAAAAGTTCGAGACGCTGCAGGAGAAGGCGAAGCAGAACCGGCGGTTTCCTGGGCCCGTGCAATTCGTGGTCGGTGATGCTAGTGACAAGAGCCTCATCAAGAGGCCGGAAGGTGGATTTGATACCATCATCCAGACCATGGGGATTTGCAGCGAGACTAACCCAGTCGCATTTTTGAAACAGCTGGGAGAATTGTGCAGACAGCCCGGCGAGAAGAGTTCGGGCGTGGACATGAAAATAATCGAGAAAGAATCCCAACAACATCTTGAAGATCTCAAAAAACGTAGGGATCACGGTGCCTCGGAGCCAGAACAGAAAAGGCAACAGGAGGAAGACACGCTCGTTACAGAGCACGGCGGGGATTTGGGAGGGAAGATCCTCCTCCTCGAGCACGGCCGGTCATACCTTGGATTCATCAATCGAGTCTTGGACAACGGGGCAAAAATGCACGCTGACCACTATGGATGTTGGTGGAACAAAGACATTGAGCAAGTCGTAAAGGATAGCGGGCTGATTGTGGAAAGGAAGAAGAGATATCACTTCGGGACGACTTATGAATACGTTCTGAGGCCGAGACCAAGGCCGAGGAGCGAGGACGAGATAGAAAGGAGGTCGGAGAACGTGGACGGTGGAAAGAACGCTGTACTTGACGTCAGTCAAGGTGTGAAGGTGAAAGGATGGACGGGTGGGTGGTTCAGTAAGAATTGAGTAAAGAGTGCTGGAGAATTTACCGAGTTCGAAAGTGCCTTAGCAATGATATTTTTAAAGCCACAAGAGGTTTCTATGCCCACCGTTCCGTGTTTGTGGTAATAGAATTCACCGACACCGTGAGCGAGGCACGGACCACGAGGCTGAGGAGAAAAGGAGGGAAGGACGATGCCTCACGTGCCTCACGTGCCTCACGCGCTGTTATCCTGTCTGCGGCATCACCAGCCTATGAGACTCGAGCCGCCCACGAGCAGTCTCCCAACGGCTTCGTGCGGACTCCTTGCAGCCCTAGCAGATAGTCCTTGTTTCTGCTTGGCTCGAGGCATGAAGCCAGCAAAGCAGGGGGGACAAAACTCCGCCAGTAAAGTTTGAAGGTAATGCTTTGTTATCCGGCGTATGCCTGGTACATACCGAGTTCATGATGGACGGTCGAGTCAAGGCGGAAGTGCGACTCCAGTGACTTCTAATATTCGCCAAGTCCTCCCCATCGGGCAAGGGTTCGGCCGCGTGCACAGCTGCGCAAAGTTGAGTTTCGAGACTGCCGTGCTGGGCCGTTTTACATAGATTATATGCTTATCGCTCAATGATCCCCAACATGACAGCAATACCCTGCAAGGCAATCATCCTCCCATCGTTGTGCGGAGTACATGCGACAGAACTCAGAACGAGTTCACAGGTGCCGAGCAGCGAGAGATGTAAGCGAATGAGCAGGGTATGTAGTTTAAGAATGATACGAGATCAAACATCCAATTGGCAATGGTATGACCCTATGGTCACGGGAAAGTCGGGAAGAATTAGATTTCTCTGTTCGCAGATCCGGGTGAATAGTCGGCGAGATGAGAGCTGAAAGAATGACATCGCAGTGCTGCGGCAACCCATCGACGGACTCCAAGCTGGAGGGAATTTGGAGACGTCCCAACCATCACCATATGCTCTCCGCATGATTATTGCATCATGACACTCCTTGGCCGCAGATGATGGAGTCTCAGATTGGCGGAAATGCAACCAGGCACATAGCGACCTATGCAGACTATGCGAGTGTGGATCGAACTGAGTCGCGATGTGGAGAGATGACTGAACTGGTGAGACTGAAGGATCAAGACAGCAGGACCGAGTTTTGAATCCTGATCTCATACAGTAGAATTGCATCCCAGGGAGAAATATAGTAGGGGATATCTGTGCCGGGTTGGCCTGAGCTTGCCTGACCTACCAGGACGATTGACCCCACGAGAATGACTCGGTGGCATGCGATTCAGTTGCTTTTGGAGCTGCCTACCCTGTCACGCGAATCATCTCTCGGGCTGTCGCCTATTCTCCAGCTTCGATTCGTGGAGTTGACACCTCTCCCGCCCAATCCGTGTTTCAGAACTCCAGAGGTAAGTAGGTATCTATTCGACAGCGTGAGGTGGGAGGTTAGATCTGTCTAGCCTCGGGTCTACACTGACCGCCTCGGTGTCGCCAGTCGAACACCCAGGAGAGAGATCATCTCTGGGCAGCGCCCTCTTTTCCGAAAGTTGGTATTCTGACAGATGAGGTTGCAGGCTCGACAGGGGCGCATCGAAGTTAAGCTTGCCGAGGATCACGTGAAGATAAGGATTTTGCTCGGCTGTAATAGACGGATGGAGCGGACGGATTGTGGAGGCATCGTGCAAAGTCAAATGTTTTTTTTTTTCGACTTTTTTTTTTTTCGCTTCTCGCTGACATTTTTATGTTGCTTTGAATACGTCAGTCATGATGGCAAAGCGAACTGAGTGGATTTGGTTATGAAAAGAAATTCACTCGGAGCCAGCTAGAGCAATAGCGTAGCGCGTTTCTCTCTCCGGCAATGAAGGCTAAGTACGAGGTACATCAATGGCTGCCCGCAGTACCTACTCGGTAATGCCAGATGCGGGAGAGCATCATCATCCGAACTCTGGGCAGCGTTGTCCAGAGCAACGAAGCTTCGTGATGCGGCCGTGCCTCTATTGGTGCTGTGGTGGGCAGGGCGCAGGCAGAGTGTTGATGGGCCAAGTCAATTGCCCAATATGGAAGGATCTGTCCCTCAGAAAAGGGATTGTGCGGACAAAGAAAAAGTGAGAAAAAAAATTACTCCGTAAATAATTTTTTTGGGAGGGGATGGAGGGGCAGCGGGGCGCTGATTCGCGGGACCAAGTTGCTGGCCAGGTGCTGGCCTGGTGCTGGCCTGGTGCTGGCCTGGTGCTGGCCTGGTGCTGGCGTCCTGGTCACCGAGCCACCCCCTGGAGACTGCAGCAACCTTGCATGCAAGCGCATCCAGATGCGTCCGGCGCAAAACTCTGGTTCCCCCGTTCCAGAGCCGGGCTTTTCCAGAACTCAGGAGGCTATGAAGTAAGTTTGTGTTTGGTGTGCCATCAATGTGTCAAGGTTGGCTGCTCTACAACTATCTTCCGCACACCATCACCCAGCCAGCAAGCGCTTACTAGAGATGCCGTTACAAAACTTGGCTCTGCGATGACATACCTTGATCTGTACTCGGTACAGGCTAGTACCTGCTCTTTCAACTGGTGGATGGTGCCCGTAAGTTGTCGGCTCGATTAGTGAGGGTTGGGGGAGGGTGGAAAGAAATGTCAGCCATTGCAGCTACGCGAGCCGTGGTAGAGTCTATCGATATCTCCGAGAAAAGCAAGTGGTTCGGCATTGCAGGAAGAGTGAGAGTAATAAGTGATACCTGGACGGCACAGCTGACAGGACATGGGCCTGAGCGACGAGGTATCGAGTAGATAACTACTGGGTACTGGGTACTACAGGAGACTTTTATGCGACATCTGGAAAATCACACCACAATCCACTCTGGCAATGCCGCGACAGAAGGCCCAAATGCTGCTGCTGCTGTACTTGTACTTGCTGTGATGTCTTTCTCTCCTCTGCCGTCAAATCGGCGATGGATGAAGCTGAATATAGCAATTGCACCTGGTTGGGCGGTACCCGGTATTGGGCAATGACAAGCACACGACGTAAACAAGTGGAGGCTTCTGGTAAAAAAAGCAAGAGAGACGGTTGACTGGCGTCGGGCAGTTGTACCGTAGCGGTTTGTGAAAGAGTCGGGCAAGTGCATCCGCGAGCCCAGTACTGGGTAGGCAGGTCATGGCAAGTTATTCACAGTGGCTGCAAGGGCTGCAAGGGAGGCTGCAGGAAGGCCGCTTAGGCGCTCAGCGTTGGCCCCAAAGACACTAGCCTGGGCTAGTAGGGCCGGATGGAAAGCGCTAGAGGCTAAAACGATGACCCCGAATTTAGCTTGGCCACTCGGTCACCTCAGAACGGCCGCCTGGTACCAGGGTGGACTGGCTCTGGGCAGCTCTGGGCTCTCGGATCTCATCCCCAGGAGACCTGAGTTAATGGCTGAATGGCATCCCAGGCATCGAACTTCGCCATTACAAGTACAGTAGGTGGCAGCTGGTGACAGTTTGGTGGCATTCTTAGGGCCCAGGCACCCATTTCCGGAGCGCCCACGAGGGTTTTTGCTGGAGGGGGGTTGTTGTTGCTGTGGCGTGCTGCTTCCAGTGCAGTCTCTTCCTTCGATTCCTCCTTAGCACCTGCCTGCGCATCTTCTCATTCCCCTCCATCACTGCTCCCTTCCGGGTTTGCATCAGAGCTTCCCTCTCTCCTTGCTCTCTATGACCACCACCACCACCACCACCTCCTCCTCCTGCTGGTCCAAGTCGCAGAGACCTCATTCTTTCGTTGCAACTCCCAACTCCTTTCCTCCCTTGACGGTGCATTTACCACAAACCATCGACATCTACTGGGACAGTCCAGAAAATATTTGAACCGACCCACATCCCTCACACGACCCTTCTCGGGACCCTGAAGCTGCGCAAGTAACAGAGGCGAAGGGGGCACGGACGCCTGCTAGGCTGCCATTACCGCCATTTCTCGCTTCTCGTTTCTCGCTTCTCCCTGTCCAGCAAGTCGTGCTGTCACAAAGAGACAAAATACATACAAGACCGCACCACACTTCTCTCCTACATCTGCCTGCTTACCGCCGTTTGACCTCAACAAGTCAAGTGGTCGACTCAAGATCTCTTGACGCAAGGAGACGAGGGCGCAGCCAGTGAAGGCCAATTGAAGCTGATCCCTGCTCCATGCTGGAGGGTTTTCATTGCTCCACGATCCCGGCTCCTTGCATCGCAGCCACGCATTCCAGCTCCCTTCATCCTCCAATCACTGCGCCGGTGTCCATATACCCGTCCGTCTAACCCACCGCGCATCTGTCACATCTTTCGCCCTCCCTTGTCCAACGCTACGCTGCACTAGTCCATCCCTCGACTGGTGTCGCCGCAGCCTGAATCATCATTCTGCCATTCGACAACTCCACCATCCCAAAAACAAATTCCCTGCTTTTTTGGGGCTCCTCTACAGAGCGGTTTACTGTTGTACACGACTTCCCGCCCATCCATCCCCCTACCTGCCCAACAGTGTCGCGGCTTCATTCACTGTGCTGTTATACAACAGTCCACCGACAACATCCTCTTGTCTTCCACAAGCGGCGACACATGACATCTCACCATGCCTTACAATACCCGTCGGAAATCGCTTTCCTTGCCTTCGCTGGGCATCCATCTGCCCAATGCCTCTCGCGCTCACCGCCCAGCTCTTAAGACGACAACACCACCTGCAGACCTCTCTACTTCTCCTCCGCCTCCAACAAAGAAGCAGAAGCGCTCTCATGATGGCGAAGAACCTCTGTCCCCGGTTTCCTCCCCGCGCTCCAAGGTCGGCTCGCCTGCGATCGACCTCCCAAGATCAGCCGCACCAGTACTCGCTGCTGCTGCTGTTGAGCAGACACCTCCCCCGTCTCCAAAGCTTGGTGCTCCGATCCGAAAAGTCGATACGGACGGTATCAACGATGACATTGTGGTCGCTGTAATCGAGCAGTTAGAGAAGACGGGGAACAGGCCACACCTCATTAGGGATATGGCGGCGATATTGGCTTCCACCAATGCCAGCATTGCTCAGTAAGTCCGAAGGGTCTTGAATTCAGACAGGATTGTGACTAACTTGGTCTAATAGTTCTGCAAACCCGGCTGCATTGCTCTCCTCTCGCCTCAGTCTCTACCTCAAGAGACCATGGACTGCTTTGTCACCGTGCCCACTGGCCAAGGAACTGATCCCGGTCCACCCACGGAAGGTCTTCTTCTTCCTCACCACTCAACCGCGAATGCCGCTCCCTGAGTCCTCCAATGATATCCTCCCCCAACCAGTTCTCTCGGTCAAGAACCTGACCCCTAGCGTGTCAGATCACAGCCAGGTCGATGATGATCTAGATCAACGAGATCGTGCTCGGCTATCTCCCAGCCCAGAGGTAGAACTATACTCTCCCGATCTAGATCAGGATGATTCCATGGAGCCTCCAACCCCTGGCGACCACTTCAGCGCCAGGAGTAGTCTGAACCCAGACGGTACGACTGACGTCCGTCGTAGATCTAATCGGGCTCCCAGTCCCGCACTCGAGGAGGACGAGCGTGGCTTCACGGAGACAGCCACCGCGGTCCGCGCCCGTGGCATGAGTCTACACAATCCTACCGTTCAAGCATCAATCGAGGTTGATGAAAAGCCATCAGCTGTCGAGGTGTTGGAAGAAACCCCGGAACAGCGCCAGAAACGGGACCGAGAACTGGGCTTGGCTCTCTTCGGTCAGTCTCATCAAGCCCTCCACGTGCCGGAGCAGAAGTTGTTTTCAAGCAGTCCCATGATCCAGGCCAGACCTGATCACCAGGCGCCAGTGGCCAAGTCGAATTTGACTCTTGACCTGGACGGAATCGAAATGGGCATGGCCTCCTGGAGTATGATGAGTCCCGAGCAAATCGACGTCGAAGAACTGGACGAGATGTTCATGGGATTCTAAGACACCGACCATTGGCATCACCGCGTTCCATGATGGCGGCCTAGTTTTCTCACCTCACTAGATTTCACTCCACTTCCAAACATCTCGACTTTGGCGTTGGCTATTGATCGACATCATTGCCAGATGGGTCAGTTATGCGGTTCGATGGTTGGTTCTTGATGAAATGGCACGTTATTCCTTTCGGTTTGTCATTTGATGTCTGAAGCGACGCAAAGCCATGTGTTGATAGAATTCACATCTCCATGAGAAAGTAGAGATTTTGTAGTACTAGAAGCCTGTTGGCTGTTTGGGGAAACGGCGGGCTCAGCCGCGCTGAGATCTCATGGCTCATTTGGAGCTGAGGTTCCAGAAAAAGAAATGTATCACTTGCAATTCAGCCAGCCAGCCATCCATCCATCCATCCATCCATCCATCCATCCATCACAACTCTAAAAGAGCCTCAATTCTGTCTTTCCTCGAAATCTTGTGCCTCAGCCGGAGCCTGTCGAGCTGTTTTAGCCTGTGCATTGCTTTGTCAGCGTCAGTGCCAATTTCCTGAACACTTCCTTCCTTCAATATCCTATGAGACAAGTTCAGCGGCGCTCTTTGCGCTGTCCACATGGCAACTTCTGGCGCTCAATCACCTGCTCCACTGCAACAAGATTCTCGCTCTCAGGTTCCCCTTGTCGTGAGCCCTGATCCAACGAAATCTTTCTGCCTTCGGATTCAGCTTGACGATAGTTGACTAGGGGGTGAAGATCCGTGCGAACGGGGTTTTGGTCCAATCAAAGTGCTATTATTACTGCTCAGGGAACACAATTCATCAAGGTAGCTAGCAGGCCCTCGATTGAAGGACAGCGATCATCTGCGGCCTTGGCTTGAGGAGAGGGACTCTGTGTAGGAGGTCCTGCGATCCGATGGCGCTCGGCTGTCCTCTTTTCGCCCTTGTCTTTCTGACGCCTTCGACGTTTGAATGGATTTCTCGCTACCAATGGTCGAGGCGGCCAAGAGACCTCCCCCATCTTGTCTCACGGGATTTTTGGTTTTTGAAGTGTGCTGTCGTTGAGCTCGGTGCTGCACTCACTGGGATCTTGACGAAAATGACAGAGCTGGCGACGGAGCTGTCCGTCTTGTTCTCCAAGAAGATCGAGGCAAGTCCGTGGTTTCATATCCTTTGCACATTGCCGATCATGCTCCCAAGACCGTACCTGTCCTTTAGCGGCAAGCGTTTTTGACATGTTTCCAGCATTCCTTCGGCACGCACTTTGTAGCCATTGTTAGGATAGCCACAAATCGGGGGCTCCTTCCGGGGAATCTCCAAACTTCGCGCTATGCACTTTGACAGCCTCTAGGCTCTCAAGCAGCGTGTTGCTCAGTGTTCTACCTAGCCTACTTGTCGAAGTTGGGAAAGATCATTAGTGCAGAAAGAATAAGCGAAAGTGACGCAGTGAAGCAGATTGACTGCCAAAACGAAGCTGATGCCATCGAAACTCTTGGGCTCAAACGACTCTAATCCTCATGCTAGGCTGCGCAGCTCAGAAGTCTGTTTGCATGGCCGAACCAAGAGGGCCCATCCCTAGCCATGGCCCAGCGCAATAACGAACAAACCCCGCTTCTGAAGACGGTTTCAACTCGTGCGAGAGAAGTCTTACATCAATTCCGAAGACTGCCTCCTCATAAGCCATGCTCAAGCGCGTTAAGTTCATCTGGCTCCGCCAATATACTTCGTTTTCTCCATATGTCGATCCAGTGCGCTTGGCCGTGACAGAAGCCAGGATTCTTCGATCAGCGTCTGTCGCGCAGTCCCACACTCTGCCAAATACCGACAGCGGTGGACGCGATGTATAACGTTTTCGATGCCGAGTAGCAATTGTCAGGAGCCGCAGGTACCTGGATCGGCGAGTGTCCGACGGAAATGGTGATGCCGTTTGCGTGCCGAGCAGGCACACAGTTGGGACCATCACTGGGACAATATTGTACTGCCACATTTGCCAATCAGCCTGCCACCTTTATGGTGAGCAAGAAACCATTCCTGAAAAACATATTCATGAGACGTGGTTGTGGAAGACCCTACATAAGACTGACCGTGAGTTACCTCATTCGGCCGGTGGGAGCTGCACGAGGCTGACGGGTGTTTACCTAATTGGGCAGAACTCAGCCAGTGGCCCTGGTCCAGGCATGTATAGACTGGCCCAGCACAAGCATGGATGCTGATTCCCGAGGAACAGATCATACCATGATTCCAAACCTATTGTGGGTCTAAAAGTTTGGTTGCTGAAAAGACAAGATCCGGCTTGACCGCCCAGCGAATTGTGATGGTATAAAAATGCTCGAGACCATACCGTGCGTGGCTCTTCTCATCTCCAGCTCAAGAGAAAGGTCCTTTTTTCTTCTTCTTTCTTTCTTTCAATCTTTGTTGCAAGAGGGAGCCACGTGGAAATCGTCATCAATATGGCTGCAAACAACAGTGCTCTTCGGATTACAAAGATTTCTCCAGCCTACTGGCGCGCAACGCTCAGCAACCCGCCGCTCAATATATTCGGTCCGCACCTGTATGCCGGCCTCCGGCTGTTGCTCGACGATCTCGAAAAGGATCAGCAAGTGCGCGTGATTGTCTTTGACAGCGACGTAGCCGAGTATTTTTGCGCGCACTACGACATGGCTTGGCCAAAGGAAGGAGTCGACATCCCGGGCTATGCGCCGGTAAGGGGTGATTGGCCGACCTTCGTGCACCTGCTCAGCAACCTGGGCGTCGTCAGCATTGCCTCGATCCGCGGGCGCGTGCGCGGCATCGGCAGCGAGTTCATTCTGGCGTGCGACATGCGCTTCGCAAGCCGCGAGAAGGCCATCTTGGGCCAGCCCGAGGTCGGCGCGGGCGTCGCGCCCGGCGGCGGAGGGCTGGAGTGGCTGCCCCCTCTGTGCGGCCGGTCTCGCACGCTGGAAATTGTGCTGGGCAGCGACGACTTCGACGCCCCCACGGCCGAACTGTACGGGTGGATTAACCGCGCGCTCCCTGACGCCGACCTGGACAGGTTCGTCGACACCTTTGCGCGCCGGGTCGCAGGCTTCGACAAATTCCCCCTCGTCAATGTCAAGAGGATTGTGAACCAGCGCGCTGGCGTGGCCAATTTTGCCGACCTGCACGAGTCGCAGCTCCTCTTTGCGCGCTGCGTCGAGACCCCCGAGACCCAACGCCGAGTCAGGAACCTCTTCGCAGCCGGATTGCAGCAAAACGGGGACACGGAGCGGAATCTCGGACGTGCCCTGGCACAGCTCACCTCGGATTAAGCGAGGAAAAGATTCCCTTAGCCCGGGGGGGGGGGGAGGGGGGCAACCTTGAGTCGGTGCACAAACACACAGGGAGCTTGGAAAGCATGCCGAAATCAAATTTTGAAAAAGAAAAGGAGAACAAATGAGGGAGTGGAAGGGAGCGTGGATAAACTTTTGTATTTCCAGGCTTTCACCATCTCTCACTAACAACCGCTTTTTCTTACTCTCCCGGTTTTCGCCCGTACACGAAATGGAAGTTCACGTAGAGATGGTTCTGTGAGTTTTGCAGCTCCTTGATAACGTGAGCCACGAGCACGCGACACTCGTCCTCGGACCAATTCAAGTAGCGTGTGAGGAACCCCAAGGCAAAGGGCTCGATGGCCGAACACACCTGCGGAAGCTGGTACTTTCCCAGGGTCTTGAGCTTCGGGTCGCGCGGCCACGTGCCGACGGGGACCTGGTGAGAATAATTAATGACGGATTGGTGGTTAGCGGAAGGTATCAATCCGAAATTGTCGAAAGCAGAGTGAGATTTATAGACCATATAGGAGAGGGGAGAGATGGGGGAAGAACTAGTGGTGGCCCCTTTCATGGAAGAGCCAAGGAACCTACCTTGTAGACGTCGTCTCGGACGTCGATGAAACCCGCATTGATCAGGCGTTGTCTCTGCTCTTTGGCCACGTCGAGGTCCTTACCGAACACCTTGCTACCCTGGTTCACCTCGTCTTGCCACCGTTTCAAATACGGCGTTCGGCTAAGGTCTGGGTCGTCGTCCGATTTAAGCCACGTCTCATACTCCTGCATCTCCAGCCAACCACCTGGCGTCAGTGACCGCAATGCCTGCTGGTACAGCCTGTCCCAATCCTTGATACTGCCGGCCATGGCACGACCGTGGATGAAGTCGTAGGTCTCGCCCCCGGAGTTTCCCTCGACCCAGTCACTCTCGACGTCGTCTACGTAGAACCGGACGTTTGGCGGCACCAGATCTGGCTGAATAGGACTGAGGTCTGTACCAATGACCATGGCCATGGGGAATTCGTCGGCAAAATCCACAGCCCAGATACCAGTCCCAGTGCCGAAGTCGAGCACCCGCTGGGGGCTTGCTAGGATTGGTGCGCGGAAGAGGCGTCCATCTAGGGCCAGTCGAAAGACGTGGTGGAGGAGATCAAGGCGAGCTTGCTCCATTTCATCGTTGGGCAGTGTATATTCGCCTTGACGATAGGCATGGTACCGTCTGCCGTGTTCGTAAGGGTAATTGTATATGGACGAGGCTAAAGATGCACTGGTGACCGAGGCGTTGTCGCCCAGGGTGGAGTCCGCGTCGCTCGCTTCGTTGGACTAAAGGAGAGATCAAGCGTTAGAGAACCCAGGCTTGACCAGGGCAATGAATCTTTGTCTGCTCTTACGTCTGGCTGGATCTCAGCATCCGGATCAGGCGCGGCGGGTTGCTCAACTATCGCGCCCGGTTCCGATGAATGTTCTGGGTTTTGTCTGGTGGCGTCGCTCATATCGAGCCGTAGTGCAGCCTTGCTCACTCACTGCGTCGTACAGTGGATGCTGATGTTTTGAATGGTGGGCGGGGAAACTCGTGGAAGAGCGGGCCGTAGAGAGCATATGTACATGGCCACAGGAGGAAAGTGACGGCAAGTGGTGGTAGTGGGTGGTAGTGCACACAAGCTGCTGAGGGCTTCGGAGCGGCCCGCCCAGCTTTAACTACTGCGGCGTAAGGTTTTGGTGCCATTGGGGGTGGATTGGCGGCACTTGGTTAGTGCTTCGGCAGGCCCTTAGGTGCATATCCGGCTCCCTGGGCCTCACTAAACGACCTTCCCTCCAGGTGCCTATCTCCTCCATCTCGCCTTTACTTTGGCCTCGTAGGTGCCTAGGGCAACCCCCCACGCATGCTGCATCTACGCGAGGACTGGGTGTTGTTCGTCCATTGGTGCCACCTATCTATGTCCTTCTGTTTGTATGTAGGTGTCCCATTGAGAGCAAGCTAAAGCATCAGCTTCAATCCCGTGCCCACACACAACCAGGCGATCGGTCCATCTCGTTGCTGATTCACCTTTCGCAACTGGCCCATCCTTGACCTCTCCATTTTCTTCAATCCATCCTGCTGTGTGAAACATTCAGCCATGGCCTCGGCATACTTCGAGATTCTGTCCCAGGGCTCTCTGACGACACCTCTAACCATCCTACTGACCACATGGCTCCTGTATCTGGTGTCGCTTGTTGTGAACCGGCTGTACCTCTCGCCCATCGCAAAGTTTCCCGGACCGAAAGCGGCCGCCTTATCACGATGGTACGAGCTCTACTACGAGGTCGTCCTGAAAGGCCAGTACTCACGGAGGATAGATGAGATGCACCAGCAGTATGGTATGGCCGGCTTCTAGTGCCAGGTGTTATTGAGTAGAGACTTGGCTGACCGATCACTACCAAGGCCCCATTGTGCGAGTCGCGCCAGACGAGATCCATATCAAGGATAGTGACTTTTTCGATGAGCTATATGTCAAAGTCCCACGGGTTGACAAGCATGAATGGGCTGCTGGGAGGTTCGGAAACCATGGCTCGATCATTACCACTGCAGATTTTGCTCTCCATCGTCGTCGTCGTGCGGCACTCAACCCCTTGTGAGTCTTTTCCAAAATGCATGCCTCGAATTGGGGACGATGGCTCTTTGGACACGGATTCAAGGAAATTTCTGACGCCAATATAGCTTCTCTAAACGGTCAATCGTGGACTTCCAACCGGTCATTCGCCAGAAGGCTGAGTTGTTAAGCAAGAAGCTTGGTGAGTACAAGGCCAAGGGCGCTCCCGTAGTCCTGAGCGAGGCATTTCCAGCGTTTGCCGGCGATATAATCACGGAATACTCCTTTGGAATCTGCTATAATCACTTGGATTCTCCAGATTTTTCAGAATCCTTCCATGCTGCGTTCATGGCAGTCGGCGAATTTGGCCATGTCGCGGTTCAGTTCCCCTGGTTCCATCCAGTGAGTTTTGGCTCGACCACACCGGCTTGATTCGTGAATGCTGAAAACAGCACAAGCTCTTGAATTCTCTTCCGGATGGCCTGGTTCGGAAAATGCAGCCGGCTCTGGGGAGTCTACTGCAGCTTCAGGCTGTAGGTTGGGGTGTCTCAAGTCTTTGAATTTCGTGCCCACTAAACGCTCGGACACAGGATTTGCGGAATATGATCAAACTACTGACTCAAGGGGATGACTTGGGTGAGGGGAAATCGTCCCATCGGACCATTTTCCACGACCTGCTTCAGAGTTCTCTCCCGCCCGAGGATAAGGGAAACCGCCGCATGGCGGATGAAGCTCAAACAGTCATCGGAGGAGGCCTCGAGACAACAGCCTGGGCATTGAGCGTGGCGTCATTCCACATTGTGAACAATCCCAAGATCTACAAGCGACTACACGACGAGATTCTTCAAGTGATGCCCGATGCGTCCACCATCCCCGACCTGCTAGAAGTCGAAAAACTGCCTTACCTTCGAGCCTGCATCACCGAAGCTGTCCGCCTATCTTATGGCATTTCCGCTCGCAACCCTCGTGTGCTCAATCAGCCGCTTCAGTACAAGCAGTGGACCATACCTGCGCGTACGGTTGTGGGCATGTCGATTGTGGACGTCCATCACGACGAGAACATCTTCCCCGACTCGCATTCGTACATTCCAGAACGATGGCTGGGGAACCCCAAAGCGCCAAATGGGTCCCCTCTTGATCGCTATTTTGTCGGGTTTGGAAAAGGCAGCAGGAGCTGCCTTGGAATAAAGTACGTGTCTTGACCCTCAGCCGGGTCACACCCGCGAGCGAGTTCTATTTCTATCGAGCTAACCCAAGGACTATCTGCCCAGTTTGGCGTACGCGGAACTGTTTCTGCTCATGGCGACGCTCTTTCGACGATTCCGGTTCGAACTGTTCGAGACCGACAGGTCGGATGTGGAGTTGAAGCATGATTTCTTCTTGCCGAGCCCGAAACTGGATTCCAAGGGCGTGAGGGTGAAGGTTGTCGAAGTTTACAAGTGAGAAGATAATGGTTAGTGATTGACTCTGCACTACGTGACCACATACTCCGTATATATCTACATACTTGCAATTCGCTCTCCGATCGTCGACCTTTTCATCCCGAATGTCGTAGGACCCACAGAAAATACTAATGCGCGGGATACATGTCGACCGTACCACGGCTAATGCATGCGGGACCACTCGGTATCTACAAGTAAGTGTCAATTACGGAGATTTCGTCACAAGGCCAGAGTCAACGCCACACGGTGCAATCCACATTCAGTAGAGTGCTTACTTGTGTTCTTTGATCACCAGACTTGTATCAAAGCGAAGGTGTCAAGCACGCTTCCATAGCCATACAGAACCCGTTCGCGCCGCCAACGCGTCGCGTGCCCCCACCTATTCAAGCTGCTTCTGATTTGTAGAAGCTAGCTTGCTCGCTACAGCAATCGTTAGGTACGTACAGTCGTTGCCGAATTCCCCCCTCTCTCTACCTAGCTATCTGCGATCCTTCGAGGCGAGGGAGAGGGGAGCTCTCGGGGACCGCATGGTCGAGCTAGTTAACAGCTTAGCAGCAGCGAGCCAGAGAGAAGAGTTTGCTGGATAGTACGTGTACTCCGTACGAGACTCTGGTCCCTTTGGACACCCGCCTCTCCATCCATGGAGGGCGAGGAGCCCTTGGTGCAGCCAGCTCAGCAGCAGTGGCAGTATATGACGGCATCTCCGGGCTTCAGCGCAGCCTACATCGACGAAATTTCCCAAGGACGACGCACACTCAGCAGCACTGCCCCTTCTCCCTCTCACCATCTTCCCCAGTCATTAACCACGGGGACGGGCGCCAGCATCTACAAGTCCGCAATTATCCCCGCGATTCGCGCCGCGCAGAACGAGGTCGTGCTGGCAACGTGCTTCTGGGCCGCGGCGTCGACGGCCCGCACGCAGATCTGCGAGGCGCTCAAGGACCTGTCGCGGCGCGTGCTGGCGACGTCAACATCTTCTTCATCGTCGTCATCTTCCAGGAAAGTCTCGGTGCAGATATGTTTCTCGTCGTGCTCGCTGGCGAGGAACATGCTTTTGCCCACGCCGCGAGACGGCCAGTTCTACCAGGCTGCAAGCTGGGGGAAGCTCCTCGGCCTGCCCGAGCCCGACGAGGTCAAGGGGCTTGAGCTCCGGGTCGTGCGCAAGTTCTTCTGGCCCTGGGGCATCCTCCATTCAAAGTACGTCATCGTCGATCGCACGCTGGCCATATTTCCCTCGTGCAATGTCTCGTGGGAGCGCTGGTTCGAGGTGGCCATCTCCTTGACCGGTCCCGTCGTCGACCATTTACGCCAATTCCATGCCGACTTCTGGGAGAAAGGGACGCCTCCGCCGCTGCCTGAGTGTCCCGACCCTCCCCCCCATCCCACTGCTGCAGCAGATCCGAACACGCCGGCCCCAACAACTCTCCTGCCTTCACCACACACTCCGGCGGCTCTTCCGAACCACCTCCAACCGCGCGTCCTCCTCGGCCGTTTTCCATGCCTGCCCAGCGCCCCGCTCACATTCCCTCCCACGCCGCTGTTGAAGGCAACGCACCACCTGCTCTCCACGGCGCGGACCCGCATCGTCATCCTCACGCCGAACCTGACCGAGCCGGCCGTCCTAGAGTGCCTGGCCGAGGCTCTCGGCCGCGGCGTCCGCGTCTGCATATGGACGAACCGCACCCTGATGACCGCGGAGCAGCTCGTCACCGCCGGCACAACGACGCCGCGCTGTATCCGGAAACTCCGAAGCAGGGCCCAGCGAGCGGGGGCGAGCGGGCTGCTGGAAACATTCTTCTTCGATGCCGACGACGGGCCCGGTGCGCAGCTGCAACGGCGACTAGTGCTGCGAGAAAACGAACGTGACGACGCAGAAAACGAAATCGAACAGGATGAGGGGCAGGGCCAGGAGTCAATCCCCGTCAAGCTGCACGCCAAAGTGACCATCGTCGACGACGAGAGGATCCTGCTGGGCAGTGGCAACATGGACGCCGCGAGCTGGAAGACGAGCCAGGAACTCGGCGTGCTGGTTGAGAGTCGCGCCGTGGTCGACGAATTCAAGCGATTATGGACGTATAGCAAGCTGTGAGCTTTTGATCGTCATCCTTGTCATCATTATAATCAACATTATCGTCGTCGTCGTCGTCATCATCATCATCATCATCATCATCTAAGGTTTTCTGAATTGATGAGAACAGCGCTTTTCCTTCCGTCCTCCAGTGCCAGGACGAATGGCATCGATCGGACCCGGATGTGGTTTCTCATCTGAACTACCCCATGTCCTAGAATAAGAGATCTTATTCCTGTTTGGCCATATTTAGATCTCCGATCAGTTGGAATGTCACATCCATTCTTCAAGGCTTCAGTTCACTCCTCCGTGGCCCCGTTCTCAAAGACGACCCAAACATCCATTGATCTTGTGCAAGATATCGACCGTGAGGCGTGGAACACGAGGAAAATTGCAGCCTGCAAGTGACAAAACTACCCTGCAATTGACATCGCATGTTCCCTGGAATCGAGCTTCGAATTCCCTTCCTCGACCTCAGCGTGACCCTCGATTAAAGACTGACGACCACTTCTTTCGGAGGGTTTCGTCCAACATTTCTCACCGCGGCGCTGCCGAACTGTGCAAGTCTGCGGCGTTGGCGCGAAAAGGATCAGTCTGGTCATCCAAGTCGACATTTCTCAAACCACAAAAAACAGTCCAACAAGTTCATCCCCTGGAGACCTCGACAGCAATCATCATACGCTTGGCAATTCTTAAGAAGAAGTCTGCTTTCACAAAGGGTGTAGCAAGCGGAGAGGTGTATTCGCCAATTTTTTGCGCCCCTCTGAGTCGGCGCAAAGGATCCCGTTCCACAATAGGGAACTTTTCTTTCGATTCAGCGGCGTCTCAGACGGATTTTTCCATAAGTGAGAGTGACAGAAGACAAGATAACGCCCAAAGAATGCGATGTTCAATCTGTGAAGGTGCCATATACTGGTTTATCCCTCGGCGTCATCGGCCGATGGCGACCGGATCGCGCAGGGCTCGCATTTGCGATATTCTAGCGTCGTCCTCGATAGGTAAACGGTCAATCACTACTCGACGCGAAAGCCTTGCGTCATTCCGAAATGGTTCCCCAGCAAAAGAGGTCTCGTCGGGCTTTCGACCTTTGCCCATCGATGTGTGTTCCACCTAACCAGACTGATGACAGACGATAAAAGGCGGATTTGGAAGGCTGTAGGGTGTACGCGAGTGGCGAGATGCTGGCGTATGAAATTGCGGCGGCTCAGATATGCTTCAGTCAATTTGTCGGATTGACTTGCTGCAGCACCACAGTTAACGGATTGTCGGGATAGCATCAAGCCGCAGCCCCTGATACTCTCAGTCGGCGTCCCAATAGCCATTGATGCTCCCAAGCAGCATCTTCCACACATTTCCGTCGGCACTTGTTGTGTCACATATGTCCCTCGCTAACCCCCGGGCCTCCTTCAGGTCTTCATCCAGCCATCGGAGTCTCTCTATGCCACCTTCATCATTGCCGAACCTGATAAACTGAATGCCTACCATTCCCTCCTTTTTGCCTCGTTTCTCGAGGTACTCCACCAGTCTCTTGATGGAACGCGCAACGGCGTCCAGCTGACGGTCTCCAGGTTGCCACCTACCATCAGTAAAGACATATAGACTTATGGGCCTGGTATCCGAGTTGGCTGCAAGCTTTTTCTGATATGCTTCCAGAATTTCGTCGAGTCGGTGAGCAAAGTCAGACTCCCCATTGAGGCTTTTACCTCTGTCTCTGACCATATTCTTGAGCCTGGTAGTGTGCCATTCTTCTTTCCGTTCGTCAGATATGATGAATCGCAGCTCGCTTCCATTGGGATCGAGTTCTTTCTTCTTGATCATATAGATTAGGCTGCCGTAAAGCTGGGTGAGATCGGGCCAGTATGGGTCCATGCTTTCGCTGTCGTCCAATATAAAGACCTATGTCTGCGTAAGTGATGCGCGATACTACAGGTTTGCAACGTGGGAACGTACGTGATCTCTTTTTTTCAGTTGACCAATAAGCTCGTTCTCATGAGGAAGGGGAAAATTTTCTTGCCGGCGGAACTTTCTTTTGCTCCTCTCTTGCGTTTGTTGAACCCAGTCAATCAATTCTCTCACCGTCAAGGACTTGGTCGGAGCTTTGTTATGTGTGCTGCCTGATGGGGTCGGGTCTACCGCTTTTTCTTTCCCTTTGATTCTTGCCTTGTCGGAAAGCTCTGCAGGTTCCAGAAGGGTTTCTACACCTGGGGATGAAGGTTGATGACGGCGACTGAAGGTATCCAGGGGGGTTGTGGGGCTTCGCATGAGTGTAGAATGAAAATTCGAGGAGGTGTGGACGACGTCGGCACTTCTTGATGCCAACAGTTCTGTCTGAGCCCTGTCGTGAAGTGGCATCTTCACTTGATCAAGACCTTTGTCTTGAGGCTCTGGATAAATGGAACTGCCGGCGCTTCCGTGGGTGAAAGAATCTCGACCAAATCCACATATTGACAAGGATGATTCTCGGTTGCCGTTTCTACTCAGAGATGAGCTGTCAGCATCACGACTGCCAGGTCTCTGCGCTAGTCTTGGGCTGTGATCGCAGTCCCTATTATGAGGAAGCTCGATTCGATGATCATCCGGAGGGGTCCAAGGATATCCGACATAGCTCTGGCCATGCAACTGCTGGTACTGGAATTCGGGAGGAAGTTGTGGCGGTGTCATTGGCCTCGAACCATTCTGCTGGTATGGTGCGGTCTCGGACTCGTCGTATGCCGATGGCGGTGGCAATTTATGTCGAGCTTCTTCGATGACGTCCTCGGAGTGGCGGAGAACTTGATGCGCCCGGAGGCGAGACGACGGTGACGGCTCAAACATGTACTTGAGCAGTTTTTCCCACAGGATAGGCGTTATAGAGTCCTCCCTCGCGCATATCCTTTGGGAGTCAGCGTGCCAGGTTTTCACCTTCCCTAGAAGATGTCCTGTTTTATCATGGAAACAAGCGCCCATGGTCTTGTCGACACCCGCGTCACTCATTCTCTCCTGACGATATTTGCGCACTCCATATCTGCCCTCCAATCCATCCACGGTCCACACATGGAACTCGCTGTAGACACAGGCGAGTGACCATGTGTCACCACTCTGAGGGGCCCTGGATATGTGGGGGTGGTGGTTGGTGCTTCTCGCTCGGTTCAGCTCCGGGGCGCCTAGACCATCAGTAACGTATACCGCAAGCTTTGCTGTAAAGGGACTCACCGTAAGCTTGTGAGCCGCCTCTGCTCTCTCTGGTGACACTATGATCGCTCTCAACAATAGCCGAAAAGTGGCTCAAACCCAAGTCAGCGAGCATGAACCGAACATCGTACGGCTTCTTGTCGATATCACCAGAGACTAAGATATTAGACGGCTTGATATCTTCATGGCAGCTTTAACAAGAGTGTCAGTACTGAAGCAACTCCTTGAGTGTCCCAAAATCGCCGACAAGGATTGGAAACTCACCCCTGGAATATTTGCGGCCGTCCCGTGCGGTCAGTGCCTGTGTTCTCATGTATCTGCACGAGAGCCTTATTAAGCTTAAAGCAATTGTCCCACAAAGTCACTATGTCCTGTCCTAGCTTTGGGGGCTGAACTTTTTTCCAGTAGTCCTCCAAAGTCCCGACGTTGGCATATTCAAGAATGATGTGACGACTTTGATTCTGTGTGAAAGCACCATAGAATCCTATCAGGTTGGGCATTGGTGCTGATGACTCGTTCAGTTTGCGAAATGCCTCGACTTCGGCAGAATAGTAATCGTCTGCCCCGAGAGGGTAGTAAGACTTCACAACGTATTCATGCGGGTCCTAGTAGAATTCAAGTTAGACGACATTATTGATATAAGCACGGGGATATGCTCACGTTTTCGGCATTTGAACTTTTGCACAATTCGTCGTACTCTTCATGGATTGTGACCTTGTGGACCGAGGCGCTTGAACCCTCGTTCTTGTCCACCTTCTGCATCGAGGTAATTGGGAGGATTCTGTCGTTCTCAAATCTTACGGGTGCGAGACTGTAGCTCAAAGCCTCCACACAGAATTGCCACTGGGTCTTGTAGAACTCGTCAAAAAACGTTGCGCCGCCGCCGAGTTTAGGGAAAAGGTCTCGCTTGTCGGAGAGAAAGGGTAATTTGCTGTCGCGCAGCGTCGATTCCCTGACAAAGGAGTCGATATACTGCGAGTGGCCGATGGTCACCAGGATAGTGAAGACTTTGGGACAGTGTTTCGCAAGGGCACGCACGTCCAGTGGAGGCTTGGAAGCGTGTATGGTCGCCGCTGCGACAAGTTTCTTGACCTTTGAGTAACTACTATCCCGGCTGCAGTCGAAGTATTCGGTGATTGCTCGATCTGGGACGAATTGACATGTCGTGTAGGAGGATCCGTCGCTGAAAGTTATACCCTGGCAACTGTTCTCTTCTTTCCATGTCAGAAAGGACTGAATCTCGGGGTCGGTGAACAGGTCAGGTTGGGGAGAGCCTTGTTCCGCTGCCATCGCAGCGGATGGATGGTATGGCTACCGTGTAGCGACAAGAGGACATAGAAGGTGGTTCTGGGACGTCGGTGGTGCTGGATAGGGCCGATCTTTCGACGGTCCAGACAGAGGTTCGAGAAGGAGAGTGAAGGAGGCATCGTCGACGTTCAGCGCCAGCCTCATGGGCTTGAACTGCGCATGCAACGCGATAGTGACCAGGCCAGACTCGGTTAAGAGCTACTGAACTGGTGACCAGCCTCATACTGCAGCCAACAGTCAACAGCCCACAGCCCACAGCCCACAGCCCACAGCCCCTCCATCAAGCTTTCCCTTGGGACTGATTGATTGGGCGGGGCAGCGCTACATAGGTACATAGCGAGTAGCAATGGCCTTGTCTGCCTGGTCGCCTTTCCTGTAGCACAGCCAGTGCTGCGGCTCACCAAGGATCGTATTTTTCAGGCATTCGAACATGGCTGATGGTAAAGGCGAATTCCTCTCTTTTTGCACATTTCAACCTCGTTGATATCAATGCCGTCGATTTAGCCCTTGGCGGTGAATGCAGCTCGACTTTGCGACGACAATGCTCAGGGCGTAATTCCTGTGAAGGCTGAGTTGTCCTTTCTCGTTAATGCTTTAGAGGATCGAAGTCCTGAAAGGCAACTCACAACAGCAAAGTTACTTGCTTAGGGCTGCAAACCAGAGACCAAGTCGTAGTAAGAAGCTTGCGCACCAGACCTTACCACTAAGCAAGCACTAAGCTAACAAGCCCCGGGATTGCCCGGGCTTACCTGTAGCAGGCTCGGGCCACCCCCCCCCTCTTCCCCCCCCCCCCCCCCGGGGTCCCCGTCAGCCGAGCCCATTTGAACTTAAAAAAGACAAAGACACAGATGATATTGGAGGTACTCAACCGCAAGACCATCTCTGTTACATCCCAGTCCTGCACTTGAAAGTCGCAAGAAGCTCTGTCGCGAATTCACAACACCATGTACCAGAATAACAAATATAACATGGGTCCAACATTACCTACCATCCCGCTACTCGCTACAACAACCTGAAAGTCACCCGCAATCTGCTCTTTTTATCACCAGTGATGCTGCCGTCCCCATCAAACATTTTGACGCGTCCTATAAGGGGTTGTTTCATGTCATAAAGTCGTGAAAACACATCGAAAGCCCTAGACATCAAGCCCAGCAATAAATGCACAACGATAATTCGCTCACATTTCCACCAGCAAAGATCATAATCATGCAAAGGTAAGATACTTTCAAATAGAGGTCAGTGAAGAGGACGGTGGTGTCGTGCCACGAAACAAGAGGACGCTCGTCAGTACGATTCGTTCTCCGTTCCAGATTTGCCCACCACTCAAGAGCTGCTTCGCGATTCTCAAAGTAACACGTGGATTTCGAGCCTTGCTGTACAAGATATCCAAAAGGGCCATCAAGAGCCTCCCTTTTCAAGACGGTCCAGATTTTTCGAAACTACACGGCTCAACGACCAAATATCAGAAATTGAGTTTGTGATGGAGACATGCAGCAACCTTAGGAGCACAATGCCCCGGGGTCTCGATGGTTATCCCTGTTGTCGCGCAGAGGCCGATTGCGGATAGCATTTATCCGCCGTAGCGGAGGGCTCCCCAGTAGAGCGCAAACCCAGAACCGAATGTCGCGGCCATCAATGAGAGAGTCAGACAGAGAAAGAGCTTGACTGCTCCCAGAGAAGTGCTGCCCGATGTGATCTTGGAGTCTTGCGGACTGAAGCGGACAATGTCAGTCGACATGAGAGTCGAAACAAAGGTTGCGGGCAGAAAAAACACTGTTACTACAGTAATGATCCTCATCAATACAGTTTCGAATGTTGTTTTGAGCGTCAGATGCTTCATTTGTTCTGTCAACTCCTCCATCCGTTTCGCCGAAGCGCGTGCCTCCAAGGCAAAGGCTTTGTTGGCCTGCATGCTTTGGTATTCGACGATCCCGTATAGGAGGGTTTTGCACTCGGCAATCAGCTTCGAAATGGTTTCAATTCTGTTGAGGTGCATGCCTAGGTCATTCCGCAGAGACTGGACACGCTGCGAGAACTGAGCCACAGATGCCTGCATGCTCCTGCGGAGGGTAGGGTCCAGATGTTCCAGATCGGAAGATGTCGCAAGGCGGTGGTAGAAATCCTCAATCCGAGAGAGGACGGCAATGTCGCTCTTGAGCACCAAGCCAGCATCATTGACGATGTTTTCCAGAGCCTGCGCCTCTTGAAGTTCCTCGATCCTATACACGTTCTGGTCTTCGTCCCCTTTCAAGTGCTGATTCTTGGGGTCGTACTCGGGAGGCAGATTTGGAGGGTCCTGCGGCTCATCTGGCACATTGATGGCAATGCTAGGCGGTAGGAGCTGCAGAGGCGGGGGAGAGTTTGTATCTGGCGCCATTTGGGAGTTGGTAGTATTAGTACGAGTGCGAGCGGCGCGCAAAGTCCAGGTACGCCTTGGAGCCAAAGTATTACCCTGATTGCCTGCTAGGATCGTTTCTGTAGGGCCTGCGAAAGTGGCTACAGGCGCGACCTTGTCCACCAAAGCACGACGTTTGAGTGTGTGTAGTTGTTCTTCGATGTCGTTCATACACCACCTCCAGTTTTCTCCACACCATTCGACAATCACCAAGTGACAAGCAAGGGAGTTGGTGAACTTCTTTGCGATGCTGGAATACGTGTCAGGGGATTTGGACAGCAGAGTTGCCGACACTTCTTTGAGCCGGCCGCGTATAATGTCATTTGCCTTGACAACGATCCATGTTGCATGTCCGTTCTGGACGTCAAATGAATGGAAGACCACAACCTGTCGATTCGACCAGGGCCACTGCAGTTCGTCTTTGCGCTCGAACGATTTCAGATTGTAGCAGATCTGAAAGTCTTGCCCGGAACGGTCGAGCTCTGGGATCGGGTTTCGTTGGAGGCCTGGCTCGAGCCGCCTGTCCTCTCTGAAGCCACTGAACTGCGAGTCCACCGCGTACAGCTGTTGGCCAAATGCGAATAAAAACTCCAGGAAGATGGGAAGCACTTGAAAGACCGAAAGGATCCAGGTCATCATGTCTTGACTGATGTACAGTACATCACGGGAGTTGCGAGCGCCAACGAAGACAAACAGACATTGTTTGTCTTTCTGGACATGGCCGGCAGAGGCAGTGAGTTGCTGTCTCAGCAGGTCGACAGAACGTGACGTCTTGCTTTCGAAGGTCCCGCGCGAGTCGTCGTAGTAGAAGAGCTCAACAGCAGCTCTGTTCTCGGGACAGAACAGCTTGGGGGCTCTTCTAGCCAACGCTTGTCTGTATTCTTGTTGGACAGATGGGTAAAAGGGGCCAGCATCTATCAGGTTGGCGGGGTAATCCTGGGCCCGGCGGCAAGACGCGTGGAAATCAACGAGCGACATCGTTTTGCTTTAGTGGTATGGGGGGTATCCCAATTGGTCAAGAGACCGGTGTAAGAGGGGAAATACAGTGGTTTCCAAGAGGTAGTTCAAGAATATATATCCTCTCACACAGCCCCCCATATCGCCATCGAGGCTACTCAGAGTAGACCGATCTCGTCCCCCACGGGTCGTGTTCGTGACGCTCGACCCTCTAAGCCCCTTGGCGGTTGCGGAGTCTGCGCCTACTTGCCCACTAGCCCACAAGACCACCAGCCCCACCAACAGGCCAAGTCTGCCTTGTTGCTCTCAGGGATGAAGGAAATCAAGCAAGTGGTGGGAGGGTGGAAGGCAGCTGGGGAGGGAAGGGGGAGGGAAGGGGGAAGGCAAGATTCTCGCCGTCATTTCTCGGCGCCTTCTCATCCTGGTTTCTCTGTCGCTGGTTCGGGGATACGACAAGCCGGAGCAAAGGACGCTCTGTCAAGCGTGTGGATTTTGCAACAGTCTTTTCTCTTCCTACGATTCGGTTATGGCCGTGCCTGAGGGCTGGATGTTGGTATCGACTCACGACTGAGAGGTCGCGAGGCACCCAGAATCGCCATGTCTGTGCTCTCCGCTGATCTCGTCAGCTGAAACATCGTGTCTGTGCCTCAAGACTTGCAAGTCACCTCGACATAAAACTTCCAGTTCCCAAACTTTTGTCGCAGCCTTTTTTCGAGGATTTCTTGGGTGAGGTTTTCGTAGTCTGGAATGTCATTCCAGCGCCATCGGGGTTCAGCATTAGCCATTGTCTGGCGTCGGTCGGTGAAGACACTGAAACTTGCTGAGCTGGACCTTCGAGTGGCAAGAGTGGCTAGGCTCAATCGACGACCTGGACGGTCGCAAGCGCCCTTATAAAATGAGGGGAAACTGGCTCGCCAGCTAGGTTGCACGTGGCAGCAGCGTCAGGAGCCTCATCCTCGTCTCTTTGCAGTTGTCCATGGCCCTGATTTCAGCCGCTTCCTTATCACGCGACTAGTTGTTGTATGCCATGATGATCATTGGACAGGAGACACTTTCCTTTACCGAGTGCGAATGGTCATACATGCGTCAACCCCCATTGGCTCTCAATGGCTGTCCGCCGTATCAGCCACCACATTGGAGGCTGGGAAGACTGCAGATTGCCTGGTACAATCAATCATATTAGACGAAGTACGGAGCCTGATATGAGGGATAGAGCTCCGCAACTAGGGAGGACACAAATCAATATCTCGCCGCCCAGAACCCAAAATCACAGCCAGCAGACGTTGATAATAGGTCCACCATACCGGTCGTGGATTAGTGAGTTCCCCATCCACCAGCGTTCCTGTCTTTAGACAGCAGTGCTTTGCGAATAATATAATACTTACATTCGGGCCACGGGCCGACCCTTAGCCCCCAATGCCAAAACAGCGAGGCAAGCAAGGCTGTCTCCAACTTTTGAATCCGACTGAATCCATCTAATCGTGCGGTGAGATACAGTCTTAAAGTGATATCTATCGAGGCAACCACAATGCTGGCACCCACGACGCAAGACGGGCCCAGCGGTCCCCAGTCGAGTGTGCCAAGTGTCTTGCGGCGGCCATGCACTCAGCCTTGGTCTGGCCTGTATCTCCCAAACACGAGGCTGAGTAAATGCAACAAGAAAATGAGCAAGGCAGGCATGAGGTCCTATTCCTAGGGGTCTCTTAGGGGTGAACACAAGCCTATGGACCTGGTCTGTGTTATCACGAGAAGGCTGATTCTGAGTCCCCTGGATACAAGCCACTAGGTCAATGACGCGCGAGTCTACATTGTGACAGCCCGAGCACCGCCTCCCTCCAGATATGCATTGTACTTACAGTCGATCATGGGCCCACATTCCGTGCCTCGTCCAGCTGAAAGGAAACCTATTTATCGGTGCTCGTCACAACTAATAGGATGGCAGCACCATTGCCACGCTGACCACCAGATCACCCGAAGACTCGCCTGTTGTGTCTGTATTCTCTTAGCTTTGGATCTACAAGCAGAGGCAACCAGCCTAGTTGCAGGCCACCAAGCCTAGTTGCAGGCCACCAGGCCTAGCCCTTCCGACACATTCGGCATTTCCCGCATGTAATATCTCGTATATACTGCAATATTAAAGACGGGGCGCGAGGTATAGGCATTTTTCGCCCTGATGGCCCCTATTGCAACGGGCCTATAGGCTATTCATTATTCTCCTGCAACCCTCGCGCCCTTCTATTGCTGTTCCCCCACCCTTGCCTTTGCCCTGTCAATACAATGCAGTTATTTTGCCACGGTCCCGCTGCATTCCGCGTCCGGGGCGTGTGTGCATACCTATGTACATTGTATCGTAATACCTCGGCGTGTTGCGCACACTCCTCCCGGGGCGTGTGCCTTTGGTATCTACGTACATACTATTCCGTCAAATCCATATTCACACTCCGTGTGCATTGCTGGCAACGCCACTATACCAGATCATGATTCTTTTTTTTTTTTTTGATCTCCATCTATTACACAAATCACCCATGAAGAGATCCCGTCTTCGATATCTATTATGAGTCCAATGGTGTCTTTTGGCTCGGGGAGTGCAAAACCAGATTCCTCTACGGAGCGAAATTCTTCAGACCGCTGCGAAATACCCCGGGCAACCTGACCTCTAGCTGCGACCATTGAGCTCTCTCTCTCTCTCTCTCTCTCTCTCTCTCTCTCTCTCACACACACACACAACTGACGAGATGGTGGATGATGTCTAGAGTCTCGCTTTCGACAGATGAGAGCCCTGGACAGGGAAGGGAGGCCGGATGTGCGTCGATCTGACCCTATACATGACGTTTTGGCACGACTTCACTTGAGCGGACAGGAGTTACATTTATTGTGCCAACAAAGTTATCCAACTCCTGTTATATCTGTCTCAGTCTTTCAGTCAGGCGGCACTACTCGCTCACCAGGAATGGGCATGGCATATCTTCTCCCCCTTTGTCAAAATACTACTATATGTCGCAGAGAGTTCTTAAGTGATCATCCCTGGGTAGCACGTTGAAGAAGCATAAGTGGTCTCCCAGCCTGCACCACGTCGTTAGGCTTGACCAGCAATTTCTCCACCGTAGCGCCTTCCATGCTCTGTTCCGCCTTGACGGGGATCTCGAGCTTCATCGCCTCCAGGATCGAAACAACTTGCTCCAGCTTGACGCTGTCGCCTTCCTTGACCTCGACTTTCCACACGTTGGCGTTCAAGGGCGCTTCCACGGGTATGATGTCCGGATCTTAAACACACGTCAGTCTTCCTCTCAGATTTCACATGGGCGGAGGTGTATAGTATATTACCGTGCAGCAGCTCCTCCACTGTATCCATGCTGATTTTCCCTGCTTCCTTCTCTTTGTTCCATTTTTCCAGAAGTTCCCTCTCCAGCTTGTCCATTTCTGCCTGCGCTTCTCGCTGTTTGGCGCGGATTTGCGCCACTTCGTCCTTCGTGTCTCTCAGGAGCTTGTTGTGCTCTTTCATGTCGAATTCGGTGTCCTCATATTCATACTCGTACCGACCACTTCGGAAAGTCGCCATCATGCCTTCATACTCGTCCTCGGTCACCTCGTAGAAAGTGATCTGATCAAAGTCTTCGAACAACCAGGGCTTCTCTGAGCTGTAACCTTTCTTGAAGCCCAAGATGTCGGCTCCAGGGATGGAGAGTCCCGTCATCATGTACCCACCGGGTGACTCGACGTTGTATAGTGCCATGCATGACCCTCCCCAGCCGACCTGCCCTTCTGGAGTGTGGACGCGGGAAGGGTTCATTTTTGGACACTGAATGCGCTGGCGAGGATCAATCGGTAGGGCGATTGGAAGGGCCACAAAGAACCCCACGGCTACCACCATCAATGAGGATTTCGTATATATGTCTCGAAGCTGTTACGCGTTAGAAAATTTGAAACACACCACTATCAGTCAGAATTTCACCTGTTGCATCGTGAATGCATTGTTCTTTGCCACGAACTCCATTGGATCAGGTAGATACGACGCATACGGTCTTTGCGTCTCCATATACCTCTGCAAGCTTTCCTTCTGCCTCTTACTCTCGAACGTGATGGGAAGTTTGTACTTGCGGCTGGGAAACTTGGCTTCACTGAGATCGCCGAGTTCATTCTCAAGCTTGAGAAGATAATCCATCATCTTCTGGCGCGGGACCTTTGTGGAGTCATAGTAGAGCATCAGAGAATTTCCGCAAGCCATTCCCGTATGCATCGCGCCATTGGAGAACGATATCTCTCCCGCGGACTCTCTGAGCTTTCCATACAGCGCGACTGCACGGCACCGGTAGTTGAGGTCAAAGGAGCCGTAGCCGTAGTCGATCAAGATGAAGTCGTCACCACCCTGACGGTACGAGACGAGCGGTTGGTTGCCCTGTTCTTGGATTTGGTGGATGATTGCAGCCTCCCACCCTTTGTTCTCCACGGACGGTGGGAAAACCTCGTACTTCAACGGCGAAACATTTTCGAAGCTGCTCTTTCCATTGCAACAGTCGTCAATCGAGCCTAGGAACTCTTCGACTTCCTTGCGCTTAGCAATTGCGTCTTGGTACGAAACCCTCTTGAACCTCAACTTGTTGCCGGCCTTCATTTGGCCTAGTCTCCAATAGTCGGCCTTTACTATTGTCGTCGCCGACACGAATCCGCCAAAATCGGGCGCGTCGATGGGGAAGAGGCACGGATCGTCCCCTGTCCAATTCACGGTGCCCACTGGATAGCCATATTCGATGACATTTGAAGGGTGGGCGCCGCCTTCTCCTCCATCGGGGCGTGCCCATTTTGGTTTCGGGCCGATAAGTCGTATGCCTCCTCGAGCGGCGTTATGAGAAATCGTCCAGGTGCTGTCGTAGAATTCCTCAATGGATTCGTTGGTGACGAAACCTTCGTCGTAGGGGCCAGGCATCGCAAAAAGATCCCACTCTTCTGGGTAGGACGGTATCAGGTCGTCTGGTAACCTGAGCTCGCCGCTGACGTCGGGCAGATCAGCTGTAATTGCCAAAAGATCCCCAGCTGCAAGGGCTCTTCCCTGATAGCCGCCGACAGCAGTCATGGGCGCAGTTGCCTTTGACCCGAACCACGTCGCAATACTTGGGAGACCTCCATATATCGCCAAGTACGATCTGCATCCCCCTCCTGTCGTCCTGCCGATGGTCAATCGCTGACCAGCTCCAATCTTCAGCCGTGTCCACATGGGTGCATCTTTGCCATCAAGCTTGACCTCCATTGGAGCTCCACAAACGGCTACAATGGCTGGCCCAAGGAACTTGAGATCTGGCCCACTCAAGGTGATCTCAATTCCTTCCTTACCGGGAGGATTGCCCACGAGAGCATTAGCTATTCGGAACGCCAGAGGATCCATGGGCCCAGAGTGCGAGAAGCCTCTTCCAATGGTGGGACGACCTGGCCAGTCCTCTATCAAGGTGTACGCTCCACCTTGTAGGACGTCTATCGCTGAAGGTTGAAACTTGAAAGTCTCTAGGAATTTAGTCATCGTATTGCCGGATTTGAATGTGCTGTCTTGCAAGATGGCCTCCAAGAACTCCATGTTTGTGGGCGGTCCGAATATCTGGGAGCCTTCCAGCATTTCAGACATCAATCGGAGCGCTTCGGGGCGGTCTGATGCATGAACCATGACTTTAGCCAGTAAAGGATCGTAAAATGAAGTGACCTTCGTCCCTGTATGGATCCAGCCGTCAATCCGAGATCCGCGAATCTCTTTCCAAGAGACATGTTGCAGTGTGCCTGGTGATGGCGCAAAGTCCTTTGCAGGATTCTCGGCGTAAAGCCGTACCTCAATCGCTGCTCCTGAAGGAGGACTTTTGGGTTGGAGACGGCGGAGATATTCACCATCGAGCCCGCCCTTCCCAGAAAGCTCGGCATCGGCTTGCTTCAGCATCAGCTCTACCAAGTCAATCCCATAGCACATCTCAGTGATGCCATGCTCCACCTGCAATCTTGTGTTCATCTCCAGAAAGAAGAAGTCCCCTGACTCATCATCGACAAGGAACTCGATGGTACCAGCTGAGCCATAGTTGATTGAGTCAGCCAGACGGACAGCAGCCGATCCTAGCTTTTCCCGGAGTTCGGGATGTTTCGCCACGAAGGGACTGGGGCACTCTTCAATCACCTTCTGATGTCGTCGTTGAATTGAGCATTCGCGCTCCCCAAAATGTATGGCTTCACCAAGCCCATTACCGAAGACTTGGACTTCAATATGATGCGAAGAAGGGTAGAACCTTTCCATGAAGACGCCCGAGTTTTTGAACAGAGTCTCACCACGCGACCGAACTGTCTTGAGCGACCGTCGGACTTCGTCTTCATCCTTGCATGCTAACAGCCCCATGCCGCCTCCGCCTGCGGTGGCTTTGAGCATTACCTGGAGCTGTCAATACAGTTTACAACACGAATGGTCACACCTACTGGGAAGCCCAGTTTCTTCGCTTCCTCAACCGCTTCATCCTCCGACCTGACAAGACCCTTAGTTCCTGGCACGATGGGAACATTCGCCTTTGCAGCAAGTTCACGGGCTGTATGCTTAATACCGAAATCGTCGATACATTTGGGACTGGGTCCAACGAAGACCATCCCTGCTTCAGTGACATGTCTGGCGAAATCGGTGTTCTCAGATAGAAATCCATAGCCTGGGATGATTCCGTCTGCTCCTTTGGATTTGGCAAGTTTAATGATCTGTTGCGTATCGATGTAGCCCTTAGCATCCGGTCCAGAGAGCAGAACAGCTTCATCTGCAGCTCCAACATGAGCCGAGGCGGCATCAGCTCCGGTGTAGATCGAAATCGTCTTAATGCCGAGTTTGCGGGCTGTCTTGCATATCCGTACTGCGATCTCTCCTCGATTCGCGACCAGCAACGTCTTCAATTTCTCCATCTTGTGAAGGCTGGTGAGGAAAGAGGGTGAAGGACGAGCGGCAGCTGACACCCAGCTCTGCTAATGCGAGGGATTGTTGGCATTATCAAGCCATGTTGCATTGCCTTGATATCAGTGAAAGCATCCTGCCGTCATTGGCCCTGATGTGCAAGGATTCCCCCAAAAAAAGTCCATGAGGGGGCATGAAGCTATCGTGCCTCCGCAAAGTCGTTCTTCTCCGCCATCATAGTGACGTATGATTGGGATTGGCCCAAGGATGGGCCAAGTGTGATATACCAGGGTGCTGTTCCTCATGTCCGGAAAATGAAGATAATGGAGAGACCCGCGCGTGGTTTCTGAAGTTGTTAATTTCATCCTCACTAACAAATATTTCGCCGTATATAATAAAGCCAAATTCAAGATGACGCCTCCACCAATCAAACACAAAGCCTTGCTTAATGTTGATATGGGGGAAGGGGTAAGCGGACCCGTTCCGACCGTGGGCCATATTATCTGATCAGTAGGCAGCACGGCAATTATGTCTGCGGTCCAGACTTGGAGTTGCTGCCGTTTATTGATCACGCCAATGTGGCATGTGGGTTTCACGCGGGGGATCCTTTGATAATGCTGGACACTGTCAGGAATTGTAAGAAACATAATATCAAAGTCGGGGCACACCCTGGACTTCCTGATATACAAGGTAAGCTTCTGAACCCGATCAAAGTCAACTCGACCTAACATCATGGAGGTTTTGGCAGACGTGAGATCAAAATGTCCCAGGAGGAGCTGACAGCCATCACGGTATACCAAGTTGGAGCATTGAAGGGTTTCCTTGATCTAGAAGGTGTCCCCTTGCATCACGTCAAGCCCCACGGTATTTTGTACGGAATGATGTGCCGTGACTATGATATTGCCAAAGCAGTCATGGAAGGAGTCCCCAAAGGCGTTCCTGTCTTCGGCCTTGCAGGCACAAACATGGAAAAGGCTGCCAACGATCTTGGTATCCCCTTCTGGGCGGAGATGTACGGAGACGTAAAATACAGCAACGATGGCATGCTCGTGATTGACAGGAAGAAGAAGGCGTGGGATCTGGAAGATGTCAGAAAACATGTCAGTCAACAGCTCAACTCACAGTCCGTTACCGCGACGGATGGCAGTGTCGTGCAGCTGCCAGTGAAGGATTATCCGATATCCATATGCTGCCATTCAGACTCTCCTGGTTGTCTTGGAATAATCAAGACCACAAAGGACGTGATTGACAAGTTCAACAAAGAACACGGAAGGATATGAGAATGACAGGACAGGGTTGATGCGAGACCACCTTGCAAAAAGGTTCATAGCTTCTTTCTTTGAGGCCTCCTACAGGACGTCTCCAAGAGTCCTTGAATTGTACCACACAAAGTCTTTGCATGCTGCTTCTATGCGATTTCCCATTTGTTGTCGATTTAGCGGCATGCTCATAGGTTGGTCTTGAAGTCTTTTCTGTCGTGCCCATACCATGGGTAGGATTAGGTCATGGCTGTGAACAAGAGCATCAATCTGGACTAGGTCGTAGGATATCCAGGATAGCAGTGACGGGAGAGCTTCCATCCGAGGAGCATACTAGGTGTGAAGGGTGCCCGTAGCTTGGACTGACTAGAAGGGCTACTGGACGGCTTCATAAGCGAGCCATAAGCTGATTCAATGAACGCACAAAGTGGTCAAAGGCACTAAGGATGCAGATAGAATTATGAGAAAGGGAACACGTTTCCTGATTGAGATGCTGAAGTGAACTTCTAGTGCCGCATCTAAATGAAGGACCGAGATAGGGAGAGGAAGGATGGATGGTATGATTTTTCATCGCTGCCCCGCTGGAACTGCCCCGGCTCGTCCGTTAGAAATGTCTCGTCTAGGCTCATTGTCGGCTAACTTGCCCCACAAAGTTCTGCCCGGAGCAGCCTACATCGGGGTTCCTGCTTCTCCCCAAAATACCACCTGATATATTGATTAAAGCCAATAATCACTTCAACATTCAGCAGTCCGAACTGTGAGTCCCTCCGCATCAATGTCAACTGAAGTTGAAAGCTAATACCCTCAATAGGGTGTAGAGGTAACATCTGTCGCTCTCATCTCACGAGATATGAAAGCCCCCGACATGCCCGGGGTTCGATTCGTAAGTGATCCCACTATGGGTTCAAACTACATGTGTACTAATTCCCACAAAGCCCGGTTCGGAATAACTGTGAATCTTTTTTTTCCCATTCTTTCTTTTTTCTTTGATTAGAACACTTTTTGCTTTTGGCAAGACCTGCTGCAGGTATGTAGGAAGATCAGATTTGTGCGACAGTCCGCCAGAAAGGCAAATGCACGTGCTCGTGACACACCTCCTTTGTCACGGACAAGGTGTCGCCTGGGTCGAGCCACATACACATCTATCTGCCTGCCCGAGAGCTTGCTTCTCACCGAGATAACTGATGTAGTTTTCAAGGCTGGTTGCCAGTCGAATGACACAACATTATGTCTGATTCCTGACTCAATAATGTGACTACCATTATCACAGTGGCGCGGCGTATCGGCTGACAACGTATATAGGCTAATGAATAAATTTGGTCTATGACTACATCGATTTTTTTTTCTTTTGGAATTCGTCGAAGCTGTTCTGTTCATATATTTATTTGACAATCAAACCTGCTCGGTCTCGACTGGGCTCGTATTTGGAGATTCTCGGCTCCTCGTCAATTGCAATCCGCTGTGTTGTTCCATCCCGCACCTCAAACCAACCTAGAGCATACGTCTTACCACGTGGTGTGGCTTCCAGGGTTTCAGCCAGCTTCGTGGAATGCATGTACCAAAGCAGATTCGCAAGGGTTCCTGGCGGGCGTGGGAGCCACGATCGCAGCTTCTGCGATTAGAAAATACCAGGCACCTATTCATGGTAAGGGGGACCAAGGGGCGACCAAGAAGGCCGTGACCAAGAAGGCCCAGAGGTTCGCGAATACTATATTCCTGGGAGACTGCTCCATATCGCCTATTGATGAGATGCAAATTACGAGGAACTCTGCTAGAACACTACATGTTCCTAGAATTGCGAGCCGCCTGCGGCGATTGAACAGTGCGGCGAATGGTAGGGCGATAGTCGGCAGACCCGCATACTCGACGAAGAGAATTGCAGGTGGTGCGTGGCCTAACGCCGATTGCCAGTACGGCTCCATTGCCCTCTCAAACACATCGAGCTGAGACTATCACATCTTGTAGATGACTACCATAGCGGTGGACAGCCAGAGAAACTTCACCGGCACGGTCCCTGCAGAGCTGAGAGCGCCGAAGATGATGAAGATCTCTCCAAGCGAAATCATGCCCCAGGTATACCACAACGACAGAGCTAAGCGCTGTGGGTTCGCCGTGATGTTCTCGCTGCGGAAAGGTGCACTGGTTCTGTCTATTCGCAGAGGATGAATGCGTCCGTTTTGGAGAACAAAGCGGCCAGCTGTCAGCCTTGGGTCAAGGGATTTGGCGTCACTCCGTCCTTCGCCGAGCTTTTTGAGGTCGCTCCACATTCCTTCACCGATCACTGCAGCGACTCCGTATATTCCGCTGGGGTCACAGGACAGTCCGGATTGTTGCCGGCCAAGCAAGAGGTAAAGCCCAACAAGGCAGGAAGCTACCGGAATCAGTGTCGCTGCTAGTAGCCGAGACCAAATTGCAGAACCGATAACAAGTGTCCACAAAGACCCGTCAGCAGGATCGGATGGATTTGCGGAACACCTTGTCTGAAAAACCAAACCCTGTATGACGGGTGCAGCTACCGTGGCTAGCACATTCGTGAGTGCTGATAGCTATATCAGAGCTCTAGCCTTGATCGGCTTTCGAAGGTATGTGAGATAGCACACCGGATCTCGAATGAAGATGTCAGTCCCAGAAAGACCATTCGGTCTACTGAGCTTGTAGAAAGGTGCCAATCGCATGTAGCGCCATGAAAGGTATTTGGTATTGTCAAAGTCGGACGCAACGAAATAGCGTATGAGGGCCTTGCCCTCTCTTTGCAACTCGTGAGCATGCTGATAGAGGTATTGCATGGCCGCAGCAAGACCCAATGACAGTATAACCACAAAGCCGAGATACAAGCCTGTCAGTGCACTACACGCCATTTTAGGCGGCATAGGGCTCGCTCATAAGCCGGATGCGCAAGAGTAGCTCCGATGGCAGTATGATCGGGCGACTCAGCTTGGTTTGCTTCTTCAGGAGACTACCTCGTCTCATGGACGCGATGTATTTCCTTGGTCTCGTGGGCGTCTTGGTCGCCGGGATTGTAGCCGGGTCAGATAGTGCGCAAGTCAGGGTTGACCAAAGGGGCATCCGGTGGTGGAGCGAAGTCAATGCTAAGCTTAGGTGGTGAGTTGGGGCACCTTGAGACGGGTTGATAGTCTTTTGGGATGGTGGATGCCGTCTTCTTCGATTGATTTGGAAGTCTCTGACAATAGTGATCTTTCCAGCGTCCGTCTGTGCCTTCAAGGGAGTTGCTCCATCTATCACTGGCGCGCAGTGGCTTCCGAAAACCATCTAGCTGCAAGAAGGCGCATTACAGGGTGTTAAGACCTCAACAATGCGCAGATATCGTTGCGAGGCTGGAGAAGCGCAAAATAAGTACTAAACGGCAATTGGCGACTTACCTGCCCCTTTGCATTAGGTGGAATTTTCGGACGCGGCTATGTTAAAGGGCAAAAGGAACCACCATTGTCCCAATCTGCTCCAGACTGTTGACAATGCCTCAATAATGCTAAGCCATGGGAGTTGTTAGGACGGTTCGGATGCTATTGTAGTTAAAAGGTATTTGGGAAGGGGACCAGTCACTCTGTACATGTGGTATTGATCTTGGATATCTCGCCTTGTGCCGCATCTGAAAGGCCGCCCATGTGATCAGCCTTCAGCCTTCAGGATCCGAATGTTGGAAGGGTATAAATAAGTACCGAGCAGAGGTAGGTACTCCAGGTTTTCCTCCCCCAGATACTTTCCCCAATCTGTATATCTTGCCGTATTAATTAGTTCTGAACAGTGCTTTTCTAAGATCTGAGCAGAATGCGAAGTGCGGAAGGGAGAATCGCATTGAGGTCGGTTTGTCAGCGTCCCACCAGGCGACCGGGTTCGAGAGTGGAATGGACACGCGGCTGAGCCTTATTTTCAAGTACGCCAGGGCCAATGCGACGTCCTAAATGCACCCCTGGCAGAGCTCGTGTGACGACCTATTGCAGGTCCAAACATTGCGCGAAAAATACTCCGCTATCAACTGAGGATGGCGGGTCGGAGAGTCAACAATTGGCTGCGGGACAGCGTTCGAGGGCTTCCAGAAGGTGCCTTTTGGTGGCATAAGCAGCCACCTACGACGATGCCGCTGCGCTTAGCTCACTCGGACATGTCCACCAGAACCAATGCTCTCGGGCCCTGTGGGCACTGACTTCCCCGAAAAGGCGCAAGGACTGAGAAGACCCCAGTCCAAATGTCGTAGGAAGGGCGTGCAGAGGGTGAAGAAGCCAAGGCTCTTGCACACCCATTGGCATTCATTCCAGAACTGCCTGAGGAGTCATAGACCCTATCCACCGATCTTCGGAGATTCGTATTCTGGTCCGAGGAGAAGGCTGAGTATCGCTCAAAAGGTACGGTCTGGTCATCTTCTCGCCCTCCTCCTTCTCTTTCGTTGCCATTTCTCCGCAAGTACTTACTGTATGGTCCGGCCTTGAGGACCACAGGCGAGAAGAAAAAATGGAGTACTTCGACTTCGATGATGCCTCCCATGCCATTCCGGCATTGGACCTCGATGATTGTTCGTCGGTCGCGGGCGAGGCCTGTGAAACTGATGCCACAGACTGTTATGAATCGCTCTTTTTCGACAAATCTGCCGCTCTTCCAACCAGTCGAGCACCAGCCATCAAAGTCTGCAAACTCAAGCTGATCAACAACGTTGAAATCGAGGCCATCCCACATCCTTCCGACATCACCGCGGAATACCCCATGTTTCGTGCCAAAGAGCCTTGTGATCTTTGCGCGCGAATGGGTCTCGATTGCTTCTTGGCTACAAGAGGCGCTCTGGTCACGGGCTGCACTTGCTGTATCTCTCTGTATCGAGAGTGCAGCTTCGTCCACCCAAAAATCCCCAAGGGCTTTGTCAACACCTTCCCGGGCATCGCTGAAGATCAGCAGATTACTGAAGGACCATTGACTGAACGCAGAAAAGCCATGAAGTCGATGGAAGAGGGACGAGGCCGGAAGACTGGTGCTCGATTTCCGCGCGATGCTGTCAAGATATTGAAGCAGTGGCTTGCTGAACATGCTGACCATCCGTATCCCAACGAACGAGAGAAAGACGAGCTCAAGCAAGTTACCGGCCTGAAGAGGAGCCAGATCTCCAATTGGCTGGCTAATGCACGCAGACGAGGCAAGGTCAGGCCTGCTGAATCGGGTCCATCCTCACCTATGCTTGGGGCAATCGACATTCCCCATAGAGCCGACAATCCAGACATTGCAGATCTCAACCCCCTGGATAGATGGAAAGCCTCACCGCCAGAACACGAACCCGCATCCATGACTGCTATTGCTCGTGCCGTCACCTCCACACCTCTGCCAGCTCGCAATCCTTCTCTGCCAAGTATTCATGGCTCTAGGCCGAGCTCGAAGAAGGCTTCTAGCGAGGATGATTCATCTTTCTCCATGTTCCGTGCTCCATCGGTGAGCAGTTTTGAAACAAGAGAATCCAGCAACTCGGATCTTACCTTTGCCTCCTCTCGGTCGAATCGATCCAAAGGATCTTTCGCGTCCTCCCAAGACCGACGCAGGCGCAGACGAGCTCCCGTGGCGCAACGTACTGCTGCGCAACAGGCTAAGTCGCGAGCAGCAAGGATCTTCCAGTGTACATTTTGCACAGACTCTTTCCCTGCTAAATATGACTGGCAGAGGCATGAAAAGTCTCTTCATCTCGCTTTAGAGCGATGGACTTGTTGTCCCAATGGTGGGACAATGACTGACGCACTGACGGGCATGGGCCTGTGCATCTTCTGCCGCGAGCCAAACCCTTCGGCGGATCATTTGGAATCGCACAACTTCACTGCATGCCAAGAGAAGACATTGCAAGAACGTACCTTCTATCGGAAGGACCACCTCAGTCAGCATCTGAAACTGATGCACAATGCAAAAGTGCAATCCCACATGGATAACTGGAAAAGCACCACGAACGAGATCAAGTCCGGGTGCGGCTTCTGCCCGTCCAAGTTCACAACTTGGCAACAGCGAGCTGATCATCTGGCTGCTCACTTCCGTAATGGTGCAGACATGGCCAACTGGAGTGGCGGTTGGGGATTTGAGCCGTACGTCGAAAGACTGGTCGAGAACGCCATACCACCCTACCTCATCGGTCACGAGAGGAACACGATGGACCCGTATGTCGCGAGAGTGGCAGCAACACCGTCCGCCAACACCGATGCAGGATTGACCAACGGTACCTCTGCAGAAAGCACAGAGCCTGATCAAATAACCCGGGACTCTAACTGCTGGGGTAGACTGGAACAAGAATTGAGCAAGTTCGTGTCACAACAGAGAATTGCTAGTCGCGTTCCGTCAGACAAGGAGTTGCAGGATCAAGCTCGCATGATCATTTACGAAGACAGTGATCCCTGGAACTGGACCTGCGCGGACAATCAGCAGTGGCTTGACACCTTCAAGTATCAACAGGGGATCGGAAGTGTCACAGACGCAATGGTGCCGACCAAAACCTTGGCTGAAGTGCCCATCTTAGCCCCGTACGTGATTAAGGGCGGGCTGAAGTCGAAGCCTACGACTGCCCAAAGCCAACGCAGGAGTTTGTCCACTGATACCAACTCTTTCCCAGCCATGACCCCTGACTGTGGTAGCATGCCTAACTCTGCCACAGCAGCGACATTTGATAATGGTATGGAGCTTGACTTTGACAGCATTGACTTCAGCAACCTCGACCTCGGAATGGTCGATGATTTGAACTTCGACCTCGGGCTCGACAACAGTCAAGGAGGAGGGATGGCATGTGGCGGTGGAATTGGCGTCTCCATGGCGCCTGCAACGCCGTTCTCATCAAGTATCCAGGGTGATACATTGTTCGGCTCGTACGGGGTAAATCACTCAATAGGCATAGGAATGGACATGAACACAGGAATGCCGTCGCAGCAGCAACAGACACAGCCTGGCAGCAACGGTCGGTTTATGAGTGACCGTGATCTGAGCCAGTTATCTGGGTACGTCGCAGGATTCAACTGACTCCGCAACCAAGCTGGGAGGGCAGAGGGAGAAAACAACCCACTGGGTGGGAGTCGGAGAGTATTTCAACAATGGAACAGACAAGTACATTTGCCATGCGTGGATCTGCACTGGTCAGGCGAAGGGCGTAGGGCTCTTTGAGGAAAGGAGGACATGGCGCCATCGGTTCACAGTCTCGTCATCAGTGTCTCTGATGAGCAGAGCAGTAGAAAAGTAATCAACCATCTTAATGAATAAGGAATGCTGTCACGCCCTGCAGGTGATGCAGGTGATGCAGGTGATGCCTGTCTCACGCCTTGTGTCTGTCAAGGCTGCAGTGATGGCTGGTCTCGGTCAACTCGGTCCGCTTCGGCAGAAAGAAGATCCGGTCCCGACGCTCCCACCCAATTTTCTCCGTCCTCGGAAGTCGGGGGGGAAAAGACAATTCTTTGCTCCATGTTCCCCTTTTAGTTCGACCTCAGCCTGGAGAGCAAGCATGTGAGTATCAGTTCGTCTCTGGCACGTGTCCCCCATTGTCTGTATGATCAGAGGTCTCCAGGCATTAGAAGAAAAGCAACCAGATCGACACGACTGGCAGCCTCAGCCAGACCATTCCAATACAGGACTGCTCTCAACCGCTACCACCGCCAGTCTCACATGTCAGAAAGCGAAGGTTTTTCTTCTTCTTGCGCTTGTCCCGCGTATCTAGGATCCATCCCGCCCCAGCATGGCCCAGCATGGCCCAGCATGCCCCTGCTGGTTCCGTCTCAACAAACGACAAAAGCGGCTGCTGAACCACCAGCAAAACAAATCTTATCCTCTCATACAACCCACCTGCCCGCCTACTATCTTGTCCTTTCCGCCCTCGTCCTTGGCTTTTGCCTGAGTATGCGTGAAAATGTCGTGCAGCAGATTATGTGCATGTGAAATGACCACATGCCATCGTGGCGGACCTCACAACATTTCGCTGATATCATCTCCATCCCACCCTCGCTTCGTCTGTTGCAACTTTCCACGCAAGTGCTCCGTACTCCAACGTTGGAACTTCCACCCGGCGCCGGAACCTGTGTGCAGAACGAAATTCTACTTACCTAGCACAATAATTCTTGAGCGCCTAGCGCGAAGCAGACACCCGAGAAATAGTTCCCGTCCACCTCGACATTGGCGTTGAGCATGGCGACAGCTGACTCTCGACCTGATGCGAAAGTAACAGGATCGGGCCCGATACCATGTGGAGACCTCTCTAGATCGACCATCTACACTATGATCCCCTCCGTGGTCCGGTCGAAGATACCTGTCTTGACCTCCCTCCGACATACCGCAAGAACGGTTGTGCTTCATGGCACGAGCGCTCGCAGGAGAGCATATAACTTGACTTGCGTCGAGTCTACCAAAGAGAAGGAAAGTTATGGGTTTGCATCGACCACCAACTCAAGTGGATCCACGACACCCACGATCAGACCAGACAGTCCGGAAGGAAGCGTACCTTCACAAGACCTGACCCTGAGAATGCTCCCATCTCTGGAGGCGAGATCAGGTGTAGACTGGGATGTTGCTCTCACTGGGGTCAGGTTATGGGTCAACGCCAAAACCCAGGCAGAGCAAGGAGGGGACCCGGTCGCCCTGCGGAGTATGCACATTGACGCATTGCGGTATATGCACATGGCCCTTCCGTCAGATCTGACGACGCTCGAGATCCAAAATTTGCGAGCTAGCATGTCGCCTCAACTCATTTCTCAAGCAGAAAACCTCCCAGAGTATCGTGCGGAACGACAGCCCAATATCCTCCGCCAGGGTGTTGCCCACGCCGTGTGCTGGCTTGTTGCTGGATTGCTACTTATCCTGCCCATTGTCATGACGCTCCTCAACCGACTTCTCCAGTTTGAGCGGGATCATCAAGTCACCGAGCGAGTGCTCGCCAACGGTATTGATCTGACTTCCGCTCTTGGTGAACGTGGTGTTGAGCTACACCAAGCGATAGTTCGCTTCAAGGATGGTCGCGTGGGAGGCGCCTGTGTGGATCTTGGATCGTGGTTTGTAGAGGGGATTGTCGGTGGTGTCAATGATGGCCTCGACGCTGTCGCTCAGAATCGACGGAAAGCAACCCCCCAAATATCCTAGCTGATGATGTCCTCTCCTGTTCCGCATAGAATCGAACCATTATAGAACTGCAAGCTAGCCACCGAGACCACCTTGTTCGTCTTCTAAAAGTATAGATGCGGTGATCATCTCGTGCGTCTTTGCTGTCCCGCGGGCTTTGACCACAGCAATTGGCGGTGCCGTTGCGCATGCTCAGCCTCACCAGCCGCGCTATGCGGCTGACGAGGTCCTGCGCGGTTGGTGAGGCTTGAAGACAAGAAGGGCGTCTGAGTCTCGGCGTGGGGCAACTTGGAGGAGCTTGTCTCCGCCCTTTGGAACTCAAATTCCCATTTCCTCTTCCACAACAATGTCCCTTCGCTTGCTTCCTTCTTTTCGAAGACAACAACTTGTGTTGGACTTGTGAGTGAGTCGCCGAGACGCTGACTGTATGGGCTGACATAGTTTCAAGCTCTGCCCTGAGAGGACACTGTCCGGAGGGGCTTTATGTTTCTCTGACTCCTGGCGACCCCTCTCTCTGGGCCGCGGTCATTTTCGTGCGCAAAGGTAGCAGTCCTCCGCGAAGTTCCCATGGCATCATCAGAAGTTTGGCTTGATTCTGACTTGAAGAGCACAGGCCCCTACGCAGGAGCGGTTCTCCGCTTCCAGATCTCTCTTCCCGACACGTATCCCGACCTGCCTCCTCTCGTCACCTTTTCGACCGATGTCTTCCATCCTCTGATCGTGCCTTTGACCACCTACACCTTTAGTGCCAATAGCGTTGATGCGTCTGGCACTGTCAGTGCTTCAGATGAGGCTCGCCTTCCCCCTGGAACCTTCAGTCTGCGCTATGGATTTCCCCACTGGTTCACAGCCAACTCTCTGCCAGGCAGCAAGGATGACACTTTTGGTGCAAACAAGCAAGGAGATGCGCGTCATTTGACTCCTGGCGACTTGGACTCTGACACTGTAGACGCAAATGAGGATCCTCAAGTTGACCGAGAACCTCCGCAAGATCGCAGAGTCACCATTTTGAAAGTATTGCAGCATATTCAAGATGCATTCGAAAATGAAGGTTTGCTGGATAAACTCCCTCTTGAAACAGTTGGAGATCCCAGCGCGTGGCACGCGTGGCGTGCCCATCGTGGGCTCGCGAGGCGGCAGAACGAGCCTCAAACGCCTGTGTCCGAAGTCAAAGATGCAGCTCCTTCATCGCCAAAAAATCCCGGAGAGTGGAAATGGGATGGTGTCTGGGAGTCACGGGTGAGGAACGGTATCGAAGCTAGTATAAGTGAAGCCACTCTTTTCGGCAGTACTGGTGGTGGTCGAGCCGGGTCTATCGTGATGGACACTACAAGCATGGACCCGCACCAACGATTGCTGGCTGCGGCTGATCGACAAATCCGCTTTACGAAGTTGAGCGATGAGCAATTCGATAAGCTCACGGACGAAATATCAGTCTCTGGCTCTCCTGTGCCTCTCTGATGACGGGGTTCTGCAAAGATTCCGAATAAGGCAAAGAGGAAGTGGTTGTGGCCATGTCTCGAGACCCCTCGCCATTCGAGCCTCGCGTGGCGCTCTAGGTATGCTCCTGAATGCCCCATAATGGACAGCGCCTGCTTTTTCCTCAACTTGAAGCTGCAAGAAGCTGTGGACGCTCTTGCTGTACGGACTCAAGCAAGGACTCAACCTAGTCTCTCGTCCGCAGCTTGACCTTTTGCTTCTCTCCTCAACAATTCAAGCTACGCAGGATACCCCGTATGGTTGTTGCCTTTAGTTTTGAATACTGGCCACATCATGTACAGCACCTATGGCTTCTTCATATGACTGATTTCCCATATCAAGGAACAAAGTGGTCTTTTGGGACGCCGCAGTATTCGCCATACTCTTTCTCAGGATCGTCCTATTGCTCTTCTCCCCCATGGAATCACTTCGCTATTTCAAGGAGCTTTACACATCCAGATCTTGTCAGCCATCGGGCGTTACCGATTCTTGGACTCACCTGCTTTGCAAAACGCTCCAACTCCTTGAAGCCGGGCCAAGGCAGCCATTGAATGCCTTTGCACTCCCTCCAGATCACTTTCCAGGCTGCGTCATCTGCTGTCTTTGCATTCACAAAGACGAGAAGACAAGCGCCTGTGAGAACATCACTTCTGCTGCCGAGGAAAGCCTTAGGCATATAAACATATCAGTTGTCTATTGCAAGGAAATTCGTCGCTGCATTACAGAGCATGTACGAATGTCCGAGGGACAGCCTTGAGGAGACCACTTTTCTTTGTCAGCACCAGCATCGGAGAGAGGAGGAACGAGAAGAAACCAGCTTCTTTGGCTTGTTGCCGGTCTCGAAATCCTTGAATGTTGTCAACACCATGGACAGAGAAGACGCGGACGCGACCCCAAGAGTTCTGAGAGTGATAAATCCGGATTTCAAGGAGGAGAATGCAGATGATTTACCGCAGCTTGGTACCAGAAAGACCGCCTTCTCACTTAGATCGATTTCGGGATCCTTGTCTTCAATTTGGGGAAGAAGGCATGCCAGTACCAGTACGTCCTCCTCTCAACGCGACTTTAGCCAAGACGAAAGTTGGACTGTCGCACCCGACCTGGATCTGGATTACAGTCCACCTTCACGCGGCTGTGTCTCGTTCTCAACCCTCCTCACTGCTCGCAAATCATCAGCTCCTGCACGCAGAAAGAAGAGGTTGAACGGCGACAAGGACGACAAGGTGAGCATCTTGCCTCAATCTATTGTCGCATCTCCCACAAAGCTTTTTGGCTAACGTTGTCGCAGTCTTGTTCACAGAGCCGCTCTTCCGTCTGCGGACCATCCTCAAATTATCTCACTCGTGCGCAAACAATACAAGAGCGATTATCGGTAGACGTGGACAACGAGGTGAGTACTCGACAGGGGTCAGAGTTCCGTTGTCCTGGAGGCTTTGACTGATCGTGTCTCAGCGGTCTTCGGCGTACAGCTTTGGCTCTTTCACGACCGATCATTCCTCAAGACACTCAAACAAGGTTCATCAGAATCCAGTGGAAACCCCTCCAAAACGTGACATCTTTGGACAAGCGAGCCATACAATCATGCCGTTAATCCTTCCCAATGGTATCTACGCGAATGGCGTCCCAACTGACCGAGATTTCCGCGAGACTCGCCCTTTCAACAATCACATCACAGCTCCTGCTGTTCAAGCACCAACCTTGCAAAACATCTTAGACTATCGGGGCTCTCTTGTAAACGAGGCTTTTGCGGCGTCCATAACAACTCCCGTCCATCAGAATGAGCCGCTCGTTAACGGAGAGACAATTCCTTCCGCTCCGCCCCCGAGTGTCGCAGGCACAATGAACCACGAAGACACTGTTGCTCTGCCCGTCGACAGGGACTTTATCCAGCCTCGGTTCGATGCGCATCATTTTCACAACAACTTCCGTAATCCTGCACGAAGCCACCGTCGCAATCCTCTGCAACCGCCATCGCCACCTCCACCTCCACGGAACGCCCCGAACGCGCCGGTCGTCCCATTGCCAGCCGTCGCTGCGCTAAAAGTGGAAACCTTCGCTTTCAATGTCTTGGACGCAGGTACAAAATCCCCCATGACCACATATGTCACGTTCAACATTACCGCTGTCAAGCAGAACTACCTCGAGACACAAAGTCGTACCCATCAGCCTCGAGATCGGTCCTACATCCTCATGGAAAACGATGAAGGCTCTCTGATTGATCTTCAAATCCAAACCAACGTCAAAGGTCCTGCCCACAAGCTCTTCGAGGTCGGGGTCCAAAGCATCCAGAAGCTGCTTGTCAAAGACCGATGGACTCTTTTACTCAAGCTTAATTCGAAAGACAATCCATTGAAATCCAAACTCTCTGCCTCCATGAAGTCGGACCCCAACAGAAAGTCCTCATCTCTTTCATTGATCGACCAGTTCTTGGCAAGCCTTAAGATGGACAGCAAGAGGAGTGAACCAGTCTCCGTCGAGGCAGTAGTCAAGTACCGCCACGCCTTTTTGCCAGAGGACACCACTCTGGAGACCCGGGCCGTCTGCCGTGTTGCGTTGCTCGCTTCCGCCGCGTCCATGGGCGCTATTGAAACTGGGGAGCTCGCAGGCTCCGTCGTCCATGCCCTTGACCCAGGGGTCAACACCGTCAAGCTGCTCTCGGTCGAACAACCAGAGCAACAGCACCACCTGGGCTTATGTGGCCGCGAGGGGTTGGCCCTCATCTACGACTTCCGACATGCGTTGGGCCATGTCGTTTCGGAGTCGGTCACCTGGGACCTCGCCGTCCTGGAGACTTACTACCGACAGGTCCTTGCGGAGGAGTCTGCGTCTCCGCAGACTCCAACGCTCCGAGACACCATTCGCCGCCGTGTAGCAACGGTGGCGAATCGGTTCTCGCCAAGGAAGTCGGGTGTTGTTGGCGCTGCGACCGAGGGGCACGTGGGATAGAACGCCACGGGCGGCGGGGGCGGTGCTGGTGCTGGTGCTGGTGCTGTTGGTGGGAACGGCGGCGGCAGCGAGGACACAGAGAGTGTCCAAGGCATGGACGAGGCTGCCCTTGTTTGGCAGCATATGAGAGAGGCCTCCGGCCTGAACGACGAGGCAGAAAGTCTCTATGAGACGGGGGTCTGGGGGCCGCCCTGGCTATGAGAGCCAAATAATGTTGCACGGTCACATCCTTTCCGTTCCTTTCCTTCGTGATGGTTGTAGTCGGTGACGATCGCCGTGAACAGCGTAATGGACAGCCTAGGTGTACCGTAAACCGCCTAGGTGATGATAGCCCTGTATAATGGGATACAAAATGCCCTGTCCAGCTGCCCCTCGACCTCGACTTATGTATTCGGCTGGTACTACGGAGACTAACGCATTCAGCACGAGCCGCATGGGGTGAGAGGGACATAGATGTGCGGAGGAATACGACGACGACGACGAAGAAGAAAAAGCAGAAGAAGACAGCCTCTTTGTCGCATATTGATTTTCGTCCCCTCAATATGCTCCTCATCCCCCTCCTCCATGACTCCGGCATTGTGTGTTGTGCAACAAGTGATTCTCTGCTCCAGCCTTCCGGCATAGGAAATCCCCCAATCAATCCACGGGTATTCCGCTCGCTAGTTTCAAGTCCATTCCTAACCTTCAGTGGCTTTTGTTGAGCCCTGTGCGTTTAATCGTTTTTTAATCCACTATTCTCCCCCCTTTCCGCTGTATTTGTAGCTTGGGGCGTCATATGATTTCTTCGCCTGAACAATGGGAATGGCAGCGGGAATGCGGAAATTTTGCACTCTCAGATCGAATCTCGAATGGGACCGATGCTGTGCTGTGAGGTGAACCGCTTCGGTCATGAGGTTGTTCCTTCCCAATCCCTGGGGGTCGTTCTCACCAGAGTCATGTGCTTTGAATAGGATGCCAGACGAGTGAGCAAATGCCAAAAGAAAATGCGGGCGCGGTGACGAGCCGGCACGCCTCTCTACCTCGTGTATTCTCTAGATCGTTCAGAGTCCGTATTGGTTAAGATCGAGTGGGATTGTGAGGGTGGATACAGGGCTGGAATGGAAATAGATGGTGATGGGTATGTAACATTCTGGGGATCTCTTTCGCCTCAGCCGTTGCTGCTCTGGAAGCCCGTTGGCTGTCATGTTGTAACCAAGACATTGAAATCTTCGATGGCCTCAAGCAGCGGTATTCTTGTTGTGCTTGGAAAGACACCTTGCTTTGTGGAAGCTAATATGGGATGCTGTGTTCTTCTAGCCTAATCCCTTACTTCGGTTCGAGAGCATGCACTTGGACGGGGCGAAACACAAATCGGCCTAGAGGGAATAAAATACGTAGCTATATGCTAGCTAGGCAACGAATGCTCTCTCCATTAAAGGCGGTGACGGTTCTTCGCCTGCAGCCAAATAATTGAGCCTGTTATCATTGGCGGTAAGGTTCAACGTCTTCCAGAGTATTTCCAAAGGTCAATAGCCATTATATTGGTCATGTGTAGGTCTAAAAACGCTAGAAGTGGTGATGGGCACCAGCTGCCAGACAGGCAGGGAAGAGGATATGTTTCCTCAATGGTATCGAAATTCACTCCTAGACAAGTGAGTGTCCTGCCATCGACGTCCAACTTCTCGGTTTGGAAAGACTCTGTGGCTGAGCCAAAGGGCCATTCTCCACATTTAGAGTCCAATATATAGGTCTGCACGGTAGAGTGCGACCATAGATAGGAGTCCAAGATGGGAGGGAAAGATCATCGGTAGCGAGCCAACGCCAGTAAGTCGAGAGACATGGAGACTGTTCAGGCGTAAGGGAGCCACCTTGATATAGACTTGGTCATAGCTTTGAGAGTATTCTGGCTGGATCAGGGGGGCAAAGTCGATACCTGTTCGTCGCTCTGCGAATCCCAGCATAGCAAAATTCGATCTCTCAGATCTCAGCATGATGTACCCGGCCTCAGAGAGAGTATTTCATGGAGATAGATGAAATAGCGACGCGATTGATTTTGGCCTTCAATCTCTTCTTGGCTAGAGGACGGAACCAAAGCAAGAAGGCGTTGGTGTTCCTATGCCACTATGGCCTCGGAGCAAAGTTCCCACAGCTGCGCGACACTGATAAAAGGACTGAATTTAATTCCGATGTGAATTGAAACCAACCCAGCTTCATCAAGCCCACTGAATATATGAGGGCAGAGAAACTCGACATCGTATCCCAGTCGAGTTCCATGTGGCCGCAAAACGATCGCGGCTTCCTGGCGAGAACCAGCCCCTGTGTGGTCCACACCCGAGGGAGCCATCGACAAAAGAACAATGAATTCGAATCATTTCAGTAGGATTGTGGCAAAATCTTTAACCCCTAGTATCTCTTCGTAACTACCACTAGGGAACGGAACGTTCAGCTCACGTTCAGGTAGAGGTCCATCGGCGACTGCTTGCAAAACAAGGGGCGCAACGTTTTGTGTAGTCTTGACAAAACTCGAAGACAGGTCGGTTTCGTGCGCCGGCCAGATCAGTACCTCTGCAGCACGAGAACATGTTTTCCCCATCGGTGTAACCCGGGAGACTCGTTCCTCCAGATCATGTTGTCTGATACAAAATGCATCAATCCAGACCCATCCACAGATGTTAGGCGTCGCAAAACTGTGCAGAGCGTAGCGAAAGTTGGGTATGACTTCGATCGCGCGGTCATTGCAGATGATGCAGAAGGCTCCTGGTCGCATAAATGGTCAGGCTCTAGATCTAGACAACCATTTCGGATGCGGATTTTTTTGGTAAGGAGCGCCAAAATGTATATGACAGGGTCCTGAACTTAGGCGCGCATCGAATTTGAAGACGTGCAATCTGCCTTTGGGACTTTCAGAAAGGGATTCCTCAGTAGAACAGACGAAACTCCCCAGGCAGCAACGGTCTGGCGGGGTCGTTCAAGTCGAGAGGCAAGTCCTCGTTGGCCGTTCCGCCCTGGTTGAGTGATGGTGTGGGATAATCCGAGGTCGACGACATTGCGAGCTTCAGACCAAAACATAGCTTGCAACTGATTCCAACAGCGAGGAATATCTGGAACATAAGATTGGTGGCTGAAGATGTCGACATTCTTTCATTTCCGGCTGCGTGCTGGGAGAGGCCTAGGCGGAGGCGGAGGCTGAGGCACACCAAGCTAACATTCTTCAAGGAAGTGTAGCTGACTGCCTGATCTTGTGAGAAGGCAAGGTAACCCAACTCAACAGGTTGCCTACCAGCCTCCTAAGTCACTAAAGGTATACCAATGTCTCGTTGAGGAGAATCGATTCTGCCATTCTCCCAGCCCACCACCCGCAGCTGATGACAAGAACGGTTTCCCCCTAAGAGCTAGCTAGTATCGGCAAATCTCAATGCACCCGCCTTCGGAATAGTCCAAGCAACCTGGCAAAGCATCATCTCAAATCAGGACGTGCCATTCTGTCGAGTTGTTCGTTCAAAATGCACATACAAGTGCCGGCGCGGCGGGAAAGAGGGTATCAAGACACATACAGCAAGCCCCATCTGATGTGAGACTTGAAGGCATCACTGCTGTTCCGCCATCGCAGGCACAACTTGCACGACAGTGCCGATTGCCAACTTCTCCGACTGTTGCATGTTTTTCCAGTCCCAGTCTTTGTGAGAACGAGCGATAGCAAAGCGGTGGCAAAGCAGTAGACACTGACCGACTTCTGTGCGTCAGAATGGCACCAAAGACACAGGGAACTCGATTTGGCAATCTTTTTCGCCTTCCCGGTTGTTCGTCGGAATGCATTTTCTTTCAGCATATGCAATGTGCTCGCTGCTCACTCACATGGTTCGGGATCTAGGGGTCTCCATGAGCCATCCTCATTGCCCATCTCGTCCTGGCAATTCTTTTCCTTTTGCTCACTCTTTTCTCCTATCGCATCATCCTTCCAGCTCACAGGCACTCCGTCATCTGTAAACCTCGCCCACTCGAACCACCCACATCCCTCGCTGCCTCCTGGTTTATTTCCAACCTGACACATCCACATATATCTGCCCCTATTAGCCCTTTGTTTCTGCACTGTTTTCAATACACAAGGGACCCCGCATCTGCATTTTGGAGTGTATTTGGGGCGAAATTCTTCACGATACCACCGATAGGTGATGTTAATGCGTTTATTGCCGGCGACGGGATGGGGGGTGATGGTAAGAGCCGGTGCGATGCTGTGTTTCCATTCTTCTTGCATCTCGGCATGCATTACGAGGAGAGAATTGTGCGGCAGGTGGATTGCGATTTGGCCCGAAATGTCTGCTGCTGAAGAGGTGCGTTCAGATTTGTTGTTTTCGTCGTGATCGTCCTTGGGCACGATCTTTCGCACACGAAACTCCCTTGCAACTCCGAGGCTCAAGCTCCCTATGATGGCTCGAGGCCCTAGATAGGAGAGCTGGTCAGAGTGATAGCCCACATGTTGCGCGCCACCATCGTAGCAATTGACGAAAGCGGCGTTGGGCCTCCATGGCTGAGACGATTGATATTTCAATTTTTTACCATTCGGGTAAAAGTCACGGATCCGGATATCGATCTCCTTGTTCACTGCGTCACGAACAAGATCGCTGACTTGCTTCATGACCGGCAGAATTTGCCTGATATCACCGAGATCATTGCCGTTGTAGTAATACTCGCTCCTCTGTCGCTCTACATCCGCCAGGCTGTCGACGTAGAAACATGCCGTGTGCGGAGATTTCACGACATTGTCGAATATCTTGAATTGAATGGAGTCGTAAGTGGGGACTTCAGCGAGGAGTTCTGCCAGCAGGGCATTTGCAAGGTTGGCAGGCAGGAAATTGTGGATTATGGAACAGGGGGTATGGCTTGCGATGGCTTGGGGCGTGTAGAGGTGGAGAGTTTTGCCCTTTCTAGTCAGCGGTTGTTGCGACACTGACTTTGATGGACTCTTGTTCTCTGACGTGAAGGGGAGGCCGGTCTGCATATTGGCGCCGGTCAGTCGACGCTTCGGTGGTGGAGGGGCATCTTGCGCAACAGTCGAGAGTGCTTCGACGGCAGCGTCCACGGAGCCGTCACAGCCGAGCAGGACTTCCAGCAGGTCACCCTGGGATCTGCTTGGGTATAGAGATGACAGAATTGCCAGTTTGACGTCGGTGGACTCGGCGTCCTCGTCGATCGGTGGTGTAAGAGGAGTCTTGGGTTCAAGATCAGCCTGCGGCGAAGACACGCGACGCCTTTTGCGCAAGATGAACGCGTCCATGGTCAGTGTGTCCTCGACTGGGAGCCATCATACAGGAATGAAGTCCAGGGTGACTCCTGAAGTGTTGGATGCAAGGTGCAGGCTGCCCCAGGCCAGTCCCAAACATTAGCCAGAGGAGGGAAGTTCTTAGTAAACATGAATACGCGTGGTGGGCTCGGTGGTGGGAGATGATGGCAATGGCAATGGCAATGACAATGGCGGGGAGAAACCTCGGCCTGGTGACAGGTGCAGCCTGAGACTGCAACTGCGTCTTCTCTTCCTCTCCGCTTCACATTTTACTCACCGGCCACCAACAGCCAGCCTGTACGAGGTAATTCTACCCTAGAACCATCGCCCTCGAGAGCTCTTTGGATGCAAAGCTGGCCTTGCGCTTTGACACTGACCTCATCGGCGCAGAGGGAAGCTGGACATGATGAGTGACTGTTCACCTTCGCGACGAGAGCTTCAATATCAGTCATGCTAGAATTCCGCACACAAGGCTTCCAAGGCTACGCAGTCAAGTACTCCCCTTTCTTTGACAATCGCATAGCAGTCGCTGCGGCAGCAAATTATGGCCTCGTGGGAAATGGGCGGCTGTATGCGCTGGAGCTGACTCCTCAAGGCATTGTGCCTGTCAAAGTGTACTGAGCTCGCAGAATTCCGAGGGAAGACAAACATCAGTGCTAACTGGTCGTCCAGCTATCCTACGCAAGATGCGCTCTACGATGTAACGCACTCCGAAGCCCATAGCTCGCATCTCCTCACTGCCTCCGGCGACGGCTCATTACGACTCTACGACACCTCCCTTACTCCCGAATTTCCCATTGCCAAGTTCGAAGAACATTCGCGGGAAGCCTTCTCCTGCAGCTGGAATCTTACATCAAAAGCAACCTTTGCCTCATCGTCATGGGACGGCACCGTCAAAATATGGAGTCCGGAACGGCAGCAGAGTCTGCTGACACTACCGACCCATTCCTGCACGTACAGTGTCCAATGGAGTCCCCATACTGATGGCATGCTCAGCGCAGTGTGCTCAGACAGTCATCTGCGGGTGTGGGATTTGAGAACACCCGCCAGCGCAAGTAACCATCTCATATTGCAAATCCCTATTCATGCGGCTCCCTTATCGGCCGGCGTCGGGGCTGGGAAGATCCAACCAACCTTCCCACCTGCTGAAGCTCTCACTCACGATTGGAACAAGTATCGAGGCCCAGTCGTCGCCACGGCCGGAGTCGACCGAATCATTCGAACATTTGATATCCGTCAGCCCAAGGGCCCCCTAAACATGTTACAGGGACACGGCTACGCGGTGCGGAAGGTTGCATGGAGCCCACACCTCCCCGATCTGTTACTCAGCGCCAGCTACGATATGACTTGTCGTGTCTGGACGGATGGCGGCGAGCAGGGAGGGCCCGCTAGAGAGCTCGGTAGTATGGGTCGACATACCGAGTTCGTGACGGGCGTGGATTGGTGCTTGTTTGGCAGTGAAGGGTGGGCGGCCAGCTGTGGCTGGGATGAACTTCTTTGTGTCTGGGATGTGCGAACAGTCATGCACTCGTGATACGAAACACGAACCGCGCTGTGGATGGCGTGTGCTCGATTCCGAAGGTATCATTAAATTAATTTTCACCATAGGACCGCCTTGAGAATTGGTTAACAAGGAATCTATCCCACAACAGAACGAAGCAAGACGCCGCTGGTTACTGCTGTCAACAACAGCTCGAAGTGGATATGACAGATACCAAAATCTGAAACTCTTATGCATCATGGCTGATCCGACCCGGAAACGAGGTTCATCGCCGACTTATGTTACATCTTGCACCTTGAACAAGACCCTGGAGCGAGTCGACCTGTTCGTTCGGCAGGCATAGGAGGGCACGAAAGGAGGGATTGCCTTTGCAGTTTAGTCCCGAGCATCTAATCTCTTTCCCTCGCTCTCCGCTTATGTCTCCAACCAATCAGCCTGCCAAGACCTTCTGGAAGTCATGGATGCTGTCGATCCTCGGCGCCTCGTCAACTTTCCTTTTTCCTTTCGTGCTTGACATCTACGCCTTGATAGGTGCCGGCAGAACAACCCATATGGGTCACGGTTGTCGCTAAAGCGATATCTGCGCATTGCATGTTGGACTTGCTCGGTCCTTGAGAGCCTTATTCTGGACCGCGGAAATCTCGTGCAGGCGCCGGTCTGGGGAAGGCTCTCGCTGTGACCACTAAGGCTCTGTGTGTCGAGTGCTGCGGGTACCTGCTTTAGCAGGAGCAGGCCTGCAACCTGATCTTTGTTGATCGTTCCCTGTTGTTATCCTGGTCGGCCGAGGTAAGACAACCACTATTGATGGGCATATTGCACCCTGAAAGCAGCACGCCGGCCTTTGCGCTTCGGAGCGGGTGCAAAATGATTGTTGCAGGACCATGTGGATTGTCCTTTTTGTTACAAAATCTGCACGTTGACCCGTGGGGTCCGATACCATGAAGCGTCACCAAGGCCTTCGAATAGTACTTAAGGGCATGTCGCGATGGGTGGTGGACCGAGCGCAGAACGCAAGGAGCGAGCATCAAGGAGCTGAGAAAAGGTTCCTTGCTAAGGAGAAACAGGCCAGCCTTGCAGCCTCGTTATCCTATTGTTCAAGACTGCCTCTGGCTTTTCTTCATTATCAACTACGAACTCAAGATCAACCTCTTCCAAACCACCCACGCAACAATGCAGCTTGCACAGGTTCGTGAAACCAGACTCGGATCCTTCGTTTCGTCTTCTAATCCACGCTCAGATCTTAGCTAGCGTCCTCTTCACTCTTCCTTCGGCCCTTGCCCTCCCTCCGGGCCTCTCCTCCAGCAAACAACCCGTATCGCCTTCTTTCTGGGCCCGGGAATTCCACCCCTCCTCCTTGACGAAACGCCAACAGTCCTGCACCGAAACCTGCGGCGACGTATGCTACTACCAATCGACTATCGACGCCGCTGTCTCTAAGGGCTACTCACTCTTTCAGAGTGGCCAGACCGAAGGGTCTGACGACTACCCGCACCAGTACAACAACTACGAAGGATTTGATTTCCCCGTGGATGGACCGTACTATGAGTTCCCCATCATGGACGACTTTGAAGTTTACGACGGTGGATCGCCCGGCCCGGACCGCGTCATTTTTAATGAAGCGGGCGACTATGCTGGTGTCATTACGCATACTGGTGCCAGTGGAGACGATTTCGTCGCTTGTGCTGGGGAGGATCCGTGAATACTCGCGGGCTACGTATCCGGTCGTTTGAGAGAGGGTGGCACTAGGTGGAAGTGGCCAAGGGGGATCTTGGGAAGAGGCTGAGGTCCTGGATTAGGTTAGGAATTCCATATTGCGTGTAGCAAGGAAATCGAAGACCAGAGCCTTGCCTTGCATACGCGGGCGAAGATTCCGAGCGAGTCTGATATCCCTGGACGAAGTACTAGCCCCCTCCCCCCTCCCCCCTCCCCCTCCAGTATGCGACAGACGCAGAGACGGCCTTTTGCCTCAGAATGATATTATATCTGTACCAAGCTTGCCTTCCACAAGCGTGTGTGCCGTACACGTCATCGTTCCCTGCCTGTCTGGCATGAGTGAATGGCATTGAACTCTCTTGCGCGCGATAGCGGGTGACGAGATGGGCGAAGGGAGCGTGGGTGAGTGCCGATATAGAATGTCCTTCCATAGCTACCTTCCGACCTACATACCTAGGTCCTAGTCATTCATGAGGCCCCGATATTAACGTGTCTCTCCTGCACCGTGTATTTCCTGGGCATTCTTCTCGCATAGCCAGTGCATATCATATCGCAAGATACGTAGAGGATGATCATCATGTGAGGATGTTCATTAACCTACCCTCGACAACCAAACCCCCTTCATTTGATCGATGTTCCATTTCCCACCTCCAGTTGTGTGTCGCATTTCTCATGTCTTCATGGAATCGTGTCATGTAGTAGTCAGCTGTGTTGACGCTGTCCCCGGATGGGAGAACAAGACTCGTGTTGAACCTCCGCTTCTTGGGCAAGAAGAGGGGCGCCATCACTCTCCCGACAGACAGAGACTCCCATGTCTCTTCGTTCTGGAGATAGGCCTTGGTCTTCGGGACCAGGAATAGGTGCTGGCCATAGAGCTCCAATACCCTGCCTCACTTCAAACGCTGAGAGGATTCACTTCTCGCTCAACCGATTCTCCACCCCTTCCCTCACTTTCTTCCTCACCTCGGCCATTTCATCCTTGCTCGCATCGTATCTCACGTTACCTGCCTGATTGAAGGGATTCTCGTCCGACTTCTCGAATTCCTTCTTGATGAGCTCGATCTTCTGGTTTCTTCGCAGGCCCGGCCGCTCCTGGTCGATCTCCGGCATTCTCCGCTCCTCATACGCCTTGTACGCGGCAGGGAATCGACGCTCGGGGTGCCTGTCCAGTTTCAAGTCGTTGGCGGATCCGGTGGTGAGAGACAGGACATCGAGTGCGTTGTCGATGCCCGAGGCGTTGAGCGCCCTCTCCTTTGCACTCGAGTCGCCGTCGAGCTGGGACAGGTCCAGAGTGCCTCGACTCTTCTTTTCGGCCGTCTTCTTGTTCGCCCCCTTGGGCTTGTCCCGCATTCCTTTCTCTTCTTCCGCTAGCATCGCCTCTCTCTCGGCCTTCTTCGCGGCCTGTTCTGCTGCCTTTGCCGCAGCGGCTTGTTTCTTAGACGTGTCCTTGGCGCCTTGTTGCCATTTCTGCTCTTCCCTGGCGGCAACGACAGCGTCAGCGGCGGCTTGCTTTTGCGCGGCGGCTTCGGCCTTGCGGGCGTTTCCTGCGACCTTCTTGGTGTTTTCACCTTTTCCTTTTGGTGCCATTTCCACTTGCCCCGCAGTAGGAGGGCGGTCGGTCGTGATATTGTTCTCGTCGATGCGGGGTCGTCGGGTAGTTGCTCTGGAATCTAGGTAGGCCGTGGTGGTGATGTAGGCGCTGATATTTACAATCACGAAAATGCGACTGAATTGTGTGGGCGAGAAGATGAACGGGTTATGAGGCATGCAGGAAAGGGTTGGCGAACGATGCTAGATTGATTGGAGTATAGGGCAGGCCGCGATGACTCCGACTGCGGTGGCCTTGTGCCTTTCTCGCATGTGGCCTGAGGCTTTTTGCTGCGTTGGCTCGCATCTTCATAAACAACGATCATGATGTAATACAGCGCGACTCGAATGTCATCGCACGCTGCCGCTTATGTATACCTCGCCTCTGTGGAGTGAATAGGAATATAGGGGGAAGGAAAACTTCGAACGTATCCTCGGTGGTGTTGATATGTCTTTATTCTAGTACTCAAACCTTCATGCCATGCCTGGTTCATACCATAAGGATATCGGATCTGGATGTGCTCCTTAATTCTAAACGGGCCACTCCCGTTGCACCTGGAAGAAACATGACACATGGACGCCGTCGCTCTGAATTTCAAATCAGCCTCAATGGTGTCCTCATCCCAGCGAAGCCTTGTCTCATGAACTTGTACTTGTTTGGCACCGTCTGGAGTCTTCGGAACGCCTCTCTGACGTGCTTGGGCTCGATCGGTGTCCTCCCTTCCTCGGGCATCTCAAATAGACTGCAACCCTCCCTCTTACGTTTCTTCGACGTGTCCTGATCTCCTCTGCCGCCGTTCAATTTGTTGTTGGCCAGATCCTCAGCGGCTTTGACCTTCAGCGCTTCCTCCGTCAGAGTCTGAACGATCTCGAATGTTAAGAAGCCGAGAATATCGACAGCATCGTCATTAGGTCTGTTGTCAATGATCGTACCAAACCCGGCCCATTCGCGAAATCGCTTGCCCTTGCGGAAGGTGAAGCTCGCTTGACGACAGTCAGACCAGTAGACATATTCATCCTTGGTCATGTTCTTGGTGCGTTCGTCGGCAGAGGCAAGGCGGGCGAGGGTGGCTTCATTCTGCTCCTCTTCCTCTTCGTCTTCTTCATCGTCTCTTTCAGGCACTTGTTCGGCGTAAAACGATTGGATCTCCCATGGCAGGACGAGTTTCGCCTTCTTGTTTGCGGTGGGCTTTTGCGGAGCCGATGGGTTGACGCCTCCGGAGGCCTGGAGTCTCATTCAGCTACGTCTCCCAAAAGCGACTAACAACATAAACGCCTACCTCGTCGAAATCGCCAACTTCAGCAGCGTCGCCTCCACCTTTGTCGTCCGAATCCTTTACATTCTTGCGGACATCCTTCCACGAAAGGAAAGTCTTGAGTCTGGAGACTTTGGCCCTGTCGTGGCGAATCTGGAAGATGAGGTCGGCGATTGAGATGGTCTTAGAACCTCGGCGGTTTGCAAGTGCAGTTGCTTGTGTCAGCTATTTCGTAGGTTAGAAACGTTGCAGACAATTGGCCGAGGATGCCTAACCATCTCAATAACCTGCTCTCTTACGATTTCTTCGATCATCCAAGTAGTCTCTGCGCTCGGCTCTGCTGTTTCACCACTCACGAACATCATCTGTCCAATCCAATTTATTAGTCTCCGCTTGAAGTCTGCTGCATTTTCGAAGTCATCGTCGTCTCCGGGCTTGTTGGAAGAAGATGCAGCTCCTGAGCCAAGGCCCTCGCCAGGGTGGCTCTCGATTGCTTCCGGACTGTCTGGGGCATCTCCGAATATGAGAGCTTTCGAAACACTTTGTTTGAGATCCTCCGCTCCACGGTTCGCCATGATTTGGTTGCGTTCAAACCATGCTCGGGAGAGGACCTTTTTTGGTTTGTGTTCTCGCTTGGGTTGGCTGTTTGGATGGAGTGGGACGTGATTCTCAGAGGATCAATTGGGATTGCTTGCCCATCCAGATCTGGCAGTTGACCGGCTTTATGTACAAACATTGTGCAGTCGGCATACTGGTGCCCAGGAGTGAATCCAAAGAGATGCCCTGACATGTCGGGCGTGTGCTTCGTGGATATATGTGGAGTGAATTGTCCTATCGTCCAGACTCCACGGTCTAGGTCCACGGCCCCAAAGATGGCCAGAAGCTGAGGCGGTCATGACACATGAGACGGAGGAAGTCGTCTTCAACCAGATTTACTAGGTAGATTCGTAGCATGGATTCGACTCGTATATTCTTCCCACTTTCCGTCCACCAGATATACAACTTTCCAGTGTCCAAAGCGATGGGCTGTCGACATCTCCAGCGGTCCGGCAGTATCTTGCAATAAAATGGCATAGCAAAGACAGTTGCTCACCTGCTGGATCTCCTGCCGGTATTTTGCAGGCCTCTCACCCGCCATTCTGACTCCTGGCCTTGGGCCGTAAAGTTTGTCTGGTGCGAACTTCTCTGAACTTCTTTGTTCTAAATCCACAGATCAAGGATAATGATTGCTCTCCATTGATCAGATCAGCTTATGATGTTTGCAGGATGGAATAGGTGGTTGTGCATGAATGACAGATACCGGATGGAGTCATCTCTGATGTACCTCGTATGGAGCACTTGATCACTACAAGAGCACTAGAAGGTTGTTCGCGGTGACGATTTATCCGAAGTTGGCCCGCGCCGTCACTCACAATGCTCATCAGTCCTTCCGAATTATTCAACTGATTCTGCTTTCGAAGTCATTCTTTCACGTCACTTCTGCCAAATTCAATATGCTTTACCTTGTTGGCCTTGGTCTCGCCGATGAGAGAGATATCACTGTCAAGGGACTGGAAGTAGTGAAGCGTGCAGAAAGAGTCTACTTGGAGGCCTACACCAGCATTCTACATGTTGGGAAAGATAAGTTGGTAAGACCAGAAACCTTTCACGCCTCTTTTTATTTAGTTTCTACCTACTTCGTCGCATGTTTCGCTGACATGGGCGCTTCTCTGACAGTCAAGGTAGGAGTCACTCTATGAGCGCCCCGTAATTGTAGCAGACCGCGAAATGGTCGAGTCCTCCAGTGACGAAATCCTGGAAGGAGCAGACAAAGCTGACATTGCTTTTCTGGTGGTCGGCGATCCATTTGGGTAGGTTGGTGTACCCCAACACCACTGATCTCTTGCCTGACTAGTTTTGCAGCGCGACAACTCACACGGATCTGGTCCTTCGGGCCCAGGAGCTCTCCATCCCCGTCAAGTCCATTCCCAATGCCTCAATTCTCAATGCCATCGGTGCGACTGGCTTACAACTCTACAACTTTGGCCAGACCGTCTCCATGGTCTTCTTTACCGAAAACTGGAAACCGGCTAGCTTCTACGACCGCATCCGAGAAAATGCCTCTATTGGCTTGCACACCCTAATGCTACTGGATATCAAGGTGAAGGAACAGTCACTCGAAAACATGGCTAGGGGAAGAAAGACCTATGAGCCTCCACGTTATATGACTGTCATGCAGTGCGCCCAGCAAATGCTGGAAATAGAGGAAGAGAAGAAAGTGCATGTCTACGCCGAAGACAGTCTAGCTATCGGTTGTGCGAGAGTCGGTGCGGATGACCAACAATTCGCCTGCGGAACGCTGAAAGAGCTATGTAACATTGACTTGGGCGCCCCGCTCCACAGTCTCGTGCTTCTCGGTAAAAGAGCGCATGAGTTAGAGAAGGACTACATCAAAAAGTTTGCAGTGAATGAAGAAACCTTCGAGGAGAGTTGGAAGAAGTACCATGGAAGGAACCAATGAAATCAGTCTCGTGATTACTGGACAGAAAGCACCCGCTCGTCTGGCAGAAGTGGACAGAATCTGGCTTCCAGGATGACCTTCTGTGGACTGGGGATCTGTGCAGGATAAGCGCATCCGCCAAAGGGAGAGCTATTCGGGTCTGCTGCGATGCAGCCTTGATATCTCCGCCGCTGGTTTCAAGCCTCGATCGCTTCCGCTGCCGTCGCTGGGGATGGACTAGAGCACACTTGAATGGAGCACAATCCCTGGTCTGAGAATGGTCCTTAAGACGGCAATCTTGATTGAGAGACATACGCAGTATATCAAGGGGTTGGACTCTCAATCAATAACTTTCAAACGAGTCGTGAGAGTGACAGAAAAGCAATGCAAGGATTATCCCTGAGCCAGGCTAGAAGTAGTGACAGGACATCTGCTAGAACTGTCTGTACCCGCCCCTCTTTATCATGGCCGCTACAAGTAGTAGCCGATGGCGAGGCTGAAAATAAGGAGGGGATCCAACATGGAACCCGCATCGTGCGGCAGAACCACGTGGTGGAAGCCCCGAGCCCATCGCAGCCCTTCGCTACCAATCGTTCGCCCAAATCTCTCGTAACAATCCCACATTACTAGCCTAGCTTTGGCGGGCTGTTACAGCTCTCGGGTTGTACACAGCAGCAACCGTGTGTGACAGCGACCTCCTTCCTCCCACAGCGCTACAGAGGTGTCGGTGAGAGAGAACGAGGAAGGGGAACCCGCCACGCCGTACAACAGCAGCTTACTGTTCCGCTCCCCAACAACTGATGGAACATGCTTGTACATCGACGACGACTCAACATGTTGGCATATCCACATTTACGGGTATATGTCTGAGCAGCATATCGTTTGCCCACAGCAACAAATACTCCCCGGAGCTTAGCCTCTCTGTATCGATCTCGACGACCGACGAGCTCCACGCACTTGAACAGCACCACTTACCCTGCCTTCACATAGTCCAGCGGTCCAGAGGCCGTTCTCCCTGAACAAGTGACAATTGCACAGAAAAAGATATAATGCCCGTCTACCTTGTTCACGGCTTCCGCTGGCCGCGCGAAGGCTTCACCGGTATCCGCGTGCACGCCGTCCTCCACAACCTCGACGAATGCAGCACCGAATACATTCAGAACGCCAATTCCCGTGAAGAGATCCTCCGCTCCTTTCGCGAAATATACCCCGATATAATGAAAGAGCTAGACCACTCAGACACAACCCCTGCGTCGGCGAGGAGGTTGGAGTTCATCGAACAGTACAATCCAGACGATATAGACGGGCCCTACGCAGTGAGCCAACCATACGCATTTGTGGGAGACAAAGTCGTGGTGATTGCGGCCGGACCGGGTATGGGATTGACTGGACCTGGAGTAGCGCAGGCAAGATCATACCAACATGTCCCGACAGAGCCGGACTCTTCGCAATCCTCGCAGAGGAAACCACGAGCAACAACGCTCCCAATGTCCAAACCCGCACCCTTCAACTCACCCGCGGACACCACGGCGCTAAGCGTTAACGTGGACGAGGTTATTGCCGATGGCCCCGGACTGACGAATAAAGCGTGGGAAGCGCTGGCAGATCTGAGGGACAAGATCGCCGAGGGCGAGAAGATTGGGTGGTGGGTCGTCTACAATGGCGATCCAGAACGGTCGTTTGATGGCATGGAGGATGACGAGGATGACGAAGAAGACGAAGAAGACGAAGAAATGGAAGACGTGGCCGAGCAAGATGAAGATAGAGAAAAGCAAGATATCCGTGCTGTTTCTTCTCCTACTTCGCCTCCTGGTGCAGGTGCTTCGATGAGAGGTCATCGCCCCACACCCAGCGACTCCCTTCCAATTCCCACGTCCACCATCACGGGTCACTATCCGATCTCTACCCCGCCTGTGGCGCCCATGCTCGCCCAAGCACAACACATTACTGCCCAACAACATCACCAACGGCAGCAATCACAGCAACATCAAGAAGGAGGTTCAGGCTCACCAGGCCTTACGGCCCTGCCCGTCCGACCCACGCCCCCTTCATCAACAACAGGACCAGCGACACCACGCCCAACCACAGCATCGGCCGCTTCGGAGCACACCAGCACCATCAGCAAGGGCAAACAGAAAGAAAACGTTCCAGAAGAACAACCGGCCAGGCCAAAGGAAGCAGCAAAGTCCCAGGGTCTGAGGAAGAAGTTCTTCGGAAGGAGGTCGTGAATATGTTTTGATCATTGTTGCCATGCTCATGATGATGAATGATTTCTGACGATGTCAGTGGACTGATTCTACGAGGGCGTCGGGGAGAGAGAAAAAAAAAAAAAAAGGAAAACCCATAGACAAAAATCCTGGATCTCCGTGAAAGTTATCCTTGGAGAAAAAGACGGTTCTATTGTCTATATTATTACTTTGAACTCTGACTAAAACCCCGCATCTTGCATTGCCTGTCCAAGTCGCAGCAATGACGGTGGTGGGAGCAACAGCAGCCGTCTTGAACATGCAAGTCATGTTGCTCGTGTGGTTCGGAACAGTTGCAAGCCGTCTGATTACAACGGCGAGTTCCATTATCTATAACAGGTTTGCTGCAGCCGGACCAGGAGACCAATCCGGCTACGCGCGTCATGGACTGGTTCGCCGCCTTGGACAACAAAAAAGCTTTCCGGCGTGTATTCGATGCCTTCAGGACTACGAATTCATTCACATTGCGGCACAGATAAGTTGGCTGTTGCTGCCTGCAGCGAGAGCTAGTGTCAACTTACCTAGTCCCTGCTTTTGATCTCTTAAGTCTTAGATTCTGGCAGACGATTCGAAGCAATTTTACAACGGACCAAGGGGCGTGCCTCGAGCCGAAACGGATACTAACGGCAGGTGTTCTGAATGGGCCGGAAGCCTTGGATCATCTCAACCACAGGTCTTCGGGGCCAGATGGAGCAGGACACTTCACCCGCCGAGGCTGAAAGACGTACGGACAAGAGCTTGACGGGTTCAATTGTTAGCCAGGGGGCACGTTAGACTTTTGACGGCCAGCTCCAAACCAGTACTGCGGGAATCAAGGTTGAGAGTTGCATTTGGTCCGATAAAAGCCACGCAGAAGATGTCCAGACTATGACCTTTGTGTTTGAAGTTCTCTCGGGTATCAAAATGCTTTTGTATGTCGTAGCTCTGTCATAAGGGCCCGAAACAGTAAGGGATGTCCTGCCAATTACAGAAGTAGTCCACGCAGAGAAGTTGAATCAATCCGGCTTTAAGATCCTTTCCATAGTGCAAGCTCTGAAGTTGCAATTGAAAACACCGAGACAATATTGTCGTGACGATATTCGGGCAGTAATCCTCAGGATTCGCCAAGCAAGTCCAATCGACCACCTTTGGCTTAACAAACTTTCTCATGGCTCCTGCTCAGTCATGGCTTCGTTATCCGGTTCTCGAATCAGGGAATCCGAGTAGTTTGATCTGAGTTTTCCTGCAGTTGAGTAGTTAGTTGAAGGAGACCTTCCGAATCCCTCTAGTATCGTCGGTCGTCGTAGCTACCATAGCCACCTGAATAGCCATAGCGAGGAGGGCTTCTGGTTCGGCCATACGGGTCGCCACCTCGAGCATATGGATCATAGCCTCGAATGGGGGGTGGTGGCGGTCCACGAGGATCATACGGGTCAGGGTCGTATCTCCTCGGTGGTGGTGGTCCGTAGTCCCTGGGTGGAGTGCGTCTTCCATAGCCTCGATCGTAGTAGTCATCCATAGGTGGGCGACGTCCAGGCGAGCGCTCACGGTAGCCTCGTGGGCTCCAGCCTCGTGGAGGAGGCCCGCGCCGATCGTAATCATCAACAGGACCGTATCGGCCGCCACTCCTAGGTGGGGATCTCTGTCGATAGCTGCGATTGTCCGGTCTTTCTTCTTGAATCTGGGTGGGCCGGTTAGGGAAGATTGCAACGGGCATTAAGTAATACGTACATCGGGCGTACAGTGGACAGTCGCTCCCTTAAAGGTCTGTCCATCTAGTTTTTCCACAGCAGTCTTGAGGTCGGACGAGGTTTCGAATTCCACAAATCTTTGACCAGCGGTGAGCAGATGCAGGGATGGAAGGGACGTCAGAGTTACCCTTTACCGTCACGGTCACGGCCAGTCTCGGAGTACACGACATCCAGTTGACCTGAGCTTCGCGCAAAGTCCTTGAGATCCTGGAAACTGGTGAGCACGTTTCTCTGAGTTAAGGGAAGGTCGAGTTCGGAGACAGGATGCGACGAGAGTCAAAGCTGAATGAGGTCTGTTCGACTAGCCAAAATGTAGCTGCGCAAGCTCCAAAAGTCCAGTTCTTCAAATATGGGCATGCTTCGTGGAATCTCCGCCACATCAAAGGAGAGGGGCAACCGAGATCGAGGTTGATAGGCATCGCTTCGGTAATATCTGATCCAAACGGATTGTGCGAACATGTAGAAAAATGGGAATCCTAACCTGCCAACTAGTATCCGGTTGGAGTCCGGTAATCTGCATGCGATAGATAGTGCGACGTGGCCGGGGGACGTTTCGGTCAGAGGGGCCAGCGAAGTCGTCCTTCCGGCGGGGGCCTCGAGCAAACTGCACAGTAAGTCGCTCGCCCTTGAACATAGTCCCGTCTGTTGTGGATGTTAGGAAAAGCCACCGCGAGAAGAGGGAAGGAGGGAGAGGTATATCGTACGGAAGGCTGAAAGAAAAGTTAGCGCATTAGAACTGGTCAAAGGATCAAGATGACTTGCCTGGAACAACATCTCGCGCATCCATGGCGTCCTCGTATTCAATGAAACCGAAGCCGTTCATGAGCTTGATTTCTTTGATAGAGCCGGTGCCATGGTTGCCAAAGTGGTCCTCTATATCCTGTTTGGTGACTGAAAGGGAGAAACTGAGAGTCAGCGACTGGCGCAGTCCCGGAACAGGTGGTGAGCGGGTCCAGGAGTCAATATTCAGGGCTCAGCCATCCTCCAAGCGTGCAACTTGTCCAGGGAGACCAAAGGAGGGAGAATGGATAGGAGCATACTGTTGCGCGGAAGGTTGCCCAAATAGAGCCGGGTAGACGAAACATCGGCCATGGTGGACTGCGGCCTGCAGACAAGTCCGGACGACGATCCAGGGAGATCGCGACTGTGATTCAGTGGTCAAGAGCCGTGGGACAGACCAAGTTCGCAGGCAAGACAGTAGCCTGGGGCGTAGAAATGAGGCGGAGGTGATAGAGCCTTGCAGGGACAAGGGATCCAACAAGCGGACAGGAGTGACAGGAGTGACAGGACGGAAGGGAGAACGGTAGCTGGATAGCTACAAGGACGAGATGTGAAGCGAGAAGGATAGAGGGACCACCAAAGTGATAGACACGCACCAAGCAGTATGTGGATGTGAAGAAGATGCAAAGTGGAGGGCGCAGAGGGCAGAAGGGGGGAAAGTTGTGTCTTGTTGCAACCTGCAGGCGTGAGCTGTGCCTCACTTCGAGATGCTGCCAGCGCCAAGCCCGCACTCAAAGCGCACCCTTGGTCCCTTGCCCACCTGGGCACCCAAACCGTAGCCATGGCTCAAGGGCAGCAAGGGTCATCACTGATGATTGACAGCTCACCAGGCTTCATGGCTGCGCCCACTCACCACCAAGACTATCTCCATCCTCCCACTGGCAGCAGCCCGTTGCCATCACCTGCCACGTCCACCAGCCAATCGCCTCTTTTTCTTGCAGCATTCCTCTCACCCTCCCTCCTTCTCTTCGCTCTCACCAGCCCTATCCTCCTCTCGTGTTCATCGACTTCCTTTTGCCGCCCGAGGCTTCTTCAGCCCTCATGGTGGAGTTCAGTGACGGCACCTTTTGGCGTTCCATAACACTTCACCTGCAGAAATGTGGCCCAGATGACCCTATTCACAAGTGTTTTCCAAATGGCATGGGCAAAAGCGTCCTGGAGCAGGCTAACAACCTGTTCAGCCTGGCGGACAAAAAGCTCCATACGTTTCCCTTCAAGGATGTCCAGCCGTGTTGGTTCCGCCTCTACACTGACGCCAGTATTGCCAAAGTGCTGGAATTGCTTGGCCTCACCTCTCCCACTCTAAATGATTCGTCGCTGTCGGAATCTCTGAAGACTCATTTGGATGAGATTGTGTCCATCCTAGACATGGCACTAATCATGGCCGGAGGCCTAGGGCGAGAAGAGATAATTCACGATATTTTGGCCAGATTACAGGCTGTCAGTGTAAGTGAAGGGGAAGACAAGGAACACCCGCGAAAGAGGAGGCGAGTCGACCATGAGCCTGGGTTTGATCATGTTTCCGACGATCGCCTGCCTGCTGACAACGTCTCTATACCAACCATTCTATTTCCCATCCTGCAAATGGACCAGCCTACTCTTACAAAATTCTCCCACCACATTCAGCAAACACGGCAGCCTGCGGTCTTGACAAACATCATGAAGCATTGGCCAGCTCTCGAGAAATGGCAGCGAACGTCGTTTTGGCTTGATGCCACCATCGGCGGCCGTCGTCTCGTCCCGGTTGAAGTTGGGCGGAGCTACGTTGACGATGACTGGAGCCAGAAGATTGTCCCCTTCCAAGACTTTCTGAGTCTCTACATACTGCAGTCGACGGATCATGGATCTAACGCTGGTACTGGCAAAAATATCCAGACAGGCTATCTAGCGCAACACGACCTTTTTAAACAGATCCCCGCTCTTCGAAAGGATATTGCAACCCCGGACTATTGCTATCTGGACGCTCCGACTGCTGAACCCGGTACGCCGGTGGCCTTGAGCAAGGCAAGGGAGAGTATGAAGAAGACAAGCCATCCCAAAACTATTCCTCCCGAAACCCGCGATCCGCCCGACGACGACGCCGCTGACGAGATGGGACTTGGAGACGAGCCCCAGACCAATATCTGGTTTGGCCCGGCATGGACGATTTCTCCCCTGCATCATGACCCATACCACAATATTCTCTGCCAGGTCGTGGGCACAAAGTACGTAAGACTCTATTCGCCACAGCACAGCAAAAGGTTGCTGCCCAGACCTGAAGACGAGCCTGCTCCTCATGTATCCTCTACTGGAAACGCAAAATGTACGAAGGGTGACGTAAATGATGGGGAGCAGCGTTGTGAAACAATTGATATGTCAAACACTTCGCAAGTTGATATTGCCGCCATGGAAACATCCCCGCTCGAGGACTGGGACGAGGTTTACCCCGGGATTAATCAAGTGCCGTACGTTGAGTGTGTCCTTGAGGCTGGCCAAGCGCTCTATATACCTATTGGGTGGTGGCATTACGTGCGGAGCTGTTCCGTAGGCGTCTCTGTGAGCTTTTGGTGGTGATGGGCTAGGACAGCAGATCCATTCTATGATGATCGGCTCTACCCAGGTGTCGATTGCCCCCCATCGATTGGGGACACTAGGAGCACAGACCCGCCCACGCACGCGACGAAGGGAGGGGCCTCTAGCCTATTTTCGAGCAAACCGCCGCTACTGGAGTCCATCGTTCATGATCTCGTGCTCGATTGTTGGTAACCGCCACAGCACAAGATGGACACCAAGTACACGTGGTCGAGCATGCAGGTCAAGGTCTGGATATCCAGAAGTCGGGAAATGCATATCTTCTCGTGATAAAGTTAGATGACCAGAGGGTGTTCAATGGAGCACCTCGCGTGCTCATCCCGCAAAAGGGAAGGCTTGTCCGGGGCTTGACAGGGATCTCGACTCTTTATCTTCGACTATGGACTCTGGCTGGATGGATTGTTATCAGCAGGCCAAGGACCGACTATGATCGTCTGCAACCCTAGCTGCTGGTGCTGCCAGCTATCGTTTGATCTGTGGGTTATAAAGGCAAAGGCGCCTGCCACTCATCGGAGTCTGATCCTGAACGACCTACCGACGGAGCTTGTCATCGTGAGCCCCTTATTTGTACTGTTCAGCCGTCTGCAAGCACATGCTCGTTTTTGTCAACGGCCCGGCCCCCACAATCTCCAAGGTTGTCACGTCATCACCACCAACAGCCACATGGCGGACAGCGAGTATGCCGGCACTGCTGCTCGCAGCATGTCCAAGGATGAAGGTCGTCTACGCGAACTAGGCTATAAGCAAGAACTGAAGCGCGACTGGTCAATGATCCACAACTTCGGTGTCTCTTTCTCCATCATTTCTGTCATCACTGGTATCACGACCCTGTTCAGCTATGGACTGAATACCGGCGGGCCGGCGGTCATGTCCTGTGGCTGGCTTGTTGTCTCGTTCTTCACGATGTTTGTCGGCTTGGGAATGGCGGAGGTGGTGTCTGCGATACCCAGCGCAGGGGGACCTTACTTCTGGGCTGCTATCCTGGCACCGAAGCCATGGGCCCCGTTCGCGAGCTGGGTTACAGGGTGGTTCAATTTACTTGGTCAAGTCGCAGTCACCACCGGTATCACCTTTGGCTGTGCGGGACTGATTTCCACATTGGCCAGTATCAATGGGTACGAAGCAACGGCAGGCAGAACACTGGGTATCTATGCGGCGCTTTTGTGCTCGCATGGCATTGTCAACTCTTTTGGTGTGCATATTTTGCGTTACTTGAACAACACCTCCATAATTCTACACTCTTTGGGCGTCTTCAGTTTTGCCGTCGCGGTCGTCGCTAAAGCTCCTCATCATCAGTCCGCCAAATTTGTGTTTGCAACGTTCTATGACGGTACTGGTGATCCAGGATGGTCAGTCAGGGCATCCTCTGCCTATGTCGCCTGCATTGGTATCCTGATGTCACAATATACAATTACCGGGTTTGACGCTAGGTGTGCCTCACTGAAGAAAGGAAGAATTCTCACATACTGACCTGCTGTCTAGTGCACATCTGTCTGAGGAAACCCAGAATGCGTCGTGGTCGGCGCCCATTGGTGTTCTCATGTCGATTGGCTGCTCCGCTGTCTTTGGGTGGTTTCTCATCCTTTGCCTTCTATTCAGCGTCCAGGATTTCCAGGCCACTCTGAACTCAGAGTACGGTAACCCGGTTCTTCAAATCCTGGTCGATGTGTTCGGCAAATCAGGAGCTATTGTGCTATTTGTCCTGGTCATTATCTGCGTCTGGCACTGTGGTCTGTTCAGCTTGACCTCCAACTCGCGAATGATGTTCAGCTTTGCTCGCGATGGCGGAATCCCGCACTTCTTCCATAACGTGGACGCGCGATTTCGAAGTCCGATTCGAACTATCTGGCTTGCCGCAGCACTGGCTTTTCTTCTGGCAGTACCCAGTCTCGGATCCTCTGTTGCATTTGCTGCGGCAACTTCGATCGCAACCATTGGCCTCTATATATCCTATGGGCTTCCTATCTTGATCGGCATGGTAAACCCGCAGGGCTTTATTCACGGCCCTTTCAGTCTTAAATGGGCTTCACGTCCTGTGGCACTGATCGCATGCCTGTGGATCGGATTCATTACCATCATCTTCTGTCTGCCTGAGCTGAACCCAATCAATTCACAGACGCTGAACTACACCCCCGTGGCCGTCGGTATCATTGCGGTATGGTGTCTTGCCAGTTGGTTTTTGTGGGCTAGGAAATGGTTCAAGGGTCCCATTCGACAAGTGGCCGCTGAAGTAGCCGGGGTCAATGTTGATGATCCAGATGCAATGGACCGGGCTGAGCGTGAAGGCAGAATCCCCGAACTTGACGAGGCTCAAATTGGCAATGAGAAGAGTCTGTTGACCACCATGAAGCAGAATTACAACTGAAACCACGAAAGTGGGTGCTAATGGTAGGAGGAATATGGATATATCCCGGGCAATGACCCATGGATCCTTGACATCTTGGGCGACAGATTGCCGATTGATGGTGATTTCGTCAGGACATAATGGCATACTGATCGACTCATCATGGCCTTTATTTCTCTGCGGGCCAACAACTCTCGCTGTTGCCAGCGTTTTCATAGAGAATATCTAGTCATGTTCTTGAGGTCCGAATGCTTTCAGGTTCTGGAAGATACTGGCGGTGCGGCCCAATTACCCGGCCCTATTTGTCTCGTATTTCGCATCCAGGGAGTCACATACCACTTTGAGGTCTTGTTCTCGAATCTCAACTCCAGATTGGAAGGCGCATGGTGAATCCGACGAGGTTCTAGTGGCAATTGGCACCGAGGGACAAGTCTTTGGTCGGGGTTCAAAAGCTGACTCGATCGAGAGCCCGAAGCGGGGTCGACAAAGGGGACAGAGGCTGAGGTGGGGGCAGCTGCAGCAGTACGTACACCTTTTACTATACGCAGCAAGAAACACAGTCTGAATATGAATACGATGCTGCTGCCTGCTTGGGAGGCCTGTGTAAGATGGGAACAGACGTATTCGCATCACAACTGCTCCAACATTACTAATACCTCAAGCATCCAACGTCCACCACAGCTGAGATAAGAGGATGCCAAAGTGGCCATCAGGTTTCCACTGGAGCATCGCAAGATCCAAGGCTGATGGCAGCCCCACGAGGTTGCAATTCCCCCGCCATATTCCGCTGATGACTAGACGTAAACGGAGTACCTCGCTACGCCCACTGCCCTTCAGTCCACCCGAGATGATTGCCTGAGTGAGAAGTCTATATACTTAGCGCTCGCGTTTTGGTGGTGGATGAGTATATAACTAATCCTCAGTTTCATGCTTCCTCGTCTTCGCTCCGCTATCGGCTGAGGAATCGCTTTTTATCGCGTTTACATTTTGACCTCGTCGCTGCTGGAACATCGAATCTCACCAGTAACCGGCATTGTTGCGTTCAGTCAGGCATCAATCTATTTCTACTCCATCGGACACCTCGTTGCCGCTGCGTTATCATGGGCTCTCTCACACAGTCTTCTAAGCGGAGCATCACCGGCGAGGACATCTCGAGTCTGAAGTCTTTGCTATCATCGACCAACGCCACTGTTCTCACTCCACAAGACGAAGCTTACGGTACGTCTATAAAACGCTGGTCGAGCGCAGCTCAGAAACCAGCTGGAGTTGTGGTGGTGCCGACCAACGCAGATGAAGTCGCCAGTGTGGTCAAGTATGCCACTGACCATGGCATTGACCTAGCCGTCAAGGGTGGTGGCCATTCGACTGCAGGTGTCAGCAGCACAGACGGCGGGCTGCTGATTGACCTAAACTCCAAAATGAGGCATGTTGACGTCGATCTGGACAAGAAATTGTTCATCATCCAAGGAGGCGCCGCATGGGGCGACGTGGATCAGGCTGGCGTGAAGCACGGTCTGGCCACTGTCGGGGGGACCGTCGCAGATACGGGAGTCGGCGGGTTGACGTTGGGTGGTGGCTACGGATGGCTCTCGGGCCAGAAGGGATTAGCGATCGATAACCTCGTCGAGTGCACGATCGTGCTTGCGACAGGGGAGATCAAGAAGGCCAGCGAGCAGGAAAACCCGGACCTGTTCTGGGCGCTGCAAGGGGCGGGACAGAATTTTGGAGTGGTGACCGAGTTCGTTCTCAAAGCATACGATCAAGGCGATGTCTTTGCCGGGATGCTCATATATCCACCTACGCCGGAGATAATTGAGAAGGTGGTCGCCGCCACGAACGACCTGTACACTCCGGACGCGAACGGGAAGACCAAAGTCGCCGGTCGAGGCGCTGGTGGCATCGCCTTTGCTCGACCCCCGCCCGCCGAGGGCAAGGTCATGCTGATGGCCGTCATCATCTACTTTGGCACCGAGGCCGAGGCCAAGGAGAAGTACAAGGCGCTGTACGACATCGGCCCCGTGGTGGACACGACAGCCATGGTGTCCTATCCGGTCATCAACACTATTCTTGCGCCGCCGATTGGCCTGCGAGCGAGCATGAAGGGCACGTCGTTTACGATGCCGATTCGGGCCGGCTTCGTCGAGGACGTCCTGCGCGAGTACACAAAGTTCACCGATGGCAACGACGACACGGGCATCAGCCTCGTGCTCTGGGAGGTCTACGACCCCAACCAGGTCGTCGCGCACGACGAGGTGGGCAGCTTCGCCAACCGCGGCTGGCACCTCAACGGCATGATCTGCCCCATTTGGACGAAGCAGGAACACGACCAGGCCTGTCGCCAGTGGGCCAGGGACATGACCGCGCTGTTCAAGACCGAGCTCGAGGCCCAGGCCAAGACGACCGGGACGGGCGTTGACGGCGGTGTCGGTCTGAGGGGGAAGAAAGGAGCTACAATGCTTTATGGAAATTACGACCGTGAGTGCTACTCTTCCTTCTCTTTCTGTATACATGTTCTTCCCTCATACTTTTTCTCCTTCTTTCCCTGTTAGTCCCAGCAAAATTTCTCTGTGACATATCCAACTAACCGAACAACCGACCTTGACAGAATACGACGAGAAATCCCGCGACATCTTCGGCGAGAACTACCCGCGCCTGCAGCAGCTCAAGGCCCGCTACGACCCGACCAACATGTTCAACAAGCTCTTTGGTGTTACGCCGCTGGCGTGAATGCATACACAAGGGCGTGCGGTGGGTGGGGTTCAATGTATTGTAGATCAGGGAACGAGGCATAGACAGATATGTCGGCCATAAGGCATCGGCTGCAGTATAGGGAATGGCATATTGGCAATAATGAGTCTTGATCCCCCTGATGACTCCTGCTGGGTCTCGATGGGTCTTGGTGGGTCCTCCATGACCACCCTCGTATGATAGCGATGATAGCGTCAAGCCCATGTCCTCTGCCGAGCGACATATAGGAGGGAAATATTTAAAATACAAATACCCTCGGCAGGGTAACGAATAGAGCTGGACTCATTGGCTCATAATTGTCTACAACTGGATAGCCAGGTATAAAGTTGAATAGCGTCTTAATAACAACTAAACGTGGAGAAGTTGTATTCCGTATGTTTACGGGCCTCTACAAGCACAGGCTACAGCCTTGTTCGTCTCGTGGATATTGTCGGCGAGGGGGGGGTGTGTATTCTGTCTGCTCTGATTTACTCTGCTCGATGCAATTCTCCTCAAGTTACTCCCATTAGATTCAGTTCAATTTAGATATATCTATTCATTATCGTCCTATCCTATCAACCTGCCTTACGTAGATATCTGAATAGAAGTGAGCCCGTCTGATCCATTTCAATCTCAATGCTTGACCACAATCTTGCCGCCCGCATCGTGGCTGTCCAACAACGCGTGCGCCTTCTGGATATCCTTGTACTCGAACACGTGCGTTGGCTTCGCGTTCCACTCGCCCTTCTCAATCTTGTCCGCGATCTCCTGCAAGGGGATGTTCTCCAGCGGGAAATCCTCACTGCCGAGCACTTTGCTGTGGAACAGGCTGAAGTGCACACCGGAGTCCATCTCGATCATTGGGTTGAAGTCCTTGACCGGCGCGAGGCCGCCGAGCCAGCCAGCCTGGAGCATCCGTCCGCCGGGGCGGGTGAGGCGGATGGAGTCGAGCAGAGCGATGTTGCCGATCAGATTGAGGGTCTTGTCGAATTTGTGGTCGGGGACAAATCGTTGGCTGAGTGGAAGTTCTTCAAGGATCGCCTCTTCCACGCCCATCTTCTTTAGCATCTCGAATCGCTGCTGCCGTCTCGTGGTCGCTGTGACTTTGGCCCCTGCATTCACGGCAAGATGCACGGCGGCTTGGCCAATTGTGCTTGTCGCGCCGCGGATCAGGATTCTTTGTCCCTTGTGCAGGTCGAGGATGGTGAAGAGGCACGAATATGCCGTGGAATATACCTCAGGCAATGCGGCGAGCTGTTCCCAGGGTAGATTGGTCTTGATTCTCACCACGTTCGCGATGGGGATGTTGACAAATTCGCCGTATCCACCTGGTCGATTTCGACCCATCCCGCCCATCACGCCAGCCACTTTATCACCCTTCTGGAACTTGCCCGAGGGGTCGGCCTCAACGGTGCCCACGCATTCGAGACCGGAGATGGGATTCCATTCGTCCCATTCACCCTTGCGCATGTGCATTTCGGCGTGGTTTAGACCAAATGCTTTCACGTGAACGAGGACCTCGCCTGGCGTCGGAGTGGGTTTCGGGGCCGTCTGGAGTTGTAGGACTTCCGGGCCCCCGAAAGCGGTGATAATAATCGCTTGTATCGTTCCTTGGTCAGACATGGCTGTAAGATGAAGTTGTTTGACTATAAGTTGATGATAGACTCCGCCGTTGAGGCTTGATTTATTCTTGTGGTAGTAGGGTGAGCACTTGCTTGATTGCATGGACTCCTGTTCTGATGGGTCATGGCCAATGCATTTATACCTTTGTTCCAACTCACCGCGCGTATTCAGCCACCGTCATTGCTCTTGAACGTCTTGTTCTCCGTGCTGCGAGGCTCTCGTCCATGAATACGCACATGGATGCACGGGCAAGGATGAGGTGTCTCCTGTTTCGTAGCTAGCGCATCGCAATGGCAGTAAGGTAAAGCAGCGGCTAGTGTCCGCTGCGAATACGAGTCGAGTGAGCTTGTCAGGTAAGAGTTCAGAATGCGCTGGGAAGTTGTCGGCTGCTGAATTAAGCAAAAGCTCCATCAGCAAGGCTGTCTTCTGCAGAGAGAATTGATGCAATCATGTCATGATTGGCAGGAATTCTGGAATTGAGTTGCGCGGTTTGTTGAAAGCTGACAAAGGCTGCATCTGGTAGCAGGGGCAAGCAGGGGGCAGATGTTGGAGATAGACATGGGTTGGCTGTGTGAAGTCGCAGGCCCTTCGCAGTACGATGCCGCTTTTATATGACGTAGATAAAGTCACCCAATCCGGAAGGTTGTCCGCCGCCCAAGCATCAGAGTTTCAAAAGCGGCAAGCTGGACTCTTTTGCAATCTCTGAACGCAGTAGACAGCGAGACAGGAACAGAACACAATGCATGGTCAACACTTACGCCCTCCTCCAACACAGAGACAGAGATACTGCTTGCACACAATTCCCTTGCGAGGGATCTCAACCCCGGCCTTTGCTAGTCGAAGGGTCCAAATCCCCCCAGTTTCAGCATGCAATGCTGACACCTAGCAACTCGCCGTGCAGGCGTCCCAGACACCTCATCTCCTCTTTCGATCAATCGACCTACTCAGACACTTTATGACGGCCAGAAGCTGGCCTAAGCAAGATTAGACTCCGGGAAACACCATTATTGCACTTGCCGTGGTCTGTGGCTAGAGCTTGATGAACAAATACCCGGTACTGAGTACTCTGTACTCCGTATTTAGGAGCAAACTTTCTTTTGCAAAAATGGCGCAACTCTCGGCTACGCCAGCCGACTAACAGCTAAGTCGACCGGGGGCCCGGATGCCGGATGCTTGTTGCTTGACGCCGAACGGTGGGCAGAGAAGACACCTAATTTCACCTCCCTTCAAACCTTGAGCTATCTACATATCCCATCTCATTTCAAGAAACTGAGTGAACAGCTGGAACACCTCCCCTGCGTACCTAGTATGCTTCGACAACAGTCCCCTGGCTTCACGGGAGAGGCCTGTTTCCGCGCTAGCCCTTGGCTGTTGGGTTGGATTCTTGGTAGCTACAGCCAAGAAATGGATTGCGTACCAGCGCTACATTGAAAGGACACCAAATCCCTACGGGATGGTCTCTAGGATGCAATCGCGGGCTTGGACTACTCGCCTGGCCCAAAGCAAACATTCCACCTGCAGAACCAAGTGCTGTCGAAGCGCCGCGAACAGTCTCGACTTGCCTCTCCCGTGCAAGCGCGCTTTAATCGACGAGGACCTAAAATTACCTGGGCCTAGGGTCATTCGGTCGAGCCGCGCAAGATCACATTGAACCTTGCAAGGCATACTCGGTAGGCAACCAGGACCCCCACCAGGCTCCTCTGCAAAAGTACAAAATGGAGTGCAAAGGTCAGTTGGATTCGATGCCGCTTCAGCCTGTTCTGCTTCTCTCATGCCAGCCATGGTCTCTACACCTCCGCTGCGGTCTGCCGCAGCATTTTCAGCTATCCATCCATTCACTTTGAACACTCCCTCTCCTGCTACGCCCGAGCTGGGGTGGTCTGCGTCACCAGCAACGCAGCTCCCTCTGACCCCAGAAATTCACTTTGATCCTAACGACCGTATACGCTTGCCCGGTTCTCCTCTTGCAGCTCGCACGGCAAATCTCAAGACAAACGCTATCACCAGTCTTAATCTTTCCCCGCTTGACTCATATGTGCCAGAGCAACTACTGTCAACGCTGTCGAGCGAGACAAGTCGAAACAAACGTCTCTTCCGGAATGAGCTCTCCAGCAGGACTCTGGCCGCCACATCTCAACCACAATCACCTCCCTCGAATGACAATCACCGTACCATCCCGGTGCCTTTTTTTAAAATCGAAATAGAGGAAAGGTCTTGGCGAAGAACATCTCTACAACCTCTTTATCCAAGCGGAAAGCTGGCCGGGCATTGCAGTGATGCCGTTGAGCAACATGCTACTGCACGCAGTGCCCCCACAGTTGCAAATGACATCAAATCAGAACATCGTTCAGTCGTTTCTGATGAAAGAGTTGCTGGTGAATCTCAGACCAAAATCATCACAACCACCACCGCGACAACCGTACTTCCTCAGTACTCGAGAAGGAAGAAAGCTTTAACACTCTCCATCGTATGGACATTGAACACAAAGCTGACCACCATCTTGCCTCTCGAAGCGATAGAAAGGTTCGATGCCGATCCTTCGCATTGTATTGGAACGACAGAGGACGGTTTAAGATGCAACAAAACAACCACGCGATCATCAAATAAAGGTTTTGTCACAAAATTGTTCACGGCTCTCTCGACATTTCAGCGCTCTCTTGATTTCGAATCCTTTGCGGAGCATATGGCCCCACTGATTGAAAGCGTAACTTGCACACAGTGGCATGGAAAGCGGGCTCGGAGTTGTTTGGATGAATTGTGCTCTTATTCCTGGCAAACACGGGAGATCGCCGTTACAGACCCACACCAAGGTGAGGCTATTACGAACATTATCGACAGCGTATTCAAATTCTGGATCTCGGCTTTGATAAGAGTTCCAACAATCGCCAAATGTTCGAACGTACCGGCAAAAGGAGACGCTGATGGTGTGCGAGGAGCACCTTGCTCGACAATCGTCTTCTCCGACGCTGCACCTTACGGGAATCCTGCGATCTTTCGTCATGCCAGTCTGCATGTAACAGCACCGTCAAAAAACGCGACGAATAGCCATGTCACAAATAAGAGCACTACTGGAATACCAGGAACTCAAATGACAGTCCCGAAGGCGATGCGTTTATCAACTCATCTGAACCACGCATTCGAACCATATCCTTACTCCAAAGCAAAAGCAAATGCTACGCCTCAGGCCTTGATCCGGCAGACTCTGAAGAAACCGTTAACGTACAGCGATATGTTGCGTTCTGGGGTCATCTACGTTTTCTGGCATCCGGGTAGTATGGGTTACGTCAAAATAGGCTATGCCAACAACATCAAGAAGAGGCTTGAAGATTGGCATAAGCAATGTGGATTCAACCTCGAGCAGCACAAGAGTCGGGAATATATGGACGTGACGAAGGTCCAGCACTTAGACCGAATCGAGAAGCTAATCCATGCCGAACTTAAAGAATACCGGGTGTTCGAGCCATGTTGCAGCGGTTGCGGGAGAAAACATCTAGAGTGGTTCCAGGTCGACCCGAGCTACGCTTTGAGGGTAGTGGCAAAATGGACAAGAAGGTCCCTTTACTCAGAGGGGGAATTGGATCCCAGTATCAGCAAAGAGGAGATCGAGAAGCTGTGCCAACTAACCGAAGCCGACCGCCCGCTACCGCTGCCCAGAAAGGGAACGAAGAACTTCAACGGAAGCATTCGTGGTGGTGGTGGTGGTCGTCGTACATCAAAGCCTCAGGGAAGTCGTTGAAAGGTGAAATTTTGCCTTGATGGATGGTTGGTCGCCGCGCACAGGAACATGGCGCAGCTGGTGAACACGGGGGATGCCGCTGGTCAAATCACTAAGCATGGTAACCATCACGTCGCGTCTTCTTTCTGGGGTTTATTCTCGTTCATCATCTATCAGATATCATCATAAATGTCAGGTCCTTATCAATCAATCACTCACCCACCCAGGGCGCAACCGCGACTGTGGAAGTGGCAGCCAAGCCTCAACCTCAAAGACCTACCCGCCCTTTCCCCCAGAGGTCTTTTTTTGTTTTTTGTTTTTTGTTTTTTTGTTTTTTTTGTTTTTTTTTTTTTTTCACTTTTGGGTTCATCGCAGGGACTCCCGAAACACGACGCCGGCGTCGCCTCATCTAGCTTAGACAAGGGAATTTGACTTCTACACATCGGTGCATTGCAGATCGGGAGCTCAGGGCGATTTAGGCATTCAAAGCCTCAGCCCCAGCCCCAGCTGTCGTTGCGTTATTACGTTACTCTAACATCCCCCCAACCAAGTTAAGCAGCTTTGTGAAATTGGGCGTGCCCAGCCCCGTGGCAGCGTCCCAGCCAACTGTGGCCTTCCACCCAGCGCCGGGGACCTCGGGCGCATCGAGGCCCGAGGCAGTCGTGCTCTCGCACCCCCTGGACGATCCCTGCGTGATGTCCGTGAGGGCCTTGTATCCCTTGCCGTACAGCCAGGGGTTCAAGAAGCCCAGGGGCTTGTGGCCCTTGGACATGCGGACGGAGTTGACGTTTGCGACGATGGCGGCCCAGGTGGGCGTGGCCGCGCTGGTGCCGCCGCTCAGTTGTTCCACGCCCAGATGGAAGATGGGGAACGTGATCCAGGCCTGGGCCGCGACGTCCGGAATCGCCCTCCCGGTCCTGTTGTACAGGCCCTTGAACTTGTCCTTCACGGTGCCGTTGAGGTACGCTTCGACCACCTCGCGCTGGTACGCGGGCCGGGCAAACACGTCGCTGAAGCCGCCTCCGGACATGACCTCTGCGATCTCGGGCTGCACCAGGCCCGTGCCGCCCACGCTCGTGACCCACGGACAGCTAGCGGGGAATTGCGGCATGAAGCGCGTCGCGTTGCGGCCGTCGTTGGTCATGCAGCCGTCCCCCGGCCCGCCGTCGCCGCTGGACGCAAGCACGCTGACGCCACGGGCGCCGAGCTTGGCGAACAACTGGCACACGCTGAGCATGTAGGACAGTGGGTGGCTCTGCTCGTCCTCAGCGTACGAGATGCTAATCACCTGCGGCAGGTCCTCGTTCGTGAGGTTGAGCATGTACTGCAAGTACTCGAGGAACGGCTCCTGCTCGTTTAGTGCTCCCGGGATGTCGGGCTGTTGGAGGTCGTAGATCAAGGGACCCCGGCCGCCGACCTTGTAGAAGTGCACCGGCGTCGGGTACGACAGCGTCAGGCCATACTGGACGTCCATGTTGGCCTCGGAGGCCCAGGCCGCATCCGTGGATTGGTTGTTGACACCGCCATTTACTGAGGTGATGGAGAAGTTTGCGCCGCGCGCGTACGACGCCCATTTGCCAACGAACAGTGCCAGGTCGTGGCGCACGACGTTCTGGCTGGCGAAGGCGGGGATTCCCAGCCGCGACCCGGAGCTGGCGTTGGCGCGGAAGTTGCCCAGTCCGTAGAGAGCGCGGATACAGTCTGGCGAAGTGGTGGTGTTGCAGTATGTTGCGTTCAGTTTGGTTGCTGAGCCGTAGACGGGGATCGAGTCGGTGGTTGGGCCGGGCTGTTGAGCCGGACGGGAGCGAGCGAAATGTGTCGTTGGCTGGATCGTTTGGATGTATGGATGGAGACTGTCAGGGATGGAGTACTGGAGGGTGCGAATGCGCCAGCTATTGTCCGCGCGGTTGTGGAAGTAGTCGAACCTCGTGTCGAGGAGTGTCTCTGCCTGCGCGACGCTAGCGACGACGGTAATCCAGTCTCCGTTGTCTTCGATGTCCGTGGCATCCACACCCTGAGCCTCGAGCCAGGATAGCACGGCGTTGGAGACGGCCGGCTCAGGACGCATGAGGGCGTTGAGTGAGTGGGCATCGTAGTGCTGGCCGTACAGCTCGTGCTCGGGATCCGAGATTCTCAGCAACTGTTCCTGCAGGAAAGCGTACTTGTCATCCTGGCGAATGGCTATGCGCAGCTTGAGACGTGCGCTGGCTGGAGCTGGTTCTCCCTGGTCCCAACCATCAGGGACGTCGGCGAGTTGCTCGAACACTCTGAGCTCGGGGTCGCTGTCGGGGGCGCCGGCGTTGGCGATGCTGCTGGCCAGGAGGGCCAACGCACAAAGCACAAGTGACCTAACAGTGAACCTCAACATCCTCGCCAGCTAGGTAGTAATATGCGCAGATTGTGAATAAATAAGGGAGTCTTTCGAGGCCCAGAGAGCTCAGTATAACTCCTTTCTCGCATTGAGATGTGGCCTTACGCCCATTCTATAACCTCACCGTACGGAGTGTTAATATGTATGCCTGCTCTCTTGTTGGATCGACCCAAGGCTGTGCAGTGTAGGATCCGCGTCTAAACCCGCACCGGGTCCATGAAGTGGGTATGTTTTGAGTAAACTAGGCCCCGGGTACCACCCCACACGTCCGGCTGCAGGCCTTGTGAGGTACCCAGTACCTACCTAGGCACCTGGATAATGGGAATAACGCTGCCTGAATACCATATGCGAATTAATGGGTATCCTCGCGGGCGACGATCACTGACGAGAGGAAAACACCACCGACCAGGAGGGCTAATGCATTCATAAATGAGCTTGGACGGGATTAATTACCTTGGACAGTCAGCAGGACTATGTTCATCGAGGGCGACGACATCTTTCTTCAGTTTGGGGGGGGGAGGAAGACTAGGTACGAGGGCGGCTGGCCGCTTCACGGCCCACTAGCGCTCTGGCGCTACTAGGAGTACCTAGAAGTACAAGTATACCTCTTCCTACCTCCCAGTGGCACCCGCTATAGTAGCTGGCGTTTTCAATCCAGCTTCAACTTTACATACCTACTTGGCACACTCAAAAAATGTCAGGACCCATATTTTGGGTCCACTGCGGCTTTAACTCTGGGCGATGATCAAGTCACGCGTAGCTTCTTCCAAGTCCCCAACCAACAGGAAAATCGCTAGCAGCGGCAATGATTCAAACCTAACTCGACAGCGCAGGCAGCAGCCTGAATTGCTGCCCGGTGTCGAAGGACAACACCTCTCTAACGCAAACACTGACGGCGTGAGCCAGGATACAGAGCATTGACCGAGGCGCGTCAAAAGTCCAAAAAAACAAAAAAAAAATAATAATATTCCCGCCGCACCGCCGCAATCGTTAAAACATTCTTCAAAATGCCTCCTGCTCCGCATTGCAGAAGCTGCACTTGCAACAGAAACGGACTTACCACATCTCTCAACATAGCATTCCAGATACTGGGAATACTTGCAGCTGTCACATTTGGCGTCTTCGGGGCCCTCCAGTGGTCTCAGGCAAATTCGAGCAATCTCTTGGGAGCGCAGTTCAATATTATAAACTTCTGTCTTGCCAATCAGGTGCGTGTTGATTCTCATCCGTGTTGTGCTAGTTCTGAGAGGTGGCTTTAGGAATTCCGAAACACAGAGGCTTGCCGTCAAGCTATTGGGGCCACGGAGCAATTGCTACCCAGATTTGCAGAAGTGGCAATGTGTCAGGCTTATGGGGACATTCACCCTGTATATGTGGATCCGCATCTTACAGCCTCTCCCATATCTCGAGCAAGTGGCCCTGTGTCTACAGCAACTTAGCTTTGAAGGAGAGACTCTGCTTGTACAGCCCGACGTTCCATGCACCCGTCGAGCTATTGGCCAGCGGCAGTTAGAGAAACAAGATCAGAGTCTGGGGAGAAGAGAAAATTTGATTGAAGCATACACTCAAACGAGGGGATTCGAGAATTGGAACAACTGACTAGCAGTAGGAATGTGATTAGTCGATAGGAGAGGAGGTTGTCCAGACCGATATGCAGAAAGGAACGACAACTTAATATGCTTGGGCATGAGCTCCATGCGCAGAAAAGCAGGTGTCGAAGTTCCCCCCCTTCCCTCATCTCCGTCGTTTCGCCAGACTACTATTCCGTGGGTAAGTAAGGAGTGTGCGCGGCTGGAATCACCGACCTTACCGCGAATGCCCTGGTGGCAGCGTGGAGGAGTTATATCACTGGGCAAACAAGACGGACAGCATGCTACATGGACCAAGTCGTATGAGGCACCCATGTCCACGTTCCCGCTGAGTGTCTGGAAGACTGACACGATGCTCCACCATGAGCTTGAAACTCGATCCCCACCATATTGTCGGCTACTATCCCAGCCGAGACACGGTGCCATCCGCACCGGCAGGTAGGCGTGTAATCACCATGTTGCGACCATGGATCCGTCCTATGTAGCACGTAGCCGTTGTTATCGTGCGGCACCCGGCCCTTGTATTGTTCATGTTCTTCATCGAGCATGGCTCGGGCCGCCGTCAGCTCTCTGGAGAGGGCGCAGACCCGGCCCACTTGGTACGCTTCTATTAGTTGGGATAGATTAATGCCGCTTTTAGGCTACGGCGCGGTCGGGCGCTCCCACGACTTTTTGGACGCACAGAGTATGTAGCAAAGTACATAGTGGTGACTGTCATATCTGTAAGATCTCATATGTGATCAGAATATGGCCCCTGCCGATTGGCCTTATGCGAGCGAGGTCCAGCAGATCCTCGGCCATATCTAACCGCGAGAATGCCTTTTTCCCTGCGGGCCTCAGCCCAGAAGCTTGCTGGCTGGTTGACTATGTACCCGCCCAAGACAAAGGTTCTTCGTTCCCGAGCTCAGTAGGCAACGATTCATGACAATCATACCCTGTAAAGCCGCTGGAGTTATGTACGATACCCATGCTGGTTAGTATAGGCAGATTAGCACCTGAGAGAGCTCTGAGTGGTTTCTGCTTGTCCTCTTCTTTCACGGCGATGGCACTGGACAGCTTGACAGGGCCTGATGTGGCTTATCGGGGACGAATGTGATAAAAACCAGTCGTTCCGAGTTCTGGGATTCTGGAATTGTCTACCTTCTTCAGACAAATGTACAAAAACCGGGTGATAGGAAAGGGGCCATCTTTCAGGTCATGTATCCCATAAAAATCAACCAAAAGCCCTTGTCAAAAAGTCGCCGTCGCTCATGATGCATAAAACCTCGGATAGCAAATGTGGTTCGTCAGTGAGTTCAGCGTATCAAATATCCACTCCTGCTGTCGATTGTACTTCTCCGATGCACAAGCTATGCATCCAAGCTCAACCAAACCCAGCGCCAACATGCAGCGGAAACGACAGAAAGATACTGCTCGTTCGTGCTTGTGGCTCTCATCGATTTGTGTTGAAAAACCAACTGCTTCGTTTATTGCCTCCTTCTGATCCGCTCAGGTTCGAGATAATCGGTAAGCCAGGCGCCCCATTTGCCCCATCAAGATGTGACGGCGCACCGCCGCCTCCACGGAGGGGTTTGGCTATCCTTGCACCGGCGTTCATGAGGCTGTTAAATCCACCGGTCGCGCCAGCTCCAGCAGTCGCCATGTTTCTTGATGATACTTTTGCCGCTTCGAGACGTTCCTTGACGGCAGCAAGTTGTGCTTCGAATCTGTGAACAGTGGTCAGTTGTCGATGCGGGTGCAAGAACAGTAGCATATACATACCTGTGGTTAGCTGCTGTCAATTTGTCTTGGCTATCGGCCAACAAACTCTCGAGACTCAGAATCCGTTCGTTCCGGGCAATCAGTTTTCGCTCCGCGATGGCGACTTCCTTCTTCAGGCTAGTGTTCTGGTCGACAAGCTGCCTCTGCACGACTGTGAGTTGCTCAAGGTTGCGTTCTAAAAATGCCATCTTCTTCTGTTGTTGACGATTGTTGCTGGATCGAAGCACGTTGTTGTATTGCTCCCGTGTCTCATCTAGTGAGATCTCCAGCTCTACCACGCGCTCGCACCGGTTCTGTAGATCACGCATCAGGTTCTTCTTCATAGATTCGAAGTCGGCAATTTGTTGTTGTAAAGTCTTGCTCGTAACGCCGTTGGCCGCGCCCGCGCCGTTGGCTGCACCACGTGACTGGAGGTCCGTGATGGTTTTTTGTAGCCGGTCGATTTCCTGCGACCTGTGCGTAAGTTGATCTCGCAAGTCGTGGATAAGCTCGCTTTGGGCATCCCTGCGGTCCGAGAATAATTGCTCGAGTCGTCCTTTGACATCTTCCACGTCTTCGGGACTCAAGTTCCGAGTCAACAAGTCTTCGTAATCTTGCTGCATGGTGGCCAGTTTTTCCTCCAGCGCGACTGTTCGATCCTCGTGATCGTCCTCGGCGCGTTCATTGAGAGATTTCTCTGCCTGTCGAACTAGCGTCTGTGATTCCAACAATTTCGAGCGTAGGTCTTCGAGAACATGGCTTGGTACAGTTTCGCCATTAAGGCTTGCAGCATGCAATGCCTCCACTTGATCAAGCATCTCTCGCATACGATTTTCGTTGTCGGAGAACGCTCCATCACCTAGGTCAAAGCCTGCCATCATCTTTGCCATTTTCTCTTTCTTTTTGCGATCCTTTTCGTCCAAGGCCGCTGTGGTCTCTTTGGCACTCATCTTGAGTTCCAGCAGCTGCTGCTTGACCGAAATCAGCTCAGCCTCTAGCTCTGAGTTCGCGTCTTTCAACCCTTCCATCGTGATTGCATCTTCCTTGCTCTGGTAGGACAACTTCTGCAGCTCCAATTGCGACTTATTTAGTTTGTCCGCCATGGTCTCGTTCTCCTTGGCTGTCCGCATGGCACCTTCCTTGTATGACTTGAGCTCTTCTCGAGCCTCTTGAAGGCTTCGCTCCGCGTTGGCCACTTGAGTCTCCTTTTCAGTAAGTTGGTCTTGAAGTTCATTCTCGCGGCGCAAAAATTCCTCTCGCTCGTCTTTCTCAAGTATAATGCTGGGTGTACTTGATCTTTCGCCCGTCCGTGAGTCGGGCCTACTAGGGGTGTCTGATCTGAGAAGTTCTGATGGCGCTCTTGAAGGTGTGTCCGGTCTTGCTTTGGCTTCTGATTTCTGTCCTGAACCACTTAAAGGAGGCACCCATTTTTCTTTGGGCACCGTCTCGCCCTTTCGCCATAGCTGTAGCTCCGAATCCAATGATGCAATGTACTTTTCGAAAGTCATGGTCTGGTTCTGAGCGATCTTGAGCTGGCGCTTGAGCTCCGCGGGACTCAACTCGGCGTTGATCTTGGCCTTGTTCTTGATCGTCTTTGCTCTCATACCAAATCGCAGGGTGCTGACAGTTTCGGCATCATTGTAGCTGCTGGGGGAACAATTTATAATCAGGGTCGTTCTTGAATTACCGCCCAAACTTTCCTGCAAAATCCGGGTCAACTTGGAGTCTCGATAGGGGACATGTGTTGATTTGCCGTCTGTCAGTGCATTGATGACCATTCCGAGTGCGCTTAAGCTCTTGTTGATCTTCTTTGCTTCTTCTAATGTCTGTCCACTTGCGCCCGTCTTGCCGACCTTTTCTGAACCCGCCAAGTCCACGAGATATAGCATACCACTCTTTTGCGACCCGGTGTTGACATCCTTCTGATTTATGGTAACCAAGAATATTGAATGCGAGCGCGATGACTCCAGATTCATGTTGGTGGAGGCGGTGACTCTTGATCTCTGGCCCAGATGCATAGCCGTATAGACTTCCTCCACGGTGTTGACATAAATTTCACGCAGGCCTTTCACATATGGGCCCCTTGGTCCTTCGTTAATGGGAAGGTTGTCCATAACGGGGTTCAGCAGATCACGTATTCGTTCCATATAGATTTCCAGATAAGAGATGCCCACGGTATATTCGATTTGCGCTGAACCGTGAACAAGAATGGAATCGAAGATCTGTTCGGTAATGCGAGGAATTATACCCTTCTTGTCTGGATCGTCCATATCTCCCATCATCGTATACGACTTTCCGGCACCAGTCTGGCCGTAGGCGAAGACCGTGCCGTTGTAACCATTCATGACATCTTCCACTGTGGACCTGATGGAGAAATCAAATATGTTGGCTTGTTGAGAGGACATGTCAAAGACTCGATCGAAGGTGAAGGGGGCATTGGTTTCGGAGGACTGCTCATGTATGAGTTGGAGTGTTTCGTCGGGTCCGTTTGGGTCAAGTGGAAGCACATTACCTGAAGCTGGACAGTGTCCTCGCCCATGAATTGGACAATAGGTTGGCCTCCATTTGCGAGTTCGACTTTGTTCTGCGGACGGAAACGGGCAACAACTGTAGACGCAGTCAGCGAGGTATTGGACCAAGGAGTTTGAGGACGAAGTCTAACCTTTGATGTTGTTCCCGCCTCCGCTACTTCCTGCGGCAGAACTGGAATTCATGGTCAGCTCTGTCATGTTGGGAAGCGATGGGTCGTTGAAACATACGCCATGGTTATTCAGGACTCGACGTTGTCAATCTGGCCAGGCGGAAAGCATCAGTTCTCCTGGGTGACGGCCCGACAGCGCGGGTCAGGTTGTAAACAGGGCCAATTCAGGGTCGCGGAGCCCCAATGTCGACAGACCGGCCGAGAACGGGAGAATCAGCGTGGAAGAAGGAAGGTAGGCTGAAGATTGAGAGCGCAGTCAACCGCAGTGTCGAAGCCTGGCAGCTGTTGGGATACTTTTTTTCGCGAAATGTCCACTTTGGTTGACCGACGCAGCATGAGGTCGCAGACGACAAGGTGTCAGGCATACACGCGCGGTGCCCGCAGGTGCAGATGCAGATGCAGAGTGCCAGGCGCGCCTGCAGTGACAGCCTGGTGGCCCCCTAGCCTGTTGTCTTGTTGACGCGCCAGCCTTAAGGTTGGAACCTTGATGCCTGAAACTGCGGCGCCCTTGTCACCTAACTGGCCTAATTGGCCCTGCACCCTTGCCCAACGACGCCCAGGGCTTTCCTCCCGTTAATGCGACTCGGCACCTGTCCATCCCCAGCACGCTACTGGTATGGCGCCACGTGTGGCGCCGCATCTCCTCATCTCCTCACCTTCCTCCCGCTTCCAACACAGTTCATCGAGTACTCGGTACCGAGCTCGCGGGCAATCAAGTTTAGTAATTGTCCATGTATACGCCTTGACGAGCACAGGATCTCTTCGGGCCAACAAATACCCAGGGCGGAAGGGAGGAACACATAAAAACTCCCCAGGGCAGAAGATCAAACGCTTTCTTTCCTCTCTCCCTCGATCCTTTCAGTTTAACCTGAAGCAGTCCAATTCTCTGCCACCATTGTTGAATGAAGCCTTGGTGCCCTCTCCATCAACCAACTATGGCAGCAGAAGCAGTAGCACAGACTTCTCAGCTCTTCTCCTCGCTCAAACTCACCCGCAATGTCACCAAGACATCGTCTGGCTCAGAAGTCGTTAGCTACATATCCAACCTAGGGCCCAACTCTCCTATACTGACTCTAGTTCATGGTTATCCTCAATCTGCTTATGAGTGAGGCATCCTCCTACGCAGCTGTGACCGTTCGCTCAAGGCTGACAGTTGGAATCAGATGGCGTCATGTTGGTTTTCCCCCTCGCCCCTTAATAATCCCCTTCCCATCACGTGTCCGAGAGCCGTGCCCTTGCACAATATGCGGCATTAGCTAGCACCGCATTATCCTCAATCAGATCGTTGTTTCAATTGACCTAGCAATGCAACAGGTGGTCCCTCTCCTCCAAGGCAAGATCTCCTTATTCGTACCCGAGCTTCCCGGATACGGTACCTCAACACCTATCCGCGACCCGGCGTCTAACACCAAACGATCCGTGGGCACCGCTTTACTGGAGGCTCTCGCCGACGTCTTCAAGACCAAATCGGCCGCTTCTCCAAGACGGATCATCCTAGGTGGCCACGACCGTGGTGCACGAATCAGCCATCGTCTCTCAGTCGACTTCTCGCACCCGCATCAGTCCTCACCCACCCTCTACAAGGACTGGAACCTGACGGTCCTCGGCACAATCCTGCTCGACATAGTCCCGACCAAGGAACAATGGACCGCTTTCTCCGACCCGGCCATAAGCCAGGGATACTTCCACTGGCCACTCCTGGCAAACGCGGATCTGGCGACGGAGATGATCTCCGCGTTCGGCGGCGCCAACTGGGCCAAGGGTGCACACACACGCATCTCCGGCCCAAACCCGAAATCGCTGGAAAGAATCATTTCGCAAAACGCGCTCGACGTCTACGGCGGCCTATTCAGCGAGAGAGAAACCATCTACTACTCCTGTCTTGACTACGCGGCCGGCGCGGCGCCCGAAGCCACAGAGCAGGACGAGGACCAGAAGGCCGGCAGAAAAGTCGGCGTACCCTTGCTTGTCATGTTTAGTAAAGCCAAACTGGGGGCGCGCATTGACGTCCAGGGCGTGTGGAAAGGGTGGGTGGCTGAAGGTGTGGATTATGAGGGATACGGCGTGGGTGACGGGTATGGGCATTATTTACCTGAAGAGGCCTTTGAGGTCGTGGCAGAGAAGGTTTCGGCGTTTATCAAAAAGGTGACTTGATTAGAAGAGCGATGATGACGACAACAACGACGGATGATCCATCAGCCGCGTGCCGGAGTTCACACCTATAGCAGAGCGAGGCTGATGAGTGTTTATTTACATTTGAGTGAACTGCATCATGACTAGATAGATGCCAGAATATGATCAATCGTGTCTCATGAGCGAGAGAGCGAGGTTTCGTTACCATATTATATTATGTATGTGCTTGCGAGTTTCTCATGAAATGTCGTCCAAGAGGTGTTCCCCCCAACACGGTTCACGGATTGACATCCTGTCCTGTCCTGCTCGGGCTTCGACCAACCTGCCATTCTTTTCTCACGGGGATCTCTCGACGGCCGTCCACCGTCTCTTCCCGGGGCTCCTCTCGCGCTTGATCGAAGATTCACCGCCCCAAAGCCCTGCCTGACTCGCGCTACGGACAGGTAAGAGGGGGAAGGAGCCTGGTTGCTCGTCACTGCCCATGATCTCTAGGTTCGCTCCGCTGCCACGACCGCTCCAGAGCTGGAGCTCCTCTTGTATACTGTCTGAGCGACCGACGCTGAGCGAACTGGGTGTTGCGAAAGCGTCACTCGACGACTCGGTCGTCTCGTCTCGGGAGTACCGACTTCCTCGCCGCCAGAGTCCCGTGGGAGGCTCAGATGAATCCACCGTATCTGCTGCATGGGATCTCTGACTTATGCTTCTAGCAGGCATCAGGGATGCAGAGCCGCGGGGTGCCACTGACTCTCCTAGGCTGAATCCTTCTGGGGAATCGGCTCCCACAGCTCGACGACTGGCAAATGCCGGTGACTTTCCAAGTCGAGGTGAGTTCAACCCTAGTGGATTGGACGGGGCACGGAGATGTTCGGTAGAGGCTATGATTTTCATGTCGTAGTCCTCCGATATGGTCAAATCCAGAGATCCTCTTCTGCGTGTTGGAGACGATGGTTCTGGGGGAGCTTGCTGGGTTTCTTTTCTCACGGCCATAGACAAGGAAGAAAGACCCACGTCGCGCAAAGCAGGTGCGGCTGTAAGCAACCTGATCAGAGCGTTGCAGCCTGCCTGATGGGTTACCAGAATGACCACGAGTTCTTCATCGTCATCTTGCTCGTCACTGTTATTCCCGTCTCCGGCATTCTGGCTCTCGTAGAATGCAATCATTTTCTGCAGACCATTGCGAAACCTGCGGTGCATTTTCCCCCAATCCTCGTCGAAGGGGCCACCATCGCCCCACTCAAGTGGTTCATTCTGGCTGTCCCAGTCCCCGTCAATCTCAACACAAGCATCTCGTGCATGGGCCACAAACCCCGGGGGGATTTTGTCAGAAGATCCAATTGCATAATTTGGCATTGGAGGGCTATAACCCAGAGGCCCATGAAGAGTTCTGTTCAATATCCGCGCACCATTTGCTAACTCGGTCCCAAAAGAGATATTGCGTGGACGCTTGGGAAGAGAATGGCCAACGGCCGCCATAGCCCGTAAACCAGTCTTTTCATGGACTGGTACAGATGTGATTTCGGTTTCTGCCTCTTCCGTGTCGACTGGTGGTGGCAGGTTAAAGGCGAGGGAACCTGAGAGATCGGCGCCTTTAATCTCTTCTTGTGGGTTTTGGAGGCTCATCTTCGCTTGTGAGACGAGGACGGCGGAAGGGGGAGGAGCAGAGCCTTCTTGGAAATAGCCGGCAGATTGCCATTCCCCCAGAAATGCATCAATGCGCAACTTGCAGGTATTGTAGCCAAGACGGTTTGTGTGCCCCTTGCCTTTGGTAGTTACGCGTTCGAGAGACGCTCGATCAACTTCACTCGAGTCCTCAGCCGTGTCCAGCGCTTCGTCCATGGGCGAGAGATTAGAGCGGGACGAGAGTTGGCGCGACTTCATGCGCGGCCGAGAGTGGTTCTGAGGATGTTGTATGCCTGCGGCAATCGCAATAGAAGATTGGACACATCGCAGATATGGCGAACTGTGGATAATGACCTTCCGTCTCTTGCGAGGCTGGGTCTCTTGCACACCGTCTTCCTTGCCCTCACTTTGAGGTTTGGATTGCTTGTTGAGGTTATGCAGTTCATTGTTGATCCTCAACCCCAAGGTTTGGCACTGGATCCAGCCGCCATAAGACAGAGGAGGGTCGTAAGGGGCTTCGGCAGTGGCAGTCCAATTCCTATCTGCCTGATCGAGACGGGCGCCGTGACTATTGAACAAGAATCAGCGCGGACGTTCGAAAGACCAAGAAAATTGGAAAGGATGTTGCACCGGACGACAAAGACAACCGCTGGCTGTTTCCCCATGTTGAAGGACTGGTTATTCCAGCGCAAATGAGTACTATTCAGATATTGCAATTTCAACGTAGGCGATATACGTCAATGTTGCAGAATTGCGGGGGTTAGGGCTGGTAACACAAAGGAGTCGGTTCCCGACAGCGAGACAGAACTGAAAAGCAATGAGACGTGCCGGGTCATCGCAGGCGTAGGCGCGACATCTTGAAGGAGAGAGTAAAATGTACCAGGTTGATGGTACAATACAGAAGTCGAGACTGCGAGAGGAGTGGCGAGAAAACAGAATTCACTTATGTTTGGTGGCAGGCGACGGTTTGGACGGTCAAGGACGGTGAAGGGTCACAGTGGGAATTATTTTGGGTGCGCAGCCTGCGGGCGTCAATCCGGTTTGTGAGATCGACATCCATTTCACTCCCCATTCACTCATCGGTCCGCCTGCTCCTTTGGCCTCGACAACACACATCAACGCACATTCAAGTCGGCGGGCGGAATTTGTTCCAGGTACGGACACTGCCAGCTTCTTCTTGGTGCATTTATCCCCAGTCACTGACACTGGTAAATGTCAAGGGCACGATGTTAATCTTGCAACAAAGATCGCAGTTCACCAGAGAGCCAGGTACTCCGGACTCAACCCATGAACTGCGTCGTGGAACCGTTTGAAGATACTCGTCGGCTGCCACTATTGTCTGACGAGTTCCAGCCATCTACCAGGTACGAGGTACTTGGTACCTAGGACCAGAGCAGGCGACAACCTCGGCAGGCCGCCAGTACCTGCTTGGTGTCTCTCTCCGTTTCATCCACGCGTGTCGGGCGGCATCATGATAGTCCGCAGCCATCCTCGTCTCGGACCGGCAGCCCGCGTATCTCTTGATCAATCTCGTTTCAAAATTGAACATCAAGAAAATGGCCTCGAACACGAGCACAGTCAGGCTTACTTATTCTCCGGGAAGATTTGCCGGGAGACACTAATCCATGGCTATGTTCATCTCGCTTGAAGCATGATCTTCTGCTAGATCAGTAGGCAAGGGTTTGCTGCGAACATGGGATTTGCACAGGTGCACTGAGATGAGAGCAACTGATGGGGGAGAGCTCACGGGTAAAAGAGCAGGACAACGGACAAGAACCAGCCGATGAGATTTTGTGAGGTGGCAAAAAGGTAAGGAATCAATCTTGCTCGTGTGGATGATCAGACGCGGCTCGTGAGGCCAGGATCTTGCCAGCTCACCCGCCCTCCTTTTGGGCTGTTTCAAGTTGGTGGATCAGCCACGGCCCTGGAGCAACCTGAATGGGCGAAGCCCGCAATGCTCTACCTACTGGGTACAAGTCCTTGTAATCGAGTCTCGACAATACTCGGTACTTAGGTACTGTACTGGGTAGGTCCCCCGGCAATCTTTAGCGATGAGGGATCTGCCGCGCCCGTGCTCACAACGCCTCAAGCGCGTCTTGTTAGCTGGGCTCAAGGCCTTGACTTGGGTTGATGATGGCACACCAATCATGGGTTAATCTTGTGGTCTTTTCTTCCTCATGGACATCGCTGCCCAAAATACGAAGTAAAAGGGGAGGCTACAGTACGTACAAGGAGCAGAGTCTGGTTGCCAATTCGTCGGCATCGCCCTGCCGCCTTCTCTTGCTTTTTCCTCCCCCTCTGAGTTGTGTGTTTCGAAGAGCTGGTCACAATCCACTAACTCTCCACATTGGTCCATCGTTAGGCATCCGACCATGCCGATGGTGTCCTCTTGTTCCTGACGATCTGGAGCCAGGAGTTCGTGGCTGCGTCCAATGCCTTCGCCTGCTTCCCTCGTGCCCCTTGCATGGCGCAGGCACTCTGCCTTGTTCCCACTGGCACTCGGTGGGAGGGGAACCCAGGGGCTCTGTTCCGAAGGTCAGTCGATCCACGTCGCTTCCTGTTCTTTCGCGCGTTTCAAAGTCCTTATTCATCGTTTTGCTTGTGCCCGTTCATCAAAGATGGACTTTTGGTTCTTTGACTGGCAACCTGCATTGTCATGATCTATGTACCGCGTACTGACCCCTTCTGAAGCGGATTGCGCACCTGATAATCGAGATTCTTCGTCCCGCTCTCGCTCTCGCTTTCCTTCGCCTCTCATCCGTTCCTGCATCATGTGGCTCACTCTCAAATTGATTTGTCCAGATTGGCAAATCCGCCCTCAACAATGACGCTATCTTCCTTTCATTTGCAACAAGGTCCTGGCCCCCAGGGATCAATACATAGTCAGAGCATTAGGGCTGGCAGTCCCAAGCTAGACCCCTCGTCATGATTTCAATCCATCCAGGGCCGTTGGAACTATTTCCATCATCCTGTCAGAAGCGGGAAGCCTGGCAAGAGGCCAAAGGCAAACTTTTGGATCCTTTATCCACATGCTTCCCGCTCCCATTGAACGATTCCCACGCGAGAGAGTCGTCACTAAGTATCGTTATTGGTCCAGGCATCTTCCCTGTTGACACCGCACTTTTGCTGCTTCTCTTCTCTCCTCACGGAACCTTGCTATCTGCTTCATTCATTACTGTACTCCGTCCATTTCGTTGCTTTTCACTTGCTGGTTCTTGTTCTCATTCGCGCCCTCCGCTTCAGTCGGAACTCTTCTCTTCAACTCGACATTCGCGTTTCCGTCTCTCTTTCACTCACCTTTCTCCCTATCGAAGAGGGATTTCCGATGCCGTACTCTCCCGTTCCATTCCAAATTCTATTCACTTCCTGACCGGCGTATCCTTGGTCTTCGCGGCGACAATCCGCAAATAATCGCAAAGACCGTTTTTCACCGATACCGGCAGATCTGAGTTCGAATCTTCTCAGTTCAAGCGTCTTGAAGGTCGTGTCAGCTCCCGTCAACCTTCCAGCCAGCTATACGCCAGGCACCTCGACATCTTATCATTTGATCCTTGTGCCAAATGTCAATGCATCAGTCACTGAGTATATCATCTTACTCTTAACCCTATAACTGGGGCACTCACTCTCCACTGAGTACCTACGACCCTTTCGAGGGGACCCGATGTTCCCTATCCTCGTCGCGGCGTGTTATCTTTCTTCATGACGACTCTTCTCGATGATACTGGGTTACCGCTATGGGTTTACATCGTCATAATTGCTGTCGGCTCGACTCTTCTGTTGCTCGCCATTGCTGTTGCGTTACGATGTTGGTTTCTACGTCGAAGGGCCAAACAACGGAGAGAGGTGGACAACCTCACCGGCCCTCTTCGCCGCGTTACCTTGAGGCGGGGGCGGATAGTTCCAACTTCACAGCACCTGTCTTTAACAGGCTCTAAGTTCGGCATGAGGCAGTTTGGGGTTCTGGCAGACAACGAATCGGCCATGACAGGTAGAAAAAGTCCTTTCGAGTGGTGGAGCACCATTATGGACAGATCACAGTCTCGACAAGAATACATGTCTCAAGCCGAGACTGGATCAATAAATACTCGGCCCACGTCCAGAGCCACCACCATTACACTTCGAAGGGAACTGTTGACTGCTACTCCCGTTCAGACTCCCGAAAGATTTAAAGAGCCGCCTACCACGAGAATTTGGGAAATAACAATCCCTTCGCCATCGCCATCGCCATCGCCGTCACCATTAGGACCGAATAAGCATACCAACTTTTCCAGATCATTCAGCAATCGTGCTCCTTCATCGCCGGTCACACAAAGATCTCAAGCGACTCTTTCCCGAATATTAGAACGTTCGCCACATCAGTCTATGATCAGTACAGCAAATGGACCGAGTATATCCCCATTGCCTCGTTCTTCTCACCATTCCGCAATAAACCCGTTGGATAGCACACCGCTGGCAGGGCAGTCACCACAGCCTAGCCCTGCCATCCCGCGGGAACAAATGACTCTTACCGTCCCGGCCCCTACTACTCAATCCAAGACGTCGCTAAGTCGACAACAAGACCGCCCCACCTCCTCAAACTTGTTACCCTCACCCAACAGACAACATAAGCTGAACGCTTCGCCGCCGACAGCATCTCGTCTTCTAGAACCGAAGCCGCTCCCGTATCCAATGCCCCCATCAGTTACGCGCTCAAGCCTTGCCGATGTCCGCTCTCAAGGCTCTAATTCCTTTTATCGACAGATGAATCAATCTCAGGCCAATCTATCTCATCCACGCCAAGACGGCAAGACCAACTCACCTGCCACGTCCACTACAAACCTAGCTAGGATGTCCGTCTCCAGCATTGGCCCTAGCGGAATCATCTATGAAACCCAGGTTCCCCGTTTACACACCTCGACGGATTATTGGTCAACCAGGATGGATCTACACGACATTTCTTCTCATGGACAAACTAGTTCCGCGCCTCGCTCCGGACACTCTTCTCGAAATCCAAGCACAGACCAAACCCTTCGGCCTCCGAACTCCTCTCCTGATCAACATAGAGAGCAGGAGAGGGAGAACGTCATGGGGATTGTGACGGTGCCCGGGAAGAACAACCAGAAAGTCCTCAGAAAGAAGTCTTTGAAGAGAATGCAAGTCGTCAGCTCAGTTGCAATATAGGCTATGATGAGCTCGAGGATATGGGTTCAGTGGTTATGGGCGGTAATATGTTATTCTATCTCATTCCTTTTCTTTTCGAGCGGCGACGATCTTTTTGACGAAACACCATGACCAAACTTCTGAGGGTATTTGCGTTTTCCCGGGGGCTGCACCCCACCAGTCTACACACGGCCGAGACGACCTCTTTTACCTTCACTTACACCCGGCTTACAAAGTTTTTGGTTTCAGATAACCGGGTCTGGAATCTGGGATCTGAGACAATCTTGTTCCATTGATGTCACTATATCGGGCTTGCCCCATCATCGAGGTTTCGCCTCCCTATGTACCTACCTTCACTTACGAAACCAAACCACACTCCGCCGCTCAGCAGCAGGCAAATAAATCTATTCTACTTCTTTTTTCATTATTACCAGTATTTTGCAAAATTGGCCACGTTTCGACCCGGTATCGTCAGGAGGACCACATCCCCACTTTGCGCCCTGGGAAAGAAAGAAGGTTGAACCCTGGCGCGTGTGTGGTAATGAGGTTCCTGGGCAGCCAGACAGGAGCTCGTACTTCCAAGACAGTACGAAGGAGAGACAACCACATACCCAGAGAAGGTACACACACATGGCAAAAATCAATCACAAATATAGTGGCCAAACGTACCCTCAGAGGAGCATGGTTGGCGTCATTCTCTGTCGTCTCAAGTGTACGACGCAATAGTGCGTGTTTGAGTGCTCCATTTGTGTGCTCGTGCCTTAGACGCGAGGGAATACAGCACACAGTGCTCGGGAATCCCAGCCCTCACACCCCTCCTTCATCAAGGCCATCTGTGCCCAGTTGATACGCCGCCTCGCCTATCTAGATCTTATAGGGACACAGGGGTACATACGTCCCTGCTCTGCTTACGTAGGTAGCATGTTCATAACTCGAGGCACGGCATGACACCGCGCAGCGAGCGGGCTGAGCCCAGCCAGGTGAGTGACTGAGCGGACGTTACAGGCGACTGAGGTGATTGAAGCGGCGCCCATGGAAAGGGACGGAGGTCGAGATCTTCGTAGTATTGAGACTTTAAGCCATATCTTGCATTTGTGGATGACGATGGATCAAACGACAACGATATATGGGCACAATCACCCACCGGCCGCAACTGGTCATCAATGCCCTTATACTTGTGGTTGTGACGGTCCCTCTGAATGACAGCGTGCTGGGTTTCAAGGTGATAGTACTGTACAACGCCGGCGCTATGCCTGCGACGGCTGGATGCCACCTTTCACTAATTCCACCATCGAGTAAAATCCAGCTTTATCCCGTGTGTCCTCCTCGTCGGAACCTCAACCCTCATTCTTCTTTTCATGTAGCTCATTCCACATCCAGACCATTACAAGGCCTAGCCCGTACTTAGTCAACGTTCTCGATCCGTTGCACAATCATGGCGGTCGCTGCACCACCACCGTTGCAAATCGCCGCGCATCCGTACTCGCCTGGCTTCAATTGATGCAGCAAGGTCGTCAAGATACGCGAGCCCGAGCTGCCAAGGGCGTGGCCGAGGGAGATGGCACCGCCCAGCATGTTCACCTTAGCGTCCTCCAGACCAAGAATCTGTGAACAAGTCAGCCCAAAAGGCATTCCTATATAATTTCGAAACTGTGCAACTCACCTGTTCATTTGCCTTGATGACTGCCGCAAACGCCTCATTGAATTCCCAGATCGCAATGTCGTCTTTGGTCAGCCCGGCTCTTTCTAGCGCAATAGGCACAGCTTTCGCGGGCGCGATAGGGAAATCCACTGGATCAATCGCTGCATCAGCGGAACTAATGATCCGTGCGAGCACACGGCTTCCCTTGCCATATTCCCGCGCAATAGCCTTGTTGCCCAACACCAACGCACTTGCACCGTCATTGAAGGTCGACGAATTTGCAGCCGTCACTGTTCCTTGGGAAGGATCCTTTACAAACGCCGGCTTCAAAGTGGGAACCTTATCCTTTTTTAGGTTGTTGTAACCTTCGTCTTCGGAGATGATAGTGTCACCCTTCTTTCCCTTGACAGTGACGGGGACAACCTCGTCTTGGAATTTGCCTTCCGCCCAAGCCTTTTGCGATCTTTCAAAGCTTCTGATGGCATATTCATCCTGCATTTCTCTGGAGATGTTGAACTTCTTCGCCGTGTTTTCTGCGCAGTTACCCATATGAAACTGGTTATACACATCCCAGAGCCCGTCTCCAATCAGTCCATCCTTCAGTTGTATGTTTCCAAACGCTGGGTTCTGTGCTGCTCTGGGCAGGTAGTAGGGCACACGAGACATATTCTCCATACCGCCTGCAATTTGCGCCTCCGCCAGTCCAAGCTGGATATTCTGAGCCGCGAGGACAACTGCTTTCAATCCCGAAGCACAGACCTTGTTGATTGTTACGGCTTCAATCGTTGAAGGTAAGCCAGCGAATATGGAGGCTTGCCTGGCTGGTGCTTGACCCAACCCCGCCGCCAGTACGTTGCCCATATATACATCTGTTATCTTGGATACAGGAACTTTCGACTTCTCAATAGCAGACTTGATCGCAATGGCGCCCAGCTGTGGGGCGGACATGCTCATGAAGCCGCCGTTGAACTTGGCTGTCGGGGTGCGGGAGGCAGAGAGAATGTATGCTTCGCCGATCTCTTTGTTGCGAGCAATAGGGGAGGTAGCATTGGTGCTCATCTGGCTACGCATCTGTGAGAGGCGGGCGCCGGCGCTGGCGGTGGAGGAGGCGCGGGACGCCATGCGAGCGGCGGAAGAGGTAAGGGAGGGCATCTCGACGGTGTTGGAGCGTTGGGGATCCAGGTTGGGAACAGGCTCGAACAGGGGCACCGGGGTGTATATATTAGACACTCAACTGCACATGTCAGGTCAAGCTTTGGTCTTGCTCGAGCGGGGAATGAGGAGCAACGGTCGAAGGAGACGAGGTCGACACAACGAGTATTTAGAGAAATCGCTCGAGCTGGAGGTAGAGATGCCCTACTAATCAGTCAAGATCACAGGGGGAGGCAGAGCTCCATTCATAAAATATTGGGAGGCAAACTAGTCCTTCGGTCTCCCAGAGTCCACGAGACGCGGAATCTGATCTTTCGGATCCGTGAATCTTTCGTAAAGGGCGGAAGCACATCCTCGGCTGCGACATGGAGGAATTTCGGAAGAAGCTGGAGGACCCTGGAGGCCCTTCTTGGCAGTCACGTGGTGCCATGGCGCCGTTGGGCGGCGCAAGGGCCGGTACCCCATGGCTCGATGACTAATACCAGTACGACGGAGTATAGCGTCCCTCGTGACTTCCCTTCTGGCTAGGGTGGAGTGTTCACCGTCGCTTCTGGAAGGCTGACTCGGTGAATCGAATGGAGGGCAAACCATTCTTCGTATTGGTATTGGCGTGCCACTCCGTCTTCGCTGCTCTTCTATCTCTCGACCTCGCGTGCGTCCTTCCTGATCTCCTTCCCTCCTACACACCTCCAACTACAAACAAGTCGACACTCAGAATAACCTCTCAGCCGACTCTCCCACCGCCTACCCCATCTTAAAACCCAGAGAATCCGCCATGTCCACCTCCGCACGACGCCGCCTGATGCGGGACTTCAAGGTACGCAGTTTCCGTCCTTAGGATATGGCTTTGATCCTGGCACTTAGTGTCCTATGAGTACTAACCTAGTCCTCTTACAGCGTATGCAAACAGATCCTCCTGCTGGTGTCTCTGCCTCTCCTATCGCCGACAATGTCATGACCTGGTAAATCCTTACCCCTCACCGTCCCCGTCATCTCCGGATCAACTCTCACAGGAATTTAGGAATGCTGTAATTATTGGTCCTGCAGATACTCCGTTCGAAGACGGCACGTTCAGACTAGTCATGCAATTCGAAGAAGCCTACCCGAATAAGCCTCCCGGGGTCAAATTCGTTTCACAAATGTTCCACCCAAATGTCTACGGCACTGGCGAGTTGTGCTTGGATATCCTTCAGAACCGGTGGTCTCCAACCTACGATGTCGCCGCAATCTTGACGTCTATACAGAGTCTATTAAACGACCCAAACACGAGCTCTCCGGCCAATGTCGAAGCCAGCAATCTCTACAAGGACAACCGCAAGGAGTACACCAAGAGAGTGAGGGAGACTGTGGAGAAGAGCTGGGAAGATTGAGAGCAGTGAGAGTCATCATAAAGAACTGCGAATGGCCTAGTCTTTCAGCGACTGCATCAACAAGCGGATGGCCGGCGTTGGGTTTAGCATCGGATGTTTTCTATCAGTCAAAGTGGGATTTTATTTTGCCCCAAATAAGGGTGTGCTTGGACATGGAACATGGCATTGTCTTGTTAACACCTGAATGCCTCGAGATTAGCGAAGGAGTTTCTGCGACAAGTTTTCCTCTCACGGGCTCAGGCTTGACGGCCATGCCAGAGCAGCCTTTCGGCCCTCCATTCTCCAGGACTTCGCCGTGATTGAGCCTCATGCGCGTCACAGTGCGTCCGGCTTGGTCACGTAGCTCCATGGTACCAATCTCAATCATTGTATTCTAATGGAATCGCTCCATCGATAGTCTACAATCCTATGACCTGGTAATTTAAAACAGAAGCATGACCGCATGAACACGTGAACCCGCTTTATCTATTCGCTCATAATCGTACCACATCTATCATCGGGAGGTCGTGGTTAATATATCTCCTCTCTGTCTGATCCATCTCATTCGTCCTCCTTTTCCACCTGTGGGGTCTTCATGCCAGGGCCCCCATAGGATCCCACAGCGGTAGAACGACTGGCTCGCCCTTCAACACATCGCGAACCTCCTTTGCCACAAAACCTGGATCCACCACGACCTGGTAGACAAACTCATCCATCCATTTATCTGTCATGACGAAGTAACCTTTCTCACCAGCGCTCTCGCCCCAGGAATTCATCACGCGCCACCGCACGCTCCTCTCGCGGCCCTTACCGTCGTCTTCCATTTGGACGCCCGTCAAGACCATAGCGTGCGTCATCGCGGACTCTCGTACCTTCAGGCGCTGAGACTTGGACAGATTGAGCGAGATGTTGAATGCGAGGCCGTAGTCGTACAGTTCCGGATCCATGATGCCGCTCTGCGAATTGGAGAATTTGCCTACGTCGCTGCCGAAGAAGACAGGGAGGCCGGCGCGAAGCATCGCGATCGCTGCTCTCTTCATCGTTGTCATATCCACGTTGACGTAGGTGATTGGTCGTCCGCCGACGACGTTACCCAGACGTGAGACGGTGAGAAGGCCCATGTACTTGTTCCGGGGATCGTTCACGAGGCTGAACATACGGGAAACGTCAGCACCGCCCAAACTTCTCACTACACTCGGTGTGGAGAGGGATTTGGCGAGTTCGAGCGGCGTCATTGTTGTTTTGTGGTACTTTTCGTCCTTGTCGTAGAATTCCCATGTGAACTTCTCGTCTGGTTTGGGAGGCGGGCCCAGCATGAGCGTGAGGATGCAGTGAATTTCACGCATCATTTTCGCTTTTGCAAGAGCCAACGAGGATGACCTTTTGGTAGTGGCCGAGACTCCGTTATGGACCAGAGCGCGCAGAGCAAGACCATCTTCTCGTAATTTTGTTGTCAGGATCGAACCCATGGCCGAGGAGTTCATGGCGTTGTAGCTGTCCGGGTACAACTTTTGTGGAACCTGCATATCACCACAAATGTCAGTATTGAAAGCTCTAGTACGAGCATTCTGACAAGCATTGCCTTACCAATCCGTATTTCTCGACCAGGTTACTCGCCATGTCCCACTGCCCACCATCATTGACCGGCGCCGACAACAACTCCTGCGCCTCTCTGTCTCCCAACTCCTTTTCCGCCGTGTCAATCATTTGCTCTAGAAACCAATTCGCCTTCTCCATCTTATCCCAGAAGAACAAATAAGACTGACTCAACTCAAACTCTTTTAGATTATATTTCTTCATAATCGGCACACGCAGCACATTTGTGGTTGCGAACAGCCAACATCGTCCTGAGGAGCGTTGGTTTGTCACAGGCGACCCCTCAAACGGGATCTTGACGTTGAATGTTTGTGTGTCAGGAAGAGTTGCAACTTTATTGCTTATGACAGAGCGGATATCGTTTGAGATGAGGGCGTTCAATGCGAGGCGGTTCTTCGGGGAGGAGAGAAGTTCCCTTTCCCATTCTGAAGCGGTTTTTATGTCCAGAGAGGGATCGGTCGAGTAGCAGTGCGGGATTCCCTTCTCAGCTTCGACTTGTATATACTCGTGCTCGGTTTCGACTTGGTAGAGCTTGTCGCGTGTGCGGAGTGACTGGAGTTGTTGGATGAGGATCTTCTCGACCGCGGGCTCATTGAGGTTGGACGAGCTCTGCGAGTTGCCCATTTTGACGGTGATTGATAGGAGAAACGCGGCGGCGGAGGAGTACGAGAGGCTGTACTTGTCTATGAAGAAGTGAGTCGAGATGAGACGAAAGGGAGAGCTCTGCTGGCGGGGAGATTGGAAGATCGATGGAGCCTCGCAGATAAGCGATAATGGACGCAATCGAAGTCACGGGTCCACCTGCCGATTCACTAACCGGGTTGACCGGTAAGTTGACCGCACCACGACCCTAAGGGATTTCTACAAGTAACAAGTACAGTCTAACGCAAGTTGCGGGGAAAGTTCCTGCCGAATTTGGGGGTTGCTGCTGCCGCTTTTGAAGGTGGATTTCCCTCGATGCCAAGAAGGCTAACCTTGGTCTTCCCTACTGGGTATCCCAGACCAACTTCCTATAGGCAGGTACTACGGTGTTGTTATCAATATTAGCATTTAATAGGTAGGAAAAGCCAAAAATCACTTTCAAGAACTTCGTTCGAATCCTAATAATCCATTCTCGTTCCCAAGAAACGCTCCGTCGGTTACAAGAAGCGGCAGGTCGAAAGACAAGGCTTAGGACTTTGCATTCCTGTTTCGAGCGAGTCCTAAGCTGCTAGTAGTTCTTTGGAGCGGTTGCAGGTCCCAAATTTCCCATGCTCAGTCCTCAACTTGACGTCTTCAACCACTAACCCTAGCTACATCCCACTACCTATGTACTAACAGCAGTCTTAGCAGTCTTCTCATACAAAGCTGGCTGTATATGCGACCCCTGATGGATTGATGGATCCGAGGTCCTAAGGCCCAACCTTGTCAACCTCTCATTCTCCTCCGCTAGCATCTTCTCCTTGACCTTTGCCATCTGGGGCATGATAAACTCTCTTTCCCCCGTGATCTTCTAGTCCTTGAACTTGTCCACATCGCCGCTGGCGACGTCTTGGATAGTCTTGAGCTCAATGAGGCTGTAGTCCCTTGAGTTAGGACGAGAGAATTGGCTATGATGCCTGTATCGTATCGTGGGCGTCAGAAGATGTGTGAGTTGTGAATCCTCAATTTGGAGACAGGCGATGAAATTGTGGCGCTTGGTTGCAGATCAAATAGGATTAGAAAGGTTCAAACTTACGGATCAATCTGCGCGCATTCTTGCCCGCCGTGTGCAAAGTGAGTGGCTGCATGAGGATGACATCGCCATACTTCCCTCCTCATCATCCAGATGAAGCTCTCATCAGGTGCTTGCAGGATTTCGTCCGCGAAATTTGTACGGGGTGCGTTCCATGGTTCCGAGCTTGCACTCCGAGGCGACATGCACGGAGACATTCCTTCGGGATGATTGTACTAGATAAGTAAAAGAGCACGTGCGCAACACAGAACACGTTAATAGCATAAACGCACGAAGTTCGAATCAAATTCTGCAAGTGGAAAACACAAACTCACAAGCCATTTCCCAATGCGTTCAGGCCCCTCGCTGCAAATCCAAGTTTCCCAACCCCCAAACCTATCTCATCAGCGTTGGCCCAGCACGGAACCACCAGCAGCACCTACTTGTGCGAATCAGGAAATGCACAGAAAAGTCCCCGTCAACGTGCCACTCCTGCAGCTCCTTGGGCGGCACAACATGACATTCCACTTCAGCACTGCCCAGATTTACGATGAAACCATCGCCCCATACTTTGCCGCCTGTTAGCGAGCCGGTCTTCGCCGCCGATTGGTTCGCAGATAGGATTGCAGACTGTGGGCGAGATCTGCATCGCATCCACGGCGTCATGTGGTTTTTTGGCATGTTGACACGCTCTTTGGTCCAGGTTGTTTTGTCACTGGGGTCCATGCCTAGGTGGGTGCAGACGTGTTTGGTGTAGGATTCGCAGGTTTCTTTTGGGATGGCGCTGGGGAGGCGGAGGAAGCCGTGGGTCATGAATGACGAAATTTGGGGTGGGCAGAGGGTGATGAAAGTCTTGTGTTGTAGGATTTCTTGGGCTGTGGCCATGTTGGATACTAAGTGGAGCGTTGAGTTGACTTCAAATGATGTTGTAGGTGGATGGATGGGACGATATTGAGACACCCTGGAATAGGTAGATGGCATCAAAAAAAAAAAAAAACATGGAATACTCTGCTCAAACAGTAAAGAATGGCACATGGCCAGCACTGTGAAGCGTCAAGCACGCCGGCAACGATTAACTACTAGTACAGCCATTCTCCAACTGTCTGCTGTGCATGCCTATCGCTATTGTTGTTGTTGCTCCTTCCTGCCTTAAAACCTCTCATCCACAGCCAGGATACTAGCCCTTTTTGTCCTGACATGTGACCAACCAAATCGCCTTCCTTCTACCCCCATACCAGCACAGCGCAGCCACTTTGCCTTGTTACAATATAAATAGGGTATGGCCACACTTGGGAGCCTTATTAAATCACAGCTCATAAAATCGTTCACCTACGGGTTTCCAACAGTCTGCCTAACATTGTACGACTTTATTTAGACAGCTTGTGACTTAGAGACGGGCAAGCACTCTCTTCAATATGCGTAGACAGGCAGAGCATCGCCGCCTGGGTGTTCTACAAGAATGAAGGCAGTCGAATTTCTGTGGGAAAACCCCCTTGGGGATAGACTTGAGGAGAGGATGATTATTGGTTCTATCCAACCGAATGGCCCACCAACGCTAAGCTAGATAAAGTTCTACGCTAACCTCATCTAAATCTCTTCCGGCACTAAATAACGCCGCTCTATTTCCTTCTCTTGGTTGAAAGATAAAGCCTCCGAGGCTCTCCACAAGTCTCGCGGAGAGCTGGTGCCCTTCTCGCCTTCTCCGTTACAGAAGTTCGACGAAATCCCACAAACCCATCACCTACTCAACACCCGTGCATTGGTTTTAGGCCATGCACTCTACGAAATATCTCAGCTCCTGCGACCAATGCCGGTCGCGGAAAGTGCGATGCCTGAGTAAGTACTCCGTACATAGAGATGCGATTCTAGGAACGAAAACCCTCTAATTCCGATGCCAGAACACAGTGAGCTAGACCAGTCTTGTATACAGTGCAATGTATGACATCAATGAAACAACACACGACCAGACAACCGGATCATCTCTGACCGTTAGTAGAAACGGGGCCAGCAGTGTCGCTTCTCCCCAGTCAGGACTCGACAGATGAGAACGACGAGGACATCAAGCAACCAAGAATTTCGAGGTAGGTATTACTTGCTCACTCCGAGTTATTGAATCAGAGTATAACTAAGAGTTAACATCCATGTCAAGACTTCAACGACCTCTCTCCGAGCGTTCAAAACGTGACTACCGAATCTCTCACTTCCGTGCCCACTAGTCAACACCCACGTCTCTCCAGCCCTGACTTGACCGTCAATGTATCGGGTGACGAGCACTTTGTACGACCTCCACACGTACAATTATCGGAAGCCACTCCCCTACCTGTGTTAGAGATCCTACTGGGGCCTAACTGGGTTAGGGTTCCTAGTAACAATCTGAATAGTATGAACTGGTTGGGAAGAACACAAGGTATGAGAAGTCACTTGTCACTAAGAACTATCAGTCCAATAGTTAACATGAGTTGGCTACGAAGAGAGTGTAACTATCTAGGGGAAATGAGGGTGTATATATAATG